TTAATTTAGGGTTTAGAGCAATTAATAATTGGGTTTTAGGTGAAAAAGAGAGGGTCAATGCTAAACTTAATCAATTTTAAATCTCTTTGTAAGTTGCAGAAAGCACCTGAAAATTTCAAGTCAAATAAATTTTTACATATGTGATGCTAATTAATTTTGATTTGGAAAATCTAATTGAGTTAATAAGAGTTGGAATGGTGAATATTTTTTTATAAATTCAACAAATTTAAAAAAAAAAAAAAAGAAAAGGGTGAAAATGATTGGTTGATGTGCATACATCACATTTTAGAGATAGGGTTTTATTTAATTAAGTCAACAAAAAAAAAAAAAATTCCATAAAAATAAAAATTAAAGAAAAAGAGGCAGTTGGCTGCTTAACCTACAAGAAAGGATGTTGTTTCATTTTTGCCCATTTTGTAAGTCTCTGTACTCTTCAAATTGTACAACATTAATTATTTGAAATTAGATTGTTGTCAATAATATGTTCCCTTTATGTTATTTCTCTGGCTGGCAATAACTTTTTTTTTTCTTTCTTTTTTTCCTTTTCTTTTCAAGACAGTAAACACATGATTATCAAACTCAAATATTCATGTTCATCATAATTATTAAACACTGCTCATCATGAATCATCAGGACATAATACAAACTGTTTAACTGAAAATACCACAAAAAGATTTATTAAAAGAAAAAAAAGGTGAGTAATAGAAAAATATTTGGCATGGAAAATCTCTCTTATTAAACTTTCTCCTGCCTTTATCACATTGGATATACTTACTTAGACCTGATCTATAGATTAAGAGACTGTTGGTACCCCTCCAGTTAAGGACCGAGGCCTCAATTGGTTAGAGCACAGCCATGTCGAGCCGGAAGCTACGAGTTCGAGCTTTGTTAAATGTGACATGTGAGTGTAATAAATTTTTATTAAAATAAGAGTAAATATCATTGAAATGCATGAAAATTTCATGCTGTTTTTTAGATTGGTAATGGGAATTTTAGTTTTTGATGGGTTTCGTTTTTTAATTTCTTTATAATTAGACATTTATTGACTGATGTTTGGAGATGCATGTATTTGTTTTTTTTTTTTTTTTTTTTTTTTTTTAGGCCTCATTGGTTAGAAAGGGCACAGCCTGTCGAGCCGGAAGCTACAGTTCGAGCTTGTTTAAATTGCTGACATGTGAATTAGTGTAATAGAATTTTTATTAAAAATAGAGTAAATAATGCATTCGAACTGCAAAATGAAAATTCATGCCTTGTTTTTTTTTTTAAAGATTTGGGGGGTAATGGGGAATTTTAGTTTTTGATTGGGTTTCGTTTTTTTTAATTTCTTTATACACATTAGAACATTTTATTGGACTGGAGTTTGGAGATTATTGCATGTATTTGTTTTTTTTTTTTTTTTTTTTTTTTTTTTTTGGGCAAAATAGCATCACCACTTTGTTTTTTTTTTTTTTTTTTTTTTTTTTTGGGCAAAAGCATCACCACTTGAAGTTGACCTACTAAGTGACACCTGCAAAACTTCAATGAATTTGCCACCATTGATGATATTCTGATAACTACATCAACCCACTTAACAAAATTGGAGCAAGAAAATACCACATGACTTCCAATAAAGCAAATGTGATGGGGATGGATAATTTAATTAGGGTTATTAAGACATTGCCCTAAAATCCCAACAATTAGGTGACTATGATGTTCCCTTAGCACTATAACCACATAACAGAAGATTAGTATCCTAACAAGAATCATCCCCTCTTTAGTACTACTTGCAATCTACTCTCAAATTGCAAACTTGGTCAATGATGGCATTACAATTATAGTATTTGAAGTTATAATCTATGGCTTTAATGGAAGCAGCATGTGAAAATATAATAATGAGTATATATATGTAATTTTTTTTTTTTTTTTTTTTTTTTTTTTTTTTGGTTTTGGGAGGGGCCAAATGACAAAAGAATCCGACAAACGTATAAATCATAACTATTTAGAGGTTTGGCAAAGTTGTTTGTAGATAATTATTAAAACCAACCAAAATTGATTCCATTATTTAGTATTTTTTTTTTTTTTTTTTTGGTTGGGAGGGGCCAAATGACCAAAAGAATCCGACACTATAATCATAACTTTTAGAGGTTTGGCAAAGTTGTTGTAGTAATTATTAAAACCAAACCAAATGTTACATTATTTAGTACTTTCAGAAAGATGATCAGCTTAGGATCATTGTTGATTTTTTTTTTTTTTCTCCCACACACAAGTCAATGATGCTAAGGACTGCCTCTTGGCTTGTTGACTCCGCAACAAAGGAACCATGAAAATGACCTCAAGATTTGGAAAAAAAAAAAAAATTTGAATAATTGCTTATATTGACCCTACTTTCTTATGCCTCATCAAGAGAGAGAAAAAGAACAGTCATTGGCTTTGTAATTCAATGCCCTAATTCTAAGTTTAACCATAACCATTGATTCTTTTATTCACAATCTATATTACCCGTTTCTCCGGACATATAATGAATTCCTCTGGCGTAATCTACTTGTTATAAAGAAATCTAAAATTACGAAAAAAAGTGATCCGTGCTTTTTGAGAAACTCTCGTATTATGTTTCTTACTTACTTTGTCAAATTTGAAATTAAAATTTAGTCTGATCTGGATAAATTAAGAGAGAATTATCTCTAATTATACATAGTTAATGTATCGAGAGATAACGAGAAAGAGAATTTTCATAGAACAAACATCGTATGTTATAATTTAGAAGAGAAGTACATGCATATATAATTCTGAGGAGACATAATTAACAGAATGGTTTTTTTTTGCTGTAATTCTTAAGACATAATTACAAGTACTAATAGCTAGCACATGCTTGCATGGAAAAGTAGAGTAAAGGAATCCAAGGCAATATTTCAAGTAAGGGAGAGAGAGAGATGATTTTATTACAACCCAAAATTAAGGATTTGCTAAATTCTATCAAACATGCTTTGATATTGTTGGTAGACCTTAAATCAAAAAACATAGATTAATTAGAATTTACATGTAATAACTTCAACCACCATTTGCTTCCTTAAAAGGCCCAGGCTGCTGTGGTTGTTGGTGGTGGCGTCCAGGCATGTGAGAACCTGTCTTTTTAAGTTGAAAGAAAAAAGCACAGCATTTTTGCTGTTAAGCCTACCAAACTAGATCTCCTGGTCGGTGCTTTTTACTGTTGGTAAATATGGTTTTGATTATGATTTGTCTAATTACAATTACTTAGTGGATTATTAATTAAGTTGCTATCTTATCTTTACATCTCAGGAAAGCTTAATCATAGCCTTGCTGTGAAATCATGTGCAGCTTTTGCAAGTAAAAATCATATTTGATTGGAAATATCCAACTCTACTTTTTTACATTAAATAAAACGAAAAATATAGTTACCTCAACTTGGGTCCGACACAATTTTTATTGTAACCGGTCAAAATGTATAAAATACTATCCGTGTATATTGTGGATAAAATCCGCCGTTGAACCTATTGAGGATATTTTAGATATTTTATTCTGCTACAATGAAATCAAATTTGGGACGTATAGCACAATTCTTAATAAATATGTCAAACTTTATAAAAGATGTATATATTCATGAATAAAATTTATTAATTATTTGTATTCATCACTTAGTATTATTAGAATTGCCTTTAGAACAGTAAAATTTCGTATTTAAATTCCAGTAGGAGAATATTTAATATTTAATAAACGAGTGATCTTATTACAAGTTCATGAATTGATATTCTTATTAGGGTTTTTGTGTTGAAGGTGGTGATGAGAAATATGAGACATGTAAGAATTAGGGTTTTTGGTTGATTTTTTTTTTTCTTTCTAATTAGGGATTTGGAGGACAAGTTGACAGAAAAGAGTGTGATTGTGGGCCTGACTTTTATCTACTTCTAAGTGATACAAATGGGAGCTATGATTTCTTCTAAGATATGAAGATAAGAACCAATTTAAGGTGTGGCAACCAAATTTGGATTTGCATTCTCTTCTACCAAACAACAAAAAGATTTTCCTTTTCTTTTTTTCTTTTTGTGGGGTCAGCTGGTTAATTAGCTTAATAGACATTCTTTTTTTTTTTATATATATTATCTTTAAAATTTTCTTTTCTAGTTTATAACTTTTAAATATAATCTAAGATTCCGTATTATTGGAGTCCTTAATCATTATGAGATCTTTTTTAAATTAACTAGATTATGCTGTTTTGGTCCTTTCTTCTGTTTTGATTTGTTCTTTTGACCATATTGTCTCATTGGTTGGGACTTGGGGAGTAAATGTAAATCCCCATTTTTGTTTAGAAGTGGCTTTGGATATGAGCAACCCATGAATTTTTGGTTTTGGGCTCACTTTCAACTTTATAAACCGGCCCAGCCCAACCAGTTCAATTATGGGTTTAGTCTCACTCATAACAAGGTCCCTCAAAGGCTTTGCCCATCAAAGGAGAAGCATGCTTGAAGTTGGGTCAGTCTTTTGGTTTCTTGTCTCCACTTCAAGAGCAAAATGCAGCCCAAAGTATTATCTTTTTTCTTTTTTTTTTTTTTGGTAAAACCAGGAGAATCTCCTTTGATTAGCATAAAGCTTTTTTACCTTCCCAATTGCACTTCCCTAGAATCAAATTTATATCCTTGATCTTACAGGGACTGAGGTCATTTACCATCCAACCAACATTTGGTTGGTCATAAATTATATCAAATATATAAAAATATTTAGGCTCTGTTCCGTAATAGTTTTTTAAATAATTTTTACAGTGTTCAGTAACATAACATTTAAATAGACCCTTAGACTGCATTCTCGTACAATGAGAGGTCAAGAGGGAGTACTAGGTCCCAATAGGAATCGATATTTAGATATATGAAACTCAAGGCAAACAACCTGAGCCACCAATTTATGATTTATCCAGGTAGGCAAATGAAGTGGAAGTAGAAGGGTTTGATAACAGATTCTGCATGCCACATGGCAATCCATTAGCCAATTGAACATTCTTTCTCCTATCCTTTAAGATAAGCCCTTGAATACATTAACAAATTTGCATCCATATCACCCTCGTACACACCCCAATTTCATTCCAGAAAAAGAAATTTTAGCCTAAAATGGCTTGTGCTTGTGCTTCCCCTGCCATTGCAGCTGTCTCCATCTCCTCTCCAAGGCAAGTTCTATCTAATCCCTCAACACACACTCTAATTAATGATGCTATTACCAAAATTTTGTCATCTGGCATTACAAGTAACGCAGAGAAAAAAAATTTTGCAGTAACACACACTACAATTAACCACTTATAACGATCATAAGTGCAATTAGACAAGATGTAATGGAATGTAATATAATCTAATTAAAATAAAAATTTTATTTCATTACATTTAATTTTTTTGTGGAAACTTCAATTACATTGATTGTGTTAAGAGGGCCAATAATTTAAAAAAAATAGAAATACTTGATGAATTTTAGATGGTCAATATTGCAGTTCCCAAAAGAGTGGATCCATAGTAGGGGCAACAAAAGCTTCTTTCCTTAGTGGAAAGAAGTTGAGATTGAGAAGCAACACATCTTCACCAGTGGTTTCAAGATCTGTTACAGTTTGTGCAGCTGCAGATCCTGACAGACCTCTTTGGTTCCCAGGCAGCACTCCTCCTCCATGGCTTGATGGCAGGTCAATTTTTACACTACTTGTTCCTTCAAATTTTGCTTTATCATTCCATATAATTCCAGGTTATGTGTTTGTTGAAATGTTTCTTCCGTTGCAGTCTCCCTGGAGACTTTGGCTTCGATCCCTTAGGTCTTGGTAAGTTTAAAAGCTAATTAAATCTTCAAATTTTTGAAAAATTGAAATCTTTATATTTGTTTTGAAAATGGGCATTCATTACGTACAGGATCTGATCCTGAAACTCTGAGATGGAATGTACAAGCAGAGCTTGTTCACTGCAGATGGGCAATGTTAGGTGCAGCTGGAATTTTCATTCCAGAATTCCTAACAAAAATTGGTATATTAAACACACCTTCATGGTATGATGCTGGTAAACTAGAATACTTCACAGATACCACAACCCTCTTCATTATTGAGCTCATTCTAATCGGTTGGGCTGAGGGAAGAAGATGGGCAGATATTCTTAAACCAGGGTCTGTTAACACTGACCCAATTTTCCCCAACAACAAGCTTACTGGAACCGATGTTGGTTACCCAGGTGGGTTATGGTTTGACCCACTTGGTTGGGGAAGTGGTTCTCCGGAAAAGATTAAAGAGTTGAGGACAAAGGAGATTAAAAATGGTAGATTGGCTATGTTGGCTGTAATGGGTGCTTGGTTCCAACATATTTATACAGGCACAGGCCCTATTGACAATCTTTTTGCCCATCTTGCTGATCCTGGTCATGCCACCGTTTTTGCTGTAAGTAACCATCACTCTAGAGTTAAAGAGATTTTGAGTTTAAATCTTCTAAATCGGTACATTTCCTGTAATGAAAAATACTGATTAATTGAATATTTATATTATGTATTTTTCAGGCTTTCAGCCCCAAGTGAAGGATCCAGAGAAAGTGCCAAGCAAAGGCTTGAAAATATGGGAGAAACGCTGGGAAAGAGCATGAAAGATTTGTATTTGTCGAAAGAACCTTTTGTATCATTAGAACTTGTAATGCCTGTGTTACGGTTTTTCTCATAGAAAAAGAATGCTGGTGGATTAGTGTACAAAATTTCTAAATTAGATATATGTTTTATATATATCTTAGCTAGTAAAAAGCATCCATTAAGGGAATTGATAATGAAACTCGTTAATTAAGTGGGATCAACAAAGATTAATGATCAAGATTCTGATATCTAGTTAAAGTGCCAATCCTAAACCAAATATACATATAGCAAGAAATGCACAATCTGAAAACTACTATACAAAAACCTAAAAAGAGAAGGGATCAACTTCCTTAGGATGCAACTTATTCATATTTACTTTAACTGTATTCTACTTAATAATTTCTAACCCAGTTGGACAACATACGCTTTGTGCATGTATGATTAAAATAAAGAAAGGAAGAAAGAAAACTTTGATTCCTGAGATATATGGATATAGCTGGGAGGAGGAAAAATATGAAACATCTCTTTTAGAACTCTTCCATCCACCTAATAATTTTAAAGGATTTCTTTTTCCCCCTCCTTCCTAATATTTTTCAACAAGAAAGTGAATCCTACGTCAAAAGGTCACTTGATCGTCTTCTTTGGGTTACAGCTACCGTGCATACATTATTAATAATAATAAACTGAATCTAATTCACTACTTAATTTAAAAAACTATTCCATCAATCTGATTTTCCCAAACCCTATTCACATTTTTAATTATAAGTCTTTTAATCAGCTATTGCATTCAATACTTTCAGATGAATAGCAAGTTTTAAAAAAAAAAAGGTTTTATTCTCTAAAATTTGAACTCAATTTTTCAAGCAAAAGGTTAAAGATTGTGTGTGGTATTTAAATGGGTTTAACATGCTAATGACAGGAGTATCTGATACGGAATCACTACCACTCAACCATAAAGCTCAAGGAAGAATGGGGAACACCTAAATTTCTCACATTAATGGAAGCACATGTTGAGTTGAAACTTGAATTTCCAACATATGACATGCCTAGACAGTGCTATGTTAACACACCCGTGCAAGGCGGCACGCCCCAGACCGTGCAACCCTCTGTCTCTTGCGAGACAACACTTGATTTGAAGCACGCTGGTGACAACTAGCACGCCGGTGCCAACTAGCACGCCCCAGACCGTGCCCGCCTCTGCCTCTCGCGAGAACACTTTTGACTTGAAGCACGCCCGTGCGGCTTAGCACGCCCCAGACCGTGTCCGCCTCTGCCTCTAGTTAAACTAATTAGTTTATTTTGAATTTTTGCAATGTTAATGGGTTGGGCCTCCTATAATTCGGCCACCCTTGATTATTTTAGCCTTATTTTGTTTAGATTTGGTCAATCTTTAGTTGATTTGAGCGGCACGCCCATGACCGTGCAAAATCACCTCTGTCTCTTGCGAGACATACACTTTGATTTGAAGCACGCTGGTGACAACTAAGCACGCCGGTGCCGAATCTAGCATCGCCCCAGATCCGTGATGCCCAGCTTGCTCACTCAGGCGAGAACACTTTTTGAAGCCTTGAAGCCACGGCCGTGCGGCTTAGCACGCCAACCGTGTCCGCCTCTGCTCTTTAGTTTAATTACTATTAGTTTATTTTGAAATTTTTTTGGTCTCAATGTTAATGGTGTTGGGGCCTCCTATAATTCGGCCACGCTTGATTATTTAAGGCCCTTAATTTTTGTTTTAGATTTGGATCATCTTTAGTTGATATTTAGTTGATTTGGATTAGATATCCAAATCCTTAAGTTGTTAAGATTTTGTTAGTCAAATCCTTAGTTGATTTAGATTTGCTAAATCCTTATCCTTAGCTAATTTAGACTAACTAATCTAAATCCTTTAAGAATCTGGATCTCTTAGAACTAATATAAATAGCTTGTTCTATTGTACATATTATTATTCAATAAATTAATCAAAAAAGAGAATTTCTTCTTCCATGCTTAGGCGTGTTCTTGCTTTAGAGGGTGTGAAATTGCATTCTTCTAATTGCATCAAGAATCAAGGTAAACTTATCAATTAAATTGTGGCGTTTATCTTATTCTTTTACTCTATTATTGGTTTTACTCTTTATTGGTGTTCTTAGGGCTGTCTGTTAGCTTTGGATGCGCACAAGGGGAGTTTACTTTGAATTCAAGAATCAAGGTAAACTTATCAATTAAATTGTGGCGTTTATCTTATTCTTTTACTCTATTATTGGTGTTCTTGCTTCTTTAAGCTTTGGATGCCACAAAGGGGAGTTTACTTTGATCTTGGATCTCTTTCAAAACTTGTCATAGAGTTCATGGAATAAATTTCTATAGGATTCCGTGTCATTATGAAGTGCGTTGGTCTGCGATAATGGTTTAAAGGAACGACAAGTAGTTTGAGTATTAAAAGAAATTGTTAGTCTGGCCACCTGAGAGGGTAGGCGCAGTCATCCGACGACTTAAAAGAACAAAATAATTGGCTTCGTCAGAGACGGCGGTTTTTAAGTAACGGCAACTCATTGACTTAAGAAAGAACTAATCGCTGGCGGCCGTTTGACAGATTCCATGAAGTCGTCCTACCACCGGGAGTCCAAAAATAGCTTGGTGAATGGAAGTCCAGAATCAGAATCCTTAATGATAGTTGTAGTTTTTGTTTGACCAATGATTTGTTCGGTAACAGTTTTAACGATCCTATTTTGTTGGGTAATTCCTTTTAAGAAAATTACACTTTAGCATAAATGAATTCTAAATAAAATTTATTTTTATTTCTAAAATACCATTTGCATAATAATTTTAGAATTCTTTAATAATGTTAAAATGTTAAGAGAGTAAAGAGTTTTGTTAGAAAATTTTGGATTAGTTAAATTTATGGAATTCATTTGAAAATTTCAATTTTTTTTAATAAAATTTAATCCAATTATATTCAAATTCATAAAAGTTAAATTCTTCATCTTGTTCATACTAAACACAAAAATTTAAATCTATAAATGAATTCTACAAATTTAAATTTAAAAATGAATTTTACAAAATTTTATGGAATGTTTTGAATAGTTTGCAAAATGTGAAAGGATTTGTTTGCTCTATATTTCAAACAATGTGTTGTTTAACTTAATTATTTATTAAGCAAAAGTAACGGAACAATTATTTGTTAATCTAAAAAATTATGCCAAAGGAAGGACGGAAACGTTTCCTTCCAACAACAACCCACATGGAATTTTTCTTTCCGTTTATTCATTAGGATCTGGACCATGCTCAAACCAAAACGAGACATTTCTGACATTTCTCATATTCTTCGAAATGAGAAATTAAACTAAACCAAGAAACTAGGAAAGAAATTTAATTAAAATTATAAATTTTTATCGATTTTTATAAGAATCTCAGTAGCCAGTACAGTAATTACAACCTACTAATCTCCCATCTCCATCTTCTACCATCATAAATTTTTATATTATACAATTTAATTCTGTAATTGGGACAAAAAATTACACAAACATATAAGTGAGAAAGGAGCTATAGAATCTCGAGGCACAAACCGGTTAGAGCCGGCCGTTAGGTGGCCGAGCAGATATTCGTACCGGAAGAGGTCGACCCGTACCCGTCCCTCCACAACTACTACAAACCATGCGACCTGAACCTGCACAAGTCCGGCACCCGACATCTCCATCTGACCAACGTGAGCAGAGGCAAGTGACACGACCTGTACCGTTGCAACTTGGACACCGTTGGAACTGACCGGCCATAGGCTTCTGGTCCATCACCGATTTGACGATAACAGCTCCGGCAAGCACACTAAGCCCTGTAGCGAGCTGAGTCAAGACGAGCGGACCCATTTTGTGGCAGATCGGATAGGGAGCAGAAGGAGAGAAGGTGAAGGAAGGAAGGGGAGAAGTGGAAGATTTTTGTTTTGAGAGGTTAAATTGGTGTTTGGCGTTTGTTTGTTTTTTTATTTATATTTTTAAAATAATAAAAGTGGTAATAGAATTGTACACGTAGACGCGTGAGTGTTTGGTGGAGTTGATGCGAGGAATTTTGGAGGATAGTGAAGATGTTGTGTGTAATTTTGGTTTTTGATAGTTTTTCTTTTGTTTTGATTCTCTTTTTATTGCTTATCGGTATAGATCCCATTCTGGTGTGTGAATTATGTTCATACACAAATCTGACGGCCAGTAGTAACTTTTAGTTGTTTATTATGGACGGTATGGCCAATTGGGCCATCTCTTGGAGTGGATAGATGGAGCTTGGATTATACGAGAACAAATTTTAAGATTTTTCTTTTTTTTATCTTTTTTTGTGTGTGAACCGTGGACCTAAACAGATGAATACAGCACAAATTTAATTGAGTTTTATAAATTTTATAATGGGTGTTAGAATTTTTTTTTTTTTTTATTTGAGTGAAGTTCGATTTTCATAAATGTAGTAAATATTTATTGAGAGTTCACCTTTTAAACCTTAGTGAGCCGACAAATGCAAACAAAATCTAAACCTTAGTAGGCTGAAAATATTTTGGAGAGAATCCGAAAGTAAGTTTGAAACAAAAATTATAAATATAATAGTTATTTCTTGAAAATAGAAACGCGAAAGTGTTAAATTAAGATATTAAGATATAATTTAAAAACTTGTGTATGTTACCCGAACACGTAAAATACAAATCATCAAAAATAGTCTCTGCTTATATAGTGTAAAATAGTAATTCAATCTGGCTGAAAGGACATGTTCGGTCTAAACTGAAAAATGTATTGGAGTACAGAATATTAAACCTATTTCTGTGTTTAGATCATGTTAGAGTATGTTAAATCATCAGCAATAGCAATTGAATCTTTTCCGTTGCCTGTCTTCTACCCTCTCTAACCTCCAAAACTGTTTAGATTTCAACTAAAAACGAATTACTCTTATTGTTGGTGCAACCATTCGAATTAATCTTTGTACGGATGCTTCTGAGATCTTCAAAAACTATCATCTTTCCATCAGCCTCTATAATTCAATAGCGATTAAAATTCTACAGTCTGTAGGAGAAAGAATCAACATGCTCAGAAAACTTGTCTGATATTGATGTTGATTCTCGATGTTCTAATATACTGTAAGAGATCATTTTCTTGTGAGAAATGCAATTCAAGTGGTGAGATTTCAGCGTTTTCTTCATCTGTGAAGATTCGAGGCACACCTAATGCATAAGAAACAAAAGCATTGAATTAATAGTTAGGGGGGAAAAAAAAAGGAAAGTAGAAGTCACCAGAACGCATGATCATTTCTAAGGATATAATTTCTTTGGACAGTACTGCACCTCTCTTAGTTACTCATTGGAAATAAATCTTTTTTGATGAGGTGGTTAACCATCGCTAACACTTCTACCTTAGGATGCAAATTACACATTCTACTTCAGGAATGCGTACATACAGAACTCTATGGAAGAAATTTAAATTGCCAGCATCTCAAGAACATTTTTTTATCAGATTGATTTTTCATTTTGAACTTGAATTTCCAAATGTCAAATGTAATTCAGATCTTCATTAGTGTTAGAAAATCCTAGAGGCGGAAGATGAAATTTACCATGAAAGCATTCCCTTGCTTCTCCAGCCATTAGCACTACATCACCACTTCGTAGAAACATTGCTAATGGCGGATCCTCCCTACATTTTCCTCCCAAAAGGAATATAGCCTTGCAGCCCAAACTGAAAGGGAAAGATACAGTCAGAAACCACATTTTTCTTCTTTCAATTGGAAATAAAGAATAAGAAAAAAAGGTAGAATTTCCAATATACCTCATGCTAACAATAGGTTTACTCCAATCAGCTTCCATGTCATCCAGATGGCCGCCAAGGGTATCACCTGAAAAAAGATTTAAATGATAAGGATGAAGATTTTTAAGAGTTGGGTGGCTGTTAATATTAAATCCACTTTAAATATTATTTAAATTTAGTAAAGAAAAAAAAAATTTATAGCCATGTACATAACATTGAGCATGGGTATGCCATATGCCTTTGCACTTGTGCATGTGTATCTCTATCTTGTTTTAAACTTCACTCAATTGATTTAACAACAGTTTAAGACCAATATCAACAACACAAATTAAATACAAAATATGTAATCAAGAATCTTCCAAGAAGTAAATTCAATAAAAACTACCTAATCCAAAATAGTTTACTATGGCAGCTTCTGGGCGGAATTCTTCTCCCATAGGCATTGCAGGAGCAGCCAATCTTTTAGCCAATTGCTGGAGGTCATTAGGGATCTTGTTATGTGGGAGAGATACATTGTAGTTTCGCTACATCATGAACTAACATGGATTAGAAATTCATTCCAATTGTTAAGTTTCACTATTAACATGTAACATAATGTTGCACTAACTGTTTACCTCCAGCATGCAAATCAATGTGCATAAATCAAGATAACAAATGAAATTCTTCACATATCCAACCTGAGTTAAAACTTAAAAACTGTAGCAAGTTTATGCATTTTGTGTGTTAAAAGAGTTTTACTACCTTCACACTCCAAATTTCAGATTTGTACAGCATTTGAAATGGCAAGTACTAACCATCTCCAATGGAGCATATTGTTATAAGCAACTAATGATAATGGTTTATATTGAATAATAAATCCATAGTGGTCAATCTCTATAATAGAAATGATTATGATTATCCACCATAATCTACAGCAATTTAAAATAATGCACAGTAACTGAAGCTCAGGAACAAAGAGTACCATATCTTCATGAAACTTGCACGAATTCCACATCATGTGAAACAGTGAAAGGTAAGTTTGTTGTACTGGTGCTATGGTATCACACTCAGATAGTACATACTGAGATAAATTTGAAGAGCATTGCACAAATGGAAATAGTTTTGATTTTCCATCCATAAGTGAAATTGATGGTTGCAAAGAGAAAAAAAAATAGTCTGGTCAGACAGATTTTGAAACTATATTCTTGCTATACTAGCTTAAGTGTCCACTATATGATTGAATTACTCAAAGGACTGAAAGTTCAAAAAATTTGTGTCCATGCTCCTATTCTACAATAAACATACTGGAATAAGTGAGACGATCAATTTTGCAATTCAAAAAGTAAACATAGTTTAATGTGTAATTACCTTGGACCAGTCAAATTGCAGGCCAAGGGTACTCCAACGTAGCCTTCGCAATAAAGCTGAAGCAGAAACGGATTTACATGTCTTTCCTCTTGATGAAGCAACATATTCTTCATAAAATTTCCATCTACAAGCATCTCCATTATCAACACAGGCATCAGATCCATCCAAATTGAGAAGTGAATTCTCATCCTCCATAAGTACTTTCCTCCCCTTTGCTGCGATAAACAAGTCATGTATAGGCCCATATATAGCATTGTGATTTGTTCTGTTAGGAGGCTGAGGAAAATTCATCAAGCTCTCTCTTATCCATAGGCATTGTTCCTCTATGCTTAATGCTCCAGGAATGAAATAAAAACCTACAACGAAAAACAATATAAATTTTTAATCCGATTTCAACCTTTCCAATTTCAATAAAAACCAAACTATGCAGAAAAAATATCCAGTTCAAAATTCTTCAACTTTAAAGCCATAATCAACAAATACATATAATAAAATGATTTATCCTGTCCAAACGTCATCGAAACCTCCTTCTATTGTCCGACTAACCAGAGCTGCTATCATATACGTGAAACCATTCATTGAAGTGTAAGGATAGGTAATTTAAACCTGGGCGACTTTCCAAGCAGAAGACGGGACGATCAAAACCGCAGTGAACCGCTAAAATTCCGTAAGAAAGTTCACCGTTTTGATTATAAGAGTCCAAAATTGACTTGAAATCTAAAACCTCCGATAAATCCACTTGCTTTGGTCGCTTTTTTCTGCTGATAAATGCTGATTAAACCGAAATGCACCAAGAGAAAAAAAAGAACAACGTTCAATTGAAATTGCTAATAGCTTACTTTTTTGAGGATTTAGAATCCTGATCGTAGTATAATTTGTACTTCTTCTCTGCTCTCCGCAAAGCTGTTCGTTCCGATTCATCGGTGACTCTATCGGATCCGTACATTTCAATTTAGTCGAGCGAGAGAGGAGGGAATCGATTTGATTGCTAGATTTTTCAAAATTAGGGCTTTTAAGTGCGGTGGCCGTTTATGGTTGTATAGTTACCGAGCAGGCGAACCTATGGCGTGGAAACTTTTTCCAGTTTTGTCTGTCGGGTATAAACGACACCGTGTCACTTGCCTTGCCTTCGTGTTGCCCGTGTACCATTTAAAACGACGACGCATTTTTAGCAAAGCTAAGGGCTCGGATGTTCATGTTATTAGCAGCGGCAGTTATTTTAACGACTATGCCCTCCACAGTTATTTGGGATAAATTTTGAAAGGGTAAATAACTTTTTTTTTTTTCTTTTCAAAACAAAAAAATTTTTTATATGGTAGATAATTATTTAGCTTTTGTTAAATATATTGTTAATTTTTGAGTTTTATTCCTGTTGAACTATTTCCTTTAGTCTTTTCATAAAAGAAAATGCTAGAGGTTAATAATTTTATTATTTTGTCCCTCATGTTTATTACTAAATTACTATTTAATTTCTCACTCAACGGAAATTCCTATAAAGTTAAATATTTTAATAAAATAAATTTTAGAATGAATCAGTGCATTTATCAAATAAGAGAGATAAAATAACTATTGTTGAGTATAAGGATAATTTTAAATCTTTATGATGTGATATTTAATTGAGGTAAATAAATTGGAAAAATATAATTTACTGGAAGGACGTGAAGTGATTGTATTTGATTTATATTATTATTAATTTCAATTCTTATAAAATAAATCATATAACTTCTTTTATACGAAAGAAGTAATTCTTTTAGAGACGGCAAGAGAGTTACACTTTCTTATCTAAGTGTAATGAATTTATCAATTTATTTTATTTTTTAAATATATTTAAATTTACATTATAAATATTATTGTCTTTTATAATTAGAGCAAGTACCACAAATAATCTTAAAGGAAGAAAGGGTAAAATGGAGAAAAAAGAAATTTTTAGATCAGGAAGTTACACTTACGAGAGGGAAAATTACTTGCCATACGACTAGGTAGGTGAAGTTTTTAACTTTCCGGAAATTTAATACTTCATGACAACCAAACAGGCTCACAATCAACGTGTCTTTTACTAACTTTTTCCTGCAGATTGCATGAGAAACATGTAACTCAAAAAGTAGTGTTTGCAGCATGATCTATTTGGCCAGCAAGGAATGAACTGTTATGGAATGGGAAATATTTTTTCAACGGCACAAATTGTTCACAGCATGAATCGGCTTCTAAACGAGTGGAGGACCGCAACTGTCCAGCAACAGCAGCAGCGTGGTGTTTTGCATTGTCAGGAATGCATTGTCAGATTTTGTTATCTCTTTATAATTCATAATGCAGTTCTAGTATGCGTATTACCAAAAAAAAAAAACAAGGTCACAATCTTTATTTTCTGGGAAATAATCCGCTTCTTAGTTACCCGTTGCAATCTTTATTTCCCAGGCTTAACAGATGGCGTTAATATATCACACTCTCCCGCGGGAACCGACCATAACTAATTAACTATAAAGGAAATGATTCGACCACTCACTTCTTCTTTGTGTTCCCATAAGGGGTTTAGTCGAAAAGACAATAAGGACCTTCAGAACTGCGTAGATATGCCTTTCATACGCCTACTTATGTCTTTTTATACGGTTTGACCTATGACTTAAAACGAGCACTACTACATTTGTTATGTCCAGTATAAACTGCCATGTCACCCACGGTAGAGGGAAAAAGAATAATATCTCGTTAATCGAAAGGCCAAAACCGATAAAAAAACCGTTTCGAAAGCCTTTGCTTAGGAATTCATTTTGAAGAAGAGAAATAATAAAAAACCAGAGATGGCGTGCAGGACCATTTTGCGTTTCCCTGTGTTCATAGCAGAGCCATGGCGACCTCTCCATAACCAAAATCGAGCTCTCAGTTCGCTATCGCTTCCTTCGAGAACCACCGTCTCTGGACTTTCAAGCCGTAAATCGAGTTGTGGATTTTGTAGAAGAAGCATTGGGGCTCGCGGTTTTCACTTAACGAGACGAAACCATCTAAATTGCTCCTCTTATACTGGTAATAATACAACCTCAGCTTCCAGTGATGACCAGGACCAAGGCCCGCCCCAAGAAGCTGTTCTCAAAGCTATTTCAGGTTTATGTTTCAACATTTGCTTTTAAATTGTTGCTTTACTTGCGCTTTTTGATTATTTTTTGTCTTTATCTGAAATAGGCACTTATTATAAGTTGGAAGTGAAATTTATTGGTGTGTTGATTAGATAATTTTGCTTATTTTTGGTTCAGAGGTGTCAAGGACGGAAGGAAGGGTCGGGCAGACCACAAACGTTGTTATTGGAGGTACAGTAACGGATGATTCTACTAATGAATGGCTTGTTTTGGATCAGAAGGTAAACGTTTATTTTCTTTCTTGTAATTCTCACTTTCCTTTCGTGTATAGTCCTGTACAATATTCTCAATGTTGCTTGTGGTTTCAAGTTTTATTATAGATTCCGCATTTGAAGTGTATTAAACTCAGTTTATGACACTTTAGTGTTTGGGTATTCCTTTGGCAATAATATCTTTACCTTAATTTGTTTCTCTCTTTCACTTGCCAGGTGAACTCATACCCAACAGTTAGAGGGTTTACTGCAATTGGAACTGGAGGTGATGATTTTGTGCAAGCTATGGTTGTTGCTGTTGAATCTGTAATTCAGAGACCAATCCCTGAGGTATTATATCATTTTCTTTCAGTTCTGGTTGCTGCAAATCAATTTGATAATTAAGATGTTTACTTGATGCACTAAATGAAATAAAATCTTAAGATTGGCATGTCGGTGCATGTGATTCCATATCACACTCTCAGTTTATTCCCATACAACCTTCTTACTAGATTCATACTTTTTTTTTTTTTTTTTCTGAAAGCTAGATAGTTTAAGGTTTTGCTGGATATTTTATTTATCCTTTGCTTGAAATGAGTGGTATTAGAAGATCGACTAATGAAATATAACAGAGAATATGTGTCTGGGATCGATGAACCACTGTTAGCCAACAGCTTGTCCTCCTGAGAAAATCAGAAAGATGTTACTTTAATACATGCAGTAAATAGAGACGTAGAACTGACAGCAACTGAACAGTGGTTCCTGTTGTTGCCAATGCAAACTTAAATATTCCAGGTGCCGCAGCAGATAGCTCGGTAAAGTATCTACACACTATCAAATTCAAACCCTTAAAACAAAAATCAATAATATATTCGAATACCTTAAAATAACAAGATTCAATCTAGAACTTCGGGATAAAATAAAGCAAACACATCTTTATTAAAGGAAATTCATAACATTATTGTTGAGAAACTGTTTTACATTCTTGAGTTTGAGTGATATGTATAGGATTGCAAATAGAAAACTAATTAGGAATGCAATTACTAACCTAAATCTAATTATGAAAAAATATATAAACTTTAAACTAGATAAGAATTATAATCTAACAAGGAAATTAACTACTAAACCTATATAACATACAATAGAAAATAAAATAAAATAAGAAGTCTAATTAAAAAAGAAAAAGAAAGAAAATACATATAACTTCAATAACAAGTATGGAGGACTTAGACACAGGGCTTGTAATGGAACAAGGCTTGCACCTGTTGATGGTCTTTGAACATAGCTATGTCATGTGGCTTTTTGCACCACATCACCAGGGTTACATTTTCATCAATCACAGGTTAGATTGAACAACATTGTGTAGAAAGACTAGTGCATTGTTAAGTATAACTGTCTCACCCAATTAGTTTAATTGATTGATACTGTCTGTGGTTTTGCTTTTACAATCCTTTTTTTGGATAATATAGTCAGGTCGGTATTATTCCTTGCATTGTTATGTGGATATATTGCTGATCCTGCTGTGGTGAATTTCAACTCTTGACAGTGCAATCAAAGAGAGTAAAACAAATAAACCATGCATAAGTTGAAGAGTGACCAAAATATCTCTCTTTAATAGGAACCATTTCTCACTTCGCAAGAGACCAAAAATCAGCACAGAAGCTAAATTGTACAGAGATCCTCAATGATAGTCTTAGTTAAGAGGTCAAACTTGTTTTTCCTCACGAGGTAACAATTTTCCCCATTGCAGTTCACTGGCAAAGTCAGTCATCAGAATTGAACAACAGGAAAGATGTGGAGAAGCATTCTTAATTGTTGTGATAAGTTACCGGTAGCTGCAAATTTTCAATTGTTGTGATAAGCTCCAAATAATGTATTATATAAATTTCAATTCCAGATCATTTACTAAAGGCAAAGTGAAAGAGAACCTAATGACTTGTGTAGTTGTCAAGTTCAAAGTATCAAATTATAAAGTTCAAATTTTAAAATAAAAATAAAGTAAAACTATTAAGCCATTAAAATTTACTATCAAATCCATATCTATTTATTATCATTTCCAAATTCAAGCTTTTCATTATCTTCATCTTCTAATATAAGAGAATATAACTATATAACTAGCTTCATCTTCATCATCTTCTCTTGCTCTTCTTTCTCTACGTTGACTTTTCTCACTTGTTTTGTTGGGTAAGAGAATTGTTAGACATGAGAATCGGCTGAAATCGTAAAATTCAAATTGCATCAACCATAAGATTCTGATAAAATTGCGGATGTAAGTTTCAAATGTTTTCTTGTTCTGGAAAAATTTTGCTATTTCACATACTCTTTTTCTTAGACTGCCAAATTTGCGATGGCCAGTTGAAATTAGCTACCTACATAATTTTATTTAAGAACAAGTATCTAATTGAAAGAGCTTTTGCCAGGGTCATGTGAGGCAGAAAGTATCATCAAGGGGCAAGTATGTCTCTGTCAACATTGGTCCAGTTCAAGTCGTTTCCAGTGAACAGGTCTCACTCTCTCTCTCTCTCTCTCTCTCTCTCTCTCTCTCTCGCTCTCTCTAACACACACACTCTTCACTTTCACACTGTAACTCATAAAAATAGTATCAATGAAGCACCACTTGTTTTTTCTTCACAGAAACACCCAAAAGATAAATTGAAATGGGTTGCTGTGCTTACAGCTTAAGAACTTTACCACCTTGTTCCCTGCCAAGAAGTTTGCGATCTATTATGGTGTCAAGAATATATCAGGAACACTTCATTATCATTATATTTTCTGCCCTCCAATTGACAAAGTAGATAACCATTTGTTGATAAGAACCTTTGTTGCTTTCCAGGTGCAAGCGGTATACAATGCCATGAGGAGAGATGATCGAATGAAGTACTTTCTGTAGTAGGAAAATTATTTTGTTTTGTACAGAATACGGATCTTGTGGGGCTTTATGATTGCCCACCCTTCCTAACTTTTCTTCACTATTTCGCTTCCAGTTGCGTTCTTTGATTAATCCATGTATTGCTGGTGGAGAAATCATGATTCAGCATGATCTTTTTTTACACCTGCACCAGATGAATATTATAGTAATTCAATAGTAACAAACTAGGAAACAAAATTATCTATTCACTTTGTTTATTCTTTTTTCTTTTGTTTTGGCAATCTTATATCAACAAGGCCCTAGATAAATTTGGTTATGGATGACCAATAGATGGAGCATCTTGGTTTGACTTTTATGTTTCAATTACTTGGGGAGTGCATATAGAGTTGTTCAAGTGCCCTAAAATCTGGATTGTCACCTTTGTTGTGTCAATATATCTCTTTGCGAGTCCAGGAAGTCCAGAGAATGCGAAACTAGTGGTAAAGGTTGGCCCCTGCTGGTTCTAACCTCGGTTGTAGGTAGCTGTACTTTCGTAGGACCTGTACCCATTTACATGCACCTTTGTTATACCTGCTTTGAAGGGTCTGCTTTCTTAACTATTGATTTGATTAATAACATTCAGCCATGTGGGATTGCTGGATATGATTATGTTCTTGCTTGCATAGTCATTCGGTAGGGAACGCCGGAGTGGGTACCAGCTAAATTCAAATGCTTCTATTACCTCAGATTTCTGGTTCAGGTTAATTTTCTTATCTAATATGAGATTATTTGCCCCTAGTGGGATTCTTCTGTAATTGAAAAGTGTCCTTATGATTAATCAGGTTAGCTTTATCAATTACTTTTTCTATGTGCACTAGTCAAACAAGGCATTTGCCATTATGTCATGAATTTTTGGTGACTTGATATCACGTAGATTGAGGTGACATTTTGTGTTCGCAAGTCATAATATGGTGTTGATTGGAGGCAAACATAAGAGTAGTGGTTGAAAAAATGCTCCTGAGATGCTGTGTAAACTAAATTCCAAATGCATAATATAGTGTAGGCTGTGTTGGTTGGTTGTCGGTAGTTTATTTCACCTAGCTTTGAGCCTTTTGACTCATCGTCCTATAGAGCAGTTTAGAGGGGCCATATGCTGCCCATTTGTGCCTACTTTGCTATTATAAAATTCTTACGGCGGAGATGACTCGAACTTGGGACTTTTTATTTCTCGCACTAATAAGAGAATCAATTATGCCACACTTGGTACCAAATTTATATTTATTAAGTATATTAAAATGACAGTTATATGGTCATGCATGCAGAATGTATCCATCAAATTTAAAATTTTACTAATACATAAATGACAAGAAGAATCACCAGGCCCAATGAACTCGAGCTGAATCTGAATGATTCGCATCACTCTCCAAGAAGCCACAAAGGGACGTGTTAAGGTTTAATCAATTAAAATTTTCTAATCTAATACTACCAATTTTCAAATTAAGCATATACTGGCTCCATGATCAGTCCTTTTCAGTCCAAAAAAAGATTCCTACTTGTTTACAAGTTTTATTACATTATAGTGCAAGTTCCTACGTCCTGAAATGCTCTAGCAGTCACCATCTCTACATAATTTTATATTCCTTTTGGTGACTTAGCATTCCTAATTTGATAATATATGCAGGTTGTATTCATTACTTTACATATATATCTTCGACTCAGGTTGATAGAGGTAGGCTAGTAATCCGAATATTATGATTAATTGATTATTAATTTATTATCATTTTTAATTTAATTTAAATGAAGGAAGGCGGTGGTCTGGTTAATCTTTTCACTTATGTGAGAAATGTGAGGTTCGAGTTTTAGTCCTTTTGACCACAGTTATTTTCATCAATTTGGTGAACCAAGGGGAGAGCTACCCCTTATTGTGTAGCTAGCGGTGTCATAACGATTTACTGAATTAAATATTAAATTAGTCTACCAATGAAATTAAGGGCCCGTTAATATTTTATAATCCTCTCATTCAACTCTAAACACTGTTATAACCTAATTATTGGACGAGCTTATTTTTTAAATATGGGTTAAGTAATTAACAATTGTTTCGAAGCCTCCGGTTGAAGGAAAATGTTGTCGTCATTAGTGAGTGTTTCTCTTTTTGTCTTGATTCCTTTAATAATTAGCACAAATTTTTTTAACCCATTTCTGCTATAAATCTTGCTTATATTGCCATTTGCTGGTCTCGACATCAACATTTCTTGCTCTGTTCTTTCTCCTTTCTTTCTTTAATTTGACTGTAAATTAGACTTCTTTCTTGATCTGTGAAGAACTCAAGAAAGGAGCAAGATAATCATGATTAGCAATCAAGAACTGATTGTAAATGAAGAGTCTAATAAGGTAGTTAATTTTTTTGTTGATTTTCAAGATTTTTTTCTTCTTAACCCATGTATTATTTTATTGCACAAATTCCGGATACATATGGTTCTTATTTTCTTTTACTTGTAAAGGAAGGACCTCAAACTTCCATATCCAATAATTCTGCAATCCAAAATGGCAGACCAAGCAGCATGGTGATTAAGGCAAGTCCTCTGTGTGTATAAATATGTATCTTATTATTTTCCTTACTACTTTTTTTCTCTAACAAATTCTTGATATATAACAGAAAGCACATAGGGTAATCCCAGCTCACTTAATAGCTGAAGCTATATCAACTCTTCGAGGTCTTGACCTGAGATGGTCAGGACCCATTACTCCTAGCGAAATGGAGTATGTAAGACAGTATGTGTTTGCTAAATATCCTCAATATTGCAATGGAATTGTAGAAGAAGGAGAAACAATTGATCTTTCTAATCTTTCTATCAATGAAGAATCATCGGAAACTTCTCCTGACGAAAAGCGCAGTTCTCCCAAGAAAGACTCTTCTCCTTCATTCACTCGTAGCCTTTCCGATCTTGATAAAACACAATTAGAATCCTCAAGACTGGTAGATATACTTTCCAAGAAAACTTCTTTTCCAGGAAACTTCATTTCAATTCCTGAAATCCAAGCTCGAAATAAAGCCTTGAAACATTGTGGCCTAAGTGAAAATGATTACTCAGTCATTTTCATGCCAAATTATAGAGATGTTATGGTTTTGATTGGAGAGAGCTACCCTTTCTTCAGGGGAAATTACTACATGACAATTCTTGGCGAAGAACTTGACGCGATAAGGGAATTTGCAGGTCATAAGGAGGCGAAGGTGATTCCAATGCCAGAAACTTGGTTGGATTTAAGGATTAAAGGGTCACAACTTAGCCAGTATTTTAGAAGGAAGTGTAAGTATACACCTAAAGGGCTGTTTTCTTATCCAGTTATTGTGAATGGGACTAGATATTCTCTGCATTGGATTTCAGAGGCACATAGAAATTCTTGGCATGTTCTTCTTGATGCAACTGGCTTGGATTTCGGAGAGGAGCGGCTTGCTCTTGCCCTTCACCGGCCGGATTTTGTGCTCTGTACACTTGATAATACACATGCTCAGCCTTCAAAAGTCACTTGTCTCTTGGTCAGGAAAATTTCATTTGATACTTCAACTTCTTTGCCCTAGCTTAGGTTCTTATATTGAAAAGTTGAAAAATATATTGCTGTTTTAGTAAGGACTCAACAAGAGAGTAGCCTGAACTATTTTTCTGTATTTGCTCCTTTTCAAAGAAATCATATTGCCCATGATTGTTTTTTTTTTTTTTTTTACTTTCTTTCTTTTTTTTCTCCTCCAAATGGGTCATAGATAATCTCGTCGGCTTAATAGTGAAGCTCGCGAGCTCGATTTTTGCTTTAACTTTCAAGTTTATCGAATGACTTTTCTCTGAACCAAGCCTCCAAAGCTTGACTTATTCAATATTTATGACCCTATCCAACAAAATACAGAAAATATGGTAATTTAAGGATATTGAAAGGATATAAATTAATTAAAATATATCATATAGAGCGAATATGAAACGATCCCAAAAATTATTTTCAAAAATTTTTCATTTAAAAATCTAAATATTAATTCTAACAATGATGTTATAGACACATATTTAAAATAACTAAATAATACCTTGTGAATTTATTTAACAAATAACTAAATAATACCTTGTGAATTTATTTAACAAAAGTGAATTAAGTTACTTAGTAGATATATATATTGAATTTTTATTTAGATTAACATTGGTTCTTAGTGGCTAGTTTAAATTTTAACAAATGTATAAATATATGTGGTTTAAACCTCAAGCAAGGATGATGAAATAAAGGCCTGATGAGGAGTTTTATAATTTTATAATGAGAGTTTTATAATGATGAGAGGCTAAGTAACTATAAGCAAGGATGATGAAATAAAGGCCTGATGAGGAGTTTTATAATTTTATAATGAGAGTTTTATAATGATGAGAGGCTAAGTAACTATCAAATGGGAGTTGTTGAATTTAACTTATCAATACAAGTTTTGTTTGTAATTGTTCATTTATTGGGTAATTAGTTAGAAAATAATTAATAATATCATTGGAACAAGCTCGGAGGTTATTATAATTTGTAAATTAATTGGTGGATGTTGATATGGTTGTTTTGAAAGAATGATGAAAATTAAGTTATTTGATTGCCCAATGGATGGAGCGCGTGTGTTTGATTAATGAATGTTACATATTTAATATTGTCTAAACAGGTAAAAAGTCATATTTTTAGGGGAGATTCTATCGAAATTTGGGCAGAATCTTGAATAATCATACTTGATAAATAGATTGTTATATTTATTTAGAATGATTTTTTATTCTTATTAGGAGGAGTCCTTTATTTAATTCTTCTCCTTTCAATTCTACTTCATATAGATTATTCAAGATCGTCTTCTGCTTTTGCAAAACAGAGCTACGATTAGAGTATTCCTTTTTTTATTGTCGCGAGTTATAATAAACAGTATATTATCATTTGCATCGTGCATACATACATTGTTATATAATGCTACAATTTCTTACTTATTTAATTATTACTTATTTATTTATTTGTTTAGTTTATAGCTTAAATATTCATTATTTTATTCTTGATTTATATATGTGTATAATTGAACATTTGCATAACAATGTTTGTTTATTTAAAGTGCTTGCATTTACATACAATGCTTATGTTATGACATAATTATTATTCATTATAAAACTCACATTTTTTTTGTTTAACTTTTTAAGGAAGTAGATTCTTTTTTGTTCCGGCTAAAGTTCCATTTCTTCATCGCAGAGCTAAAATAATTTCCTGATTCCAATAATTATTTAATTTGTGAGCGTTATGTATAAGAAGTTATTTATTTATGTTATTATTGAACTCCTCCGTGGTAGGATTATTAAATCATTTGTTATATATGGAATTAGGGCATTTAAAATGGTTTGGATTGTTATCATTATATTGAACCGTCTAGTTGAATATATATCTATTGGGTTTGTTGATTGATAAATAATGTTTCAGACTTACTACATGTTTCAATGTCTTTAAGTTTATTTAAACTTTAGTGCCGGTCCGGCCCATGGAAACGAATTGTGATATGATTGCAATTAAGCAAATTTAATAATTAAAATTTTTTTCAAAAACTCCAATTCAAAAGGGATAATACAAATCTATTATAGGTAGAAATTACAAATTATGAAAATTAAGAAATAAGAAAATCTAACTTAATTAGGCCAGGCATAATCTGCTCGTCTGATTAATTTATTAGTCAATTATGTGATAGACTTATTAATTTTGGTTCATATATGTAATTTATAAAACCTATAAAGTTTATATTAAAGGGTTGTTTCAAAAGCTTGGATCTTTTTATTGCAAGCAATACTGTGTTTGTCCTTTCTCCATTGATCTGTTAGGACAAAGTAGGTCAACGGCAAACCCATCCCAAAATCAAAACATTTATTGTTGTTTACCAACGCATTATTTGGGAATAAATTTTAATTTGTCCTCTCAACTTAGAGGTAATATATAATTTGTATAAAAATTAATTTTTTTTTATATAATTATCAACTCAAACTTGCACCAAATAATAAAAAAAATTGAATTTTTAGTAAAATAAAAAAGATAATTTTTAATTTTAACGCTAATTTATTTTAGAATGTAAATGTTTTTAGCTGTCTGAACACGTCTTTCTTCACCCTAAACTGAAGTCTCATTAGTAAAAATTTTAATGCCAAAATTTTGAATCGCATATTGAATGTGTACAATCGCATTTACGTGCGTTTTTTAATAGCAAAACGCAGCAATGACACCTGTCCAGACATGGACGGTGAAGTTATCAAACGACAGGAAAACAGAGAAATAAATAAACCAAAAAGGAGTCTTTATTAATTTCCATTTTATAGATACTGCAACAAGCAAACCAATCTCCAGCCCGAAACATCATTTTCGAGTCTCAATGAAAAGCAGGTCTTACACTACGGCGCACCGAGAAGCTTCATATCATTTTCAAATCCTTACCTCTTTCAATCAACGGCCATTATCAATTCACTTGCCTCATATCTCTCTTCTTCCATTTTCCAGCACAAATTCTCTGTAACTCTATCCTATAATGATTATTATAATTAAGCTAAAAAAGAAAAAAAAAATTAATGGTATCAATTAAACGGAGCATTCTAGCACCATGTACCTCCGCGGCTCACATTCGCCGCCGGTGGAATTTCGAAATGCCATAACCTACCTACAGCCTTAACCAGATGTTTTCTACATAAGAACTCCTCTGCGTAAACTTTCTCCACCTTACGGTCTACATCATGCAAGAACACATGCGTCACCCCCGACCCTTTCCTCGCTCTTGCCATTACCGCCGCGGAGAATATCGCCGCCATTCTCCCCGGCGCCTCCGCAAAGTAACCTTTTGGCGCGTCGATCATGATCAGATCCCATTCTTTGTCGTACACCACGTCCGGTAATCCGGTTAACGCTAGTTTACAGTTATAGTTGCCGCGTAAATATGCTTTACTAGGTGAACAGTACGGTTCGGACTGGTAACCGGCGAGAAGCTTGTCTGCCTCCTGTAGTTGCGTCCGATACTGGACGGTGTAAGCTTGCAAAGTAGGAGCGTCTTTGAGGACGGTCCGGACCCACTTAGGATCTTCTTCGAGGAATATGGTGGTGCCGCGTGGATTTAAGGAGGTCCACATGAGAGAATCATGGCCGAGACCAAAAACGAGGAAGTTGCAGGGAGCGCGATCCTTAAGAACGTCGAAGGAGACAGAGATTTCTCCCAAAGATTGTTGTGGGACAACGCGTGAGGTGGCGTATTGGAGAATGGCATGGAGTTGGATAGGCGTAGCGGCGTACTCCGCCGTAGCACGGGCTCTTTTGTTGGCCAAAGAACAGAGGAAGTTTCTGTTGATGGAACGGTTGATGCCGCCGGATAAGAACAGCGAGCCGATTATTAGACCGCCGATGACGAATAGGAGGAGCCATGATTTTTCGGGGAGAAAATGGCGATTCTTCATGTCTGATGCCTGAGTCTTAGGCTTTTCGAGGAAGGAAGAAATGGAATGGTGTTCTTGTCTGTTTCTGTTTTGGGTTTGTGGTTTGTACTATATTAAGCTATAGGCCATATAGAGAGAGAAATGGGATATTTATTGATAATATTTTAATGGGCATAAACAACCACGACAACAAGAAGAAGAAGAAGTGGCTCCCACGTTTCTGTGGTCCTGTGGAAACTTGTTTAATGTCTAGCATGAATGTTCCATTTTAATTCTCAAGTCATTATTTTTGCTTATGCATGGTAGATTAGAGACACACGTAATGATCTTAATTAGTCAAATTTAGATCAATTTTTTTATTCGTTTAAGTTATAATGATATTAAGGTTTAAGGATTAGTCTCAGATATGGAAATTTCATGATGGGAAAGTCTCATGAATTATGCAGTACTCAAATGGGATATAATCAAAGTTTACTAGACTTTTAGATACGGATAATTATACACTAAAAAAATTTTATTTTACATATATATAGTGATCAATATTTAAATTTAGATTATTTGATACTTATTTACATATATATTGCTTAACTAGTATTCTCAAATTAAACTAAAATTAATTCCGAATTCGCGCGATGTGCGGATTGTATAATTTTTCAAGAAAATTATTTTAATTTATATTTGACTTGCTTTAATTTAAATAATTTGTTTATGTATTTTTGATTAAATGATGGAACGTAAAATTATATTTTTTTTAATTTCTCAAATATTGAACTGAAATATAAATTAGCACAATTAATTATTATAAACGAATTATTGTTATTCAATTGATATATTTAGTTGATTTTTTTTTTTCTTTGAAATTCTCATATATTCAAATTAAATGAAGTTTAAGAACATTTAATCTTAATGAAATAAATTTTAGTGAATTGAAATTAATATTTTAATTCAATTTATTAATCTAATTATATTATTTAATTCAAATGAAGTTTAGAAACATTTAATCTTTAATGAAAATAAATTTTAGTGAATTGAAATTAATATTTTTTAATTCAATTTATTAATAATTATATTAAATTTAATTTAAATTTTTTATTAAACTACAATATGTTTATAACTCTTAATTTTTTTTATAGAATAAAAATTTCTTTAATAAAAAAACTTTATATTTTATTATATATTAATTATTAATGAAATTCTTATTAGTTTTAATTATAAACTCTACTTATTTAATAAAAAATATTACTTTTTATTTAAATATAAAAAATATTAATTATATGAAAAATAAAAAATATAAATGCCATCACCTTTCATATTTTAATATGTTGACATAAGCATTTAGGCCTTAAAATTATAATATTTATTGAACAGATATAGATAGACTAGATTTTACGTTGTAATAAATCAAATTTTTAATTTTCAATTTTTTAATTATAATGAAAAAATAAAATATCATGCCATCACTTTCATATTTTAATATGTTGACATAAGCATTTAGGCCTTAAAAATTATATATTTATATGAACAGATATAGATAGATAGATTTACTTGTAATAAATCAAATTTTTAATTTTTCAATTTTTAATGAATACGATGAATGAAATTTAAATAACTATGTAATAACATGAGTTATATATATATTTGGGTAATAAATATATAATTATTCGTAAAAAAGTGAGAGTTACGAAATAAAATTTAAACCAATTTAACATACAGATGCAAACAATGTTAATTGCTTGATTTGGCAATTCAAGATTATCTCACGAGCATTATTTTTTTTTTTAAAAAAAAAAAAGCCAAATAAATAATTAGTAAATAAGCTGTAATTTTAACTACCAAATAAGAAAATCTACCAGTAAAAACTAACTAGAACAGCATCGTAAGTAAGCTACCCCTGCTCTATCATGCAAAAGCCATGATAGAATACTATGTGGGGTTGTTAGACAACATGAATATTAATAACTTGTTCTGTTTTTGGTTCATTTTTTCCTAAGGGATAAGGTTTGTTATTACCGAATTGAAGAAATATTTTTCTCATATATGGAGTTTTCACCCTATGTTCTTCTTTTCAGAAGAAATAGAAGCTTTATTAAGTAGTTAAATCAGCAAATAAGAAAGCTTTTATACAGATGGAATAGTATCCGAATGATGAAGGCAAGAGAAAGAACACGAAGCTCTAGCTAAGCTATGAGCTGCCATGTTAGCTTGCTGACTAATCTAAGAGAAAGAGCTATCTACCAACTCACTCATTAAGAATTTTACAATCAGAGATAATCAAGTTGAGCTCGGAATTAAGATCAGATTGTTTTTGCAATGCTTGGTGAACTTGAAGAGGATCATTTTCAATGAACAAAGGAGCGAGCGACTGAGACAGCCAAGAAGAAACTTCTCTTCCACTGCCAAACGCGAATCAATCTCAAGGACAATGATAACCCAAACACCAAGTTAATAAATATTGACAGGTTAATAATAATTTCCTCTTCGCTAGATGGTTAACCCATCATCTATGACATAAAAATATATGACTGTCGTTTCAGTGATGAGCCAAACGACAACGATTTGATGGCATCGAATCAAAAAATGCACAGCCTGTCCTTGCCGTCGGTCGGTTAATTTAATTAAGAAGCCCACAGAAAGCCCAAAGGCATCAAAGCTAACAGACTTGAAGGAAGGCCCATCATATCCATTTAATTGAACATCATTTAATGCCCACTAACATAACCAAAGCAGGCCCACATGCAAAAAATGTCCAAATTTTTGTCTGACCGGTTTGATTCGATTTCTATTTACTTCAATTTGATTCGGTTTTTTTAAAAAAAACCAAAGCTATTTTTTCGATTCGAAACCAAACCCCCGTTTGGATACCACTAGACAAGGCATGCATGTATGGATTTTAAAAATAAAATCCGACCCAAACACACCTCTTTCAGCGGCTCATGTCGCCTTTAATACAAGACAAACATATATTTACTCTCAGGGTACGGGTACGAGAACGAGAATTAAAAGATTTGCATTTTGCCATACCGACAGCCATCCCCCGTCGTGTCGGTTGACTCGAGTCATTTCATTAAAAAGCCGAACAAGCTGCTGTTCTATTTAAACAACAAGGGACTCTCCTTTCCAAATACTGATTTTTAATGACCAATCGTCCACTCGACGACAGGTAGTTCAGTTGCAACTTGGAGCCAACGTTATACTGCAGTATAGTATTTATTGATACGTTGCTATACGACATAAATTGATTGAAGTGCAGCAGTTGAACGATGATTGGAAGAGAAGGGTCAAGGGTAGATGTAGAGTAAAGAGTAGAGTCTTAGCTACATCAGCATTTACTGGACAACCACCGAAATATCTGCCCAATGCAATAATTTTTCAAATGAGGAAGCAAATATTCAATTTTATGTTAAAAGCGAACCTCAGAGTTTAATTTTCAAAATAAATAAATTTTCTTGAGGAAAAAAAGGATAAATAGTTGAAAGTTGAAGCATTTATATATTTATGAACGATCTCGATCTCTGCTGCCAAAAAAGTATCAAACATTAATATATGTAAGATCTGTTTTTTTTTTTCTTTTATTTGTCACATAAGGATTTGTGAAAGCATTTATATACCATGTTCAAAATAGTAGTATAATAAAATAGAATCACAAAACATAAATATGACATCAATCCTAAATTTAATTTTTTGAATTTTTTATGATCTATGTTTGCTTAATGAACAAACTTTCTACTTCCTTAAAAAAAAAAAAAACACACCTTAATTTTTATCTTTTTGTATATTTTATTATCTGTTTATTTAACAGTTAAAATTCAAGATAAACAATTAGAGATTAAAATTTAGCTAGAAAATGAAAAAACAAAATAATAAATCTATAATTTCGAGTGAATTTCAAATTTTATAAACCATTATTGTTATTTTTTGGTTTGAGTATCAAGAAAAATGAGATTCGATCTTGGATTTATTATCAAATCGTATATACACTTATTATTATTGTTAAAATTTAAACTATAATTATTTATTTTTTATATTCCTTAATATTCACAATTTATTTTCATTATAATAAATTTTCTCCTTTGAGAAAGTCTAACGCACTAAATGCTTCGCTTCTTCTATGCATGTGGTCTCCATACTCGACCATCCTTCCTGCTGGCTGTAATAGAATTGACGAATTGTTGGCTTAGAGATCGGACCCCACTCCTCCACCTTATAACGGAAGCCGTTCGGTTAGGAGGAAAAGAACACACACCAAACAAAATGCATGACGAAATCAGGTTAGTCTTCTTCCCGTTATCCGTTACATCTAGGAAAGCACCTTTTCTTTTATATATACATATATACACATAGTTTTTGATATATGTGAATTATTGAAAATCATGCATCAAATTATATTTTTAATAAATATCTTTTTTTTTAAATAATTATAAAAGTAAAATTTTATTTAATTCCATCCATCTATTTTAATTTTAGTTTTAAAATTTTGAAATCAATGCACTTATAAATTCAAAGTTTGCACAAATATGTATTCAATTAATATAAATTTAGTTTTAAAGATTCACGTTCATGCTAGGATTCAATGAACTCACGTGTACGCAAAATTAATGACATAATATTTTGATTAATATAATAGTATTTCTAATTATACGTTGAAAATAAAAAATGTATATATTTTATGAAATATTTTTTTTATTGATTTAGTATATAAGAACACTCGCAAGTCATATCATTTAGGTAAAGTACCAATAATCACCGCTTTAGATTTTTAAGCCTTAAATAACATTAAAATTGAAATTCAATTCAAAATATAATTTATTTATGATAATTTAATTATTTGTTATCGGAAATACTTTTTATCGGAAAGAGAGAACACTAAAGTGGAATTGATGGAGCACTTCATAATAAAAATTTTCTTGCAATAATTAGTTGTCTTAAAAAAAAAACAAAAGAGGGGACACTAAACGTATGAAATTTGTCCTTTCTATTTTCAAGACAAACTAAAAGGCATTTACACTATTCCATATTTTCGCACACACACAAAATATGTAATCAGATCGCAACCGTTCAAATCCATGCAAAGCAAAACCAAAAAATAGTAAATGGGTATATCACAGCCGTCAATTAAACACACAGAACAAGATCATCACGACTCTGCCACGTGGTTAGTTTAAAGACGCGTGTTTCTCTACTCATTAAACTCCCAAACTGTACTGCGAAACCGACAACTACCTCAGCCATGCCTATACAGACTGGAGACTTTGCTAGTAATAACTCTTTAAGTGCATCCCAACTACCTCAATAGACCACCATTTAAAACCCAAAAGCCTAAAACTCGATCACAACCATTAATTTCAAAGATTGTGGTCCCATCAATAAAATAAACGGCCAAGATTCCAAATTCTAATAACAAAGTTACGAAAACAAACCAATTATTATATAGAGAAGCTTTGGTTTCTCTCTTGCAGTATTGTTTCTGGTACTTAAGAACAAAAAAAGAGAGGAAAATAGGGATCAAAAGCAAGAAATTAGTATGGAGAGCTTGAAGATTGCGATAATGGTGATGTTTTTGTTAAGTAGTGTGAATGGGGCAAATTTAGCAGAAGATTGTAGTGCAGATTTGCAGAAGGTGACGCCATGCTTGAACTACGCGACAGGGAAAGCGAATACGCCGACAAAAGATTGTTGTGGTTCAGTGAAAGAATTGAAAGAGAGTGATCCAAAGTGTTTGTGTTTTATGATTCAACAGACTCATAACGGTAGTGCACAAATCAAGAGTTTGGGTATACAGGAGACTAAGTTGCTTCAGCTTCCTTCTGCTTGTCAGCTCCAAAATGCCAGTATTAGCTTCTGCCCTAGTGAGTCCTCTCTCTTCTCTTTTCTTTTCTCTTTTCTTTCTCAAGTTAGAATATTCAGTCTTTTTGACATTTTTTTTTGTAATTTCAAATTTTAATGCACGAACGATAGGTCCCTCACCAAAATTCAAAATTTAGAGTGCTATTAATATTTCTTCTTACATATAGGAGTAAATGCGTTTAGCGTTTTTCATCTAATACATACTGTGTTTACTGCAAATCAAACTGATCTAATGTCTTTTAATCGCAATCCAGTCCGAAAGGATTGGCCTCTCTCATCTAACCTTAGACGGAAGCGGGTCCGAAAGGATTGGTCTCTCTCATCTAACCCTTAAATTTTATCTTAATCGATAAAAAAAAAAAAAAATCTAATGTTATCTTAATTGATCTTATGTTAGTCAAATCAAACTGGAAAATTGACTACTAATGCTGCATGTGATCGTCATCATTAATTTGGTGGTTGCTATTTATGTCGTTTAGTATTCCCCCTCTGCCCAGAAATATCACAAATATAAGACGTCGTTTTAGAAATATAAGTTGAAGAGTAGTGTTTATGTTGATAAATATAAATGGTTTTGAAAATATTATCGAATAATTGATGAACTTTTTAAATTTTATCTTTATACATATTACATACAAGAATTATTAATTATTAATGATACAAAATAAACGATAATTTAATTAAATTATAAAATTTTTATTATAATGTATGAAAATTAATTGCATTCTTATTTTTTAAATCTGCATGCAAAAACCTTAAATAAATTACATTTATAGCAAGTGAAAGAATTGATAATTGATGGTTGAAGTGGCACCACAATTGAATTCAACGAAACTGGTAAATCAAAGAATTAAGAAGCGGTGGTTGAAACAGTAACACGACTAAATTAAAGAATTCATAAGCGGCGGTTGAGGTGGTAACACAATTGAATTCAGGAACCTAACTCAACATGAGGTTAGTTACTATCAATTAATGATTTAATAAAGTAGCGTTCAACAAATATTAAAAAAGTCAGTCAAATGTGAATGGTTGGTTTTTCTATGTCTGATTCTTACAGAAGATGCGAAAGATGAGGCTGAGGTTTGACGTTTGAATCCTATAGAACTCACAATATTACTCCGGTCCATCGGACCTCTAGCTATAAAAAACAAAAAATAATAATAATAATAAAGGTTTTGATGTGTGTGTATTGAATGCACAGAGCTTCTTGGCCTATCTCCTAGCTCCCCAGATGCTGCAATTTTCACAAATGCTACTGCATCATCATCATCAACTCCAACTTCTTCAACTGGAACATCGACACCGGAGAAATCTGATGACTCCAGTGGAACCAACCATGGATCCGGTCCTTTGGCGATTGCTGCGGCCATTTTTATCTACTCTTTCTCTACCGTATCTACTTCTATCTTCTAACTTCTAGGCTTGAAGTTGAAGGTGAAAGCCACCAAATGAGAAAGGCTGAAATGTGGTGAAGCTTGGTTTTTCCTTTTCTTATTGTTGTTTTCTTAATTTTCAAAGTACTTTTCTGTGCTTTTATTATTGTATTATTAACTTTTCCATGACATGGTTTGTGGTTTAGGCTATTTTCTTTAAAGCTTTCCATGCATGCCTTTCATTTCAGTTTTTGTTGCTGGCTATCCTAGTACGTGTAATGCCAAGGTGAAAGGGATGGATCTATACCAGTATAAACATGACAGGATAAACGTAACTAGTTGTTATTAGGCCAATCTAAACTTGAGATTTAAATAATAGTATTACGCCAATCTCAAGCAATTATCCTTGTAGTCCTCTAAACTTTACCGGAAAATCATTATGATTCTATATTTTCACATTTCAATAATAATTATATCCTCGCCAAAATGAAATATGAAAGTGTAGAGTCATGATTAAATCCCTGTAAAAATATTTCGTTTTTGCGATAGACATGTTTATTACTGAAATTTGAAGTGTATGGTTATAATTGAATCCTCGCAAAGTTTAGAAGGCTACAAGGATAATCGGCCAAACTTTAGGGTCAAATTTATGCATTAAGCTTTTAAATAATTCAACTAACACATGAACCACGACACAATCCCTACATTAATCACAAATATGGGTTCAACAAAATAATCAATGGAAGTAAAGCACAAACACGAATATCATATGTAACTTTGCCAACATCTTCAATCTTATGAAACAATCCACATATAATCTCCATGTAGATTCAAATGTAAATAAAATCAAATAAATAGAACCGGAGAATGAAAAGAGCCACCATCAAGTTTAAACTTTCTGCGGTCGAGACATCTAAAAGAAATTTCCTACCTATCCGATTAGTTGAATAAGCTATCTGTCAGCTTCTGTTTTCGTGTTGGACTCCCATGGCCCCGTGAGGCAGATGTGACATAGACAACTTTGTTTCGGTCTCCTTCAGAGAAACAGCTTCAGCAAAGCTCTTAGACATGTTCTGTATGAAAGCATTAGAAATTGAAACAGGAGTTTGTTCATTATCTCCAATCACTGGACTAGACACTAGAGTTGCTTGTTGATGCTGCCTTGACTTCCTTGCTTGCATTGCTTTCTGCCTCTCTTCATAAAAATGGAAGTCGTCTAGGATGGATGAATGGCTTTCATAATTTTTAAATATCTTTAACATCTCAACACCGTGTTCGAGTTCCACCTGTGACATTTGGCAAACGGCATAAATATCATCCATGAGAAATATAATAAAGCAACTGACTGTACATGAAACTGATCTAACAACTACTACAGTAATAACAATTACAATAACAGAAGACTATTGCAGAATCAGGCCTTGGTTTCAAGGAACAAAGAACACAAGATCTTCCATACAGGCACCGTTAATATTCTGCAAGCATACATCATATGACACAGACAATCAGTAAAGTGCATGCAGGAAAACCATCCACAATCGATAAATTTGTCCCAGAGGACACAAATTTTTGCATGAGTAGTGAAAATTAGGCATGGACTAAATTTTCATTCATTCAGAATAACAATGAGATATCAGCAGGAAAGAACATTAAGTGCCAAAGGGATGGCTTTGTAAGGCTTGCAAGGCTCATGCGGAAAAATAGCAAGGAATCTTACAAAGCTGTAGAAAGCCATCCGTTGAAAAAAAAAAAAAAAAAAAAAAAAAAAAAAAAAAAAAAAAAAACATGATTACAATAACAGAAAGACTATTGCAAATCAGGCCTTTGGTTTCAAGGAAACAAAGAACACAAGATCCCCTTTACAGGGCGACCGTAATATTCTGCAAGCATACATCATATTGACACAGATCCAATCAGTAAGTGCATTGCAGGAAAAAAACCACTCCACAATCTGAATAAATTTGTCCCCAGAGGACTACAAATTTTTTGCTATGATAGTGAATTTAGGCATGACGAAATTTCATTCATTCAATACAATGAATATCAAGCGGAAAGAACATTAAGTGCCAAAGGATGGCTTGTAAGGCTGCAAGGCTCATTGCGGAAAAAAAATACAGGAATCTTACAAGCTGTAGAAAGCCATCTCGTTTGAAAAAAAAAAAACAAAAAAAAAAAAAAAAAAAAAAAAAAAAAAAACCAGATTTTGTGTAGTGCTAGTTATTGTGTTAACTAAAAAAAAAAAAAAAAAAAAAAAAAAAAAAAAAAAAAAAAACAGAATTTTGCTGGTAGTGCTAGTTATTGTAGTTAACTACAGCTGAACAAGAAATGTATGACAGAGCAGAAAATGAAAGTTGGTAGTGTCAAAGTCCTTGGCCCGGCTTGACACATCTAGCAATTAATTTCCGAGCAGGTCCAATATAACCACCGCAGCCAACTGAAAGCAAAACTGTAAAAAGCAAGTGATCCTATTGCAAATGAAATTGAAGTTGCAAATGGCAAGGCAAATGACCATCATTCAATGAAAAATAATAACACTGGGAGAATTTTATGAAACCCAACTGAATCCATACCTCTTGTGTATCTCTACTGTTAGTGACTGGCTTGTTATCATTATTTTCAAGCACAATATGACGAAACTGGTTGTTAGGTACATCTTTAATAATGTGCCACTTGACAGGAAACTGTCCAGACCACTTATCCTGCTGCCAATAATCCACACTTTTGTCGAAGTCCACAGGCCCAACCATCTCAGCCACTCCACAAAACTGGGCACTTGCATTCACCTGTATATATAATTATGCAATGTGAAAACAAAGACCATCGCAGTAGTTTCAATATTATCTTTGTGGATTTTTCATTATACTTCAATGAAATAAACTTTGCTTTTTATCTGAGATGTTCAATGAAAGAAACTTAACCAATGACTAATGTAAGTATCCATTAATAGCTAGCCACATAACATAAATTTTGACGAGTATAATAATGGCAACAGCAAAATAAAGAAAGAAAGAGAACCACACCTCTGGAATATTTTTGCTTGCATGGAGCAATTACAAACAAGATATAAACACATCAATTGATGAAAGAAAAACTAAGTAGAAAGATGCATTAAAGTTGCTGCACACAATGTGTTGAGGCATTTTTACATTCTTTAAGGCCACCAATCAACTAGGTAAAGTAAAAACCAAGATATGTGCTCTAAGAAAGCATGTAGCTGTTGAGTTGGCAAAGTGATCATATCCACTAGAATATGATAATCACTAGGAGATTGAGCGAATTACCGAAAATAATAGAAAGACAGGACATGCCCCATGCTTCTCAATTGCCTCATGATAAGCAGCATCTAATTTTTTATTTCCATTTGGAGTGCTTGCCCAAACACTATACTTTATGCTCTTATGAACATTATCTTCACTGTAAGATTTTATAACAAAGAACTTTGCGTCCTTGTAGTCAGTGACAAAATCTAGGCGATTGTAGGACTCATTACAAATGTCAGAAACTGCATTCCTATGATTATCAGTCACTGAACCATTCGCTGCTGCTGGACCTCTCGGCTTGAATGCCCTAGGTCCTCTATTTCGCTCACTTAATGTATCAAGTGCAATATTACAATTGCATGAGAAGTCATTGCACCTTCCCCCCTGTTTTGCTTCATGAAGTGTGGGCCAGCTCTGCCCACTCATTCCAAACATAGATGAGGAAACAACATCATAGCCAGAGTTCCGATTATTTTGACCTTGAGGATAGCTTTTATAGGTGGAGCCCAAACGAGATCCAAACCCATAAAATGATTCTTTTTTTGGGGAATCCTGAGCAAAATTTCATTGTTAGATGATACACTAAAACTTGAAAAATTCACAGGCCTCACAAAACTGAAAGGAGTCTAGCTTCCATTTAATAAAAGAAATAAATAACATGAGTGAATCCTGTTCATGTAATAGAACTAACCATTCCAAAATGGTTCACAGACAAACCTAGTGAACCAATTGGTTTTGGACCAGCTGTTGATGACGACAAATGCGCAAAAGAACCCTTCCCAATTCCAGGTTTTGACCAATCTGACCACAACCCACTATTTTCAAAGCCATCATATCCTTGTTGTAAAAATTTAAAGCCTCCAGATTCTCCTGAAAAGTTGCTTCCTCTGCCAAAGGATCCCAGTGAAGGCAGATAACCTGGTTGAGGCTCAAATCTGTTGCCATCACCTTGGGGATTAATGTTAACTGGCAGCTTAGCAAGAGATACTGAGGTTTGTGAAGAAATATTTGGAATGTTTGGTGAAATGAGTTGCTGGTAGTAAGGTGGCTCTGAATTTGGCAACTCTCGGACATTAAGTAGTTGGCCATGACAATTTACAGGCTGAGGTGGTGTCGCAAATGAGGGATATGGCCTTTGCGGCATTTGGGGAGTGTATCCACCATAACCATGAAATGGAAGTGATGACGAATCAGTGTAGACACCCTTATATAAGATGAAAAGAAAACAAATAAATAAGAGAACTTTAAAATACTCAGAGATGGGAACATAATAGGTAGTGGAAAGTGAAGGCAAAGAAATATTCTCAGTTTCTTACATAAGAACTACTTTCCAAGCCTTCAGCATTAACATCCGGAAGACATGTGTCCCATGTACCAACCATATTCCCATTACCTGAGTTACAACAAAGTGAAAGATAAGGAAAACTTCAAACTGGTGCCCCCTGGTTATCCCAAACCATCTCAGGAAATATCATCCCTACAGCTCGATCAATGAGCCACTCCTAATTCAACATACTTCAGCCATAGTAACACAGACTCAGAATCTAAGCATCCATAAAAGTGTTTTCAGCCATACATTCAACTGAAATACGTATTGACGTTTAAAGCAATAGGGATTGAACATTGAATATACATGCAAATGAATGAAAAACTCAGTCAAAAAGAGAAAACAGACAATGAAAAGGAATAATTTACTATTTTCAAAATTTCTCAGTTGTTGTACCTGAAACAAATATTCCAGTTTAAAAACAAGATATCTCACAGGCTTAAAATTCCACTTGAAATAAAGCAAGTTTTGGTGAGACAAAACTCATATCCACGGAAATGTCAAGAGCGAACTTCTGAAGTTCTTCGTTAAAACATCATGAGCACAAATGTCAACTTAAATGAGCAAAAGTCCATCATATTCATCTAATCTGAAGTAGAAATACAAACTCATCATCTCAAGTTTACATTTTGAATCCATCAAAATAGAAAAGTATCCATTACATATCTAACAGAAAACAAGAACACGGTATTATTTCTTCTATATTCTATTGAAAAATAAAAGAAACTAACCTGCATGATAGATTGACTGTGTCTGAGAGGGACAAGCATTGTGTGAGGCATCAACCCTTAGAGAACCAATAGCAATAGCAGCCCGAGAAGAATCAACCACATTTCCCTCTATTGCCAGAGAAGGCTAACAATAAATTTCAAAAGACTTGTCAACAAACCAGATATCACATAAACAAAGAAAAATGAAATTATACATGGAACTACTACTAACTACCTGATCCTTCGACATGTTAAGACCAAAAATTTCTTGTATTGATAATAAAAATGGCTAAAAGCTCCAGCCTCCTGCAAATACCTATAATTCACCATTTCAACAAATAAAATGAATTGTAGGCTCATTAAATGAAAATCAACATAATTTATAAATCAAGCCTTACTATGTACAGCAGATGATGATCTGAAAAAATTTACCACATTAAGCATAAAAATTAACGCAAAAAATAGCTTCACAACACTCTGTTATATAAACATGTGCAACCAAAAAAACAACCCAGAAAGATTTTCTTAAATAAACGTAGATTGCATTACAAATTGAACATTATACCTACAACGATTCAGGAAAAAAAAAAAAATTTTCAGGATCCTTTTACATCTCCTCCTGATCATGAATATTATGATAACTAAAATTTTCTCACCACTAATCAAGTAATCCAAACAAAGGGAAAAAGAAAACCTTATGATCGTTTAAGTTTCCTCCAAACTTACGCAAACCGAACAGAATTAAGAAGAAATAATTAAATAACAAACAGCATACAAAATCTCTCGTCATTTTTCTTTTTAATTTTGTTAATCGTGTTTAAATAACGGAAAAACATTGATAATCGGCTTTTTGCATACCAGTGAAGAAGGTTAAGCGATCACGAGTTGAGTGTCGTTATAGGAACGAGTAAAGACGATAATAGAGAGAGAAAAGCTTAAAAAAGAATTTCGGTTTCGTGTATTTTTGTGGATTACAGTTTAGTGTTTGACAAGTGAAGGTATAAGGAGGCGTGGTTTTAGGGTGTGGAGTCGATAGAAATTAGAAGAAGCAGAAAACTGTGCTGTGCTGGTCGCGTTTTGAGGCAAGAAAAAGAGAAGCATTGGGAGTGATGAGTAGCGCTACGGCAGATGCAAACATAACTGCAACTTCACATTTCGCTGCCCAGTTGGCTCAACCTTACTTGTCCACCTGCTCGCTCGCCGATGTAGCGATGTTAGTACAATTTATAAATGAATTTGTCTACTTTATCCTTAATAGAAAAAACTTTTTTTGTTTTATTAATTTCAAATGAATATTTAACATTTTAAAATATAATTCTTTAGAAAATATTAATTTTAACTATGGTTCTTAATTCAATTAAAATATTTTTTTAATATTGTAATTATAAATTTAGTCTTGATATTTCTTATTGAATTAAAATAAATGTATTAAAATAAAATTCTTAATTGATAATAGATTTACTTTACCACGTGCATTGTTGGAAGAAATTATTCAATTAATTCTTGATGGCAAAACATTTTTAATTTTTTTTATCTTGTAATATTTTGTTAAATAATATTATAGGATAAATTTTAGAAAAAAAAAATTTATAATTAAACATCATGTATTATTATATGACAATTTTAATTAAACTATTTATAATGAGTTATATCCAGTATTTTTAAATGAAATGTGAAATTAATTTTAAATACACATTTATAATTAACGAACAAATAATTATGTGCAACGTACATATATTTTAGAATTAAATATTTTCTTTCATTCAACATATAGGAGAGAAATCAACAAAACAAACCATGTGATTCATTATAAATCATAATAAAATTATATAAAAAATATAAAATTATTTGCAACTATAAATGATGAACACAACCTTAACAATTATTATTTAATAGAATCTTAATCTAACTACTTATTTATAACATAAATTTACTGCTTTTATTCTGTACATCTATAGTGGAAAACTTGACAAGTTAATGGATGCAATTTAGTTATGTGCCTTTCAAAATAAAGTTAAAGACATTACGTAACTTTATTTTTGGAATTCATGCGAAAAATTGTGAGACACTTTAAATTTTGCAAAACCGATAATATTTTTAAAATTGTAAATTTTTTAACATTGTAGACCTTTTCGAACTAATAATTATAGTTTTTATTTTTAAATAGTATAAATAAAATATTTATTTGATGTATAAGTACTGTAATTTTTTAAAAAATAGTTTTTCAATTTTCAATTATTCAATAAGTATTTAATTAATATAATTTTACAGGTTAAAATATTTAGTAGACAAATTTTGTAAGTTTAAGTTGAAGAATTTAATTGATGCCATTTTATAAATTGAAGTGTTTTTTTTGAAATAAAAGTTAATTGTACCACAAAATTATACTAAAAAAAATTTATAATGAAATCATATATGAAAAACAAGAAGTTTTCACGATAAAAATATTTTAGTATTCTTTATATAACTTTTCAGTCTAGCCTAGCGGTAAGTGCATATCGACGTGTGATTAAATCTCCCATATTAAAATGTAAAAAAAATACTACCAACTCACCGTACCATTTTCACTTCACTATTTTTACTTTAATTTTAAAAAATACTATTAACTGCCAACTATATGTTGTTTGGTTATATAAAAAAAGTACTATTAACTTAATATACCATTTTCACCTTATTACCTACCTTTTAGTTTTAAATTACCCTTCTGTCGCCCCATCCAAACAAAGCCTTAGGCATAAAAAATTGAACGTTTATTCTATAAAATAAATATATCATTAAATCACCTCTCGATTTGGAGCCTTATTTTTTCCTTCTCAGCCCATTGCTGCGTTCGATAAAGGGGGGGAGAATACAGTTCAGGTCCCCAATCTAAAAGCAGAGATCCATTACTTTCCTCTCAATCTCGCTAAGACCATGTCTCAGGTACATCTATCTCAATCCTCTGATTATTGATTAGTTCTTTCTCGATCGATGATTCTTTTTTAATCGAGATTTTCTATGTAGAACCCTAGAATGTTTGATTATTTCCTTTATTTGTTGCTTTATAGAAATTACGTTCGACGAAACAAAAATTAATACGGTGTTGTTGTTCCACTGTTACTTAAATTGCCATGATTTTCATTTTTGACGCGCAAATTGGGCAATATTTTTAGGTTTATGTATTTTGGATCTGCTCTTTTTTTTTTTTTTTTTTTTAATGTAGGACCTTAGAATGTATTGATATATTTCCTTTTATGTTGCTTATATAATGAAATTACGTCCTCGAAACGAAAACAAAAATTATCATACTCGGTTGTTTGTTGTCCACATGTTACTTAAATTGCCATGATTTTTCTTTTTGACGCGCAAATTGGGCAATATTTTTTTGGTTTATGTATTTGGATCTGCTCTTTTTTTTTTTTTTTTTTTTAGTCGCATTTACGTTACATAAATTTATTTTTACTTGTAATCACTGGAATCCTGTGTTTCCTTTTTGTACGCAGCGTCGATACACAGAAAATTTCCTCTGCAGCCACAGCGGGCCTAAGAAGCTGACGTATGCTTACTATTTGCATTTGTTAGAGTCCTTTTTCCCTCGCTTAATTTCAAAATTATTGTTGATGCTCTGGCATTGTGGTTTAAAACTTAAGTTTATTTTGGAAGCATGGGCGTTCTGATTTTTTTTTTTTTTTTTTTTTAAGTGCATTTACGTTACATAAATTATTTTTATTGTAATCACTGAATCACTGTGTTTCCTTTTGTACGCAGGTCGACAACAGAAATTCCTCTGCAGCCAAGCGGGCTAGAACTGACGGTATGCTTACTATTTGCTTTGTTAGAGCTTTTTTCCCCCTAGCTTAATTCAAATAGGTCTGATGCTCTGGATGTGGTTTAAAACTTAAGTTATTATTTGGAAGCATGGGGTCTGAATTACTTGGATTTTGTAATGTCAATGGTGGGGGAGAGAGAGAGGTAGCTTGGCAATCGGACCAAACTAAGAACAAATATTGACTAATTGGCTATAGCTACAATGGTGGGATTGACTATGTTTGTCAAAAATTTTTTTTGTCATTTGTAGGTAGTCGCAGGGAAGACGATTGGACGTGTCCAAGTTGTGGCAATGTAAACTTTTCATTTAGGACAACTTGTAATATGCGCAATTGCACCCAACCCAGGCCAGCTGATCATAATTCTGTAAGTTACTCTTTGAAGTAATAGCTGTGTTAGAAATAAAGAAAGAATGCGATGAAAGGGATGTTGGTGTTTGTCTCTATAACTCGAAGCATAGAGTATATTTCTTATTTTCTTACTTCTTCTTTTGTTTTATTTTAATTTTTATTAGGGTTGGATGTAATCCTACGGATCCATCAGTATTTACTTGCTATCAGAATTAGCATGAGATTCAAGTGGATCCTTTAGTTTTAGTAAACACACGTGATAGAATTGACCTAGTTTCTGTAGCAGGCAGTTAGATATCTGGTTCCAATTTTGATTGTTGCTGTGCTGGTTTTTTCTGATCATTGATTTTGATGGGATTTTTTTCAGATTCTTCTGTTTCTATTGTTGTGTTGTACCGTTTTATCCTAGCTTTACGTTTATTAATTGATAACCATACAGGTTATATTGATGAATTTAATGTCTTTTATATTTGTTAATGGACTTATTTTACTTATTCTACAATTTTTTAAGAAGGTCTGGGTTATTGTTTTTGGATCTTAAATCTATATTTGTTTCTTTCCCTTCCAGAAATCTGCTATGAAGCCAGTGCAACCCCCACAGAATTACTCATCGTCAGCTACTTATGTAGGTTCTGGTGCACCTTCATCAATGTATATGGGTGTGCCACCATATGGATCATCCATTTTCAATGGGTCTTCTATTCCTCCATACGATGTTCCATTTTCTGGGGGTTCAGCTTACCATTATAATTACAGCAGCCGCCTTAATGCAGGCAGTCCTTATAGGCCATTGCATATGCCTGGACCACCTCCTTATTCTGGTGGATCTATGATGGGAAATGGTACATTCCTGGTTCATAAATATTTTCTCTATTTGTTAGTTTTGGGTTTTGGTTATATTTTATACCTAACATTTTTTTTTTGACCCATAAATTGTATTTTGCATTATTATTTCATTGGTAAAGGTATTTTATTTTGTTTTACATATTCTAATAATTGTCTTGTTAACTGTATGTCACAGATGGCCTCATCTTAAATGCAGCTTTGTTTTTGTATTCATATAATATGAACACTTTAGATTCCATTGATTGATGGCTTCCTTCTTTTCTGATCAGGTGGGATGTATGGCATGCCCCCCTTGATGGACCGATATGGATTGGGCATGCCTATGGGCCCTGCTGCTATGGTAGGTTAAACAATTTTTCCACCATTAGCAATCTGAACTTAGATAACAAAGATAGGTTAATATAGTTCTTTTGATGTAATACTTTAACTTGTATAGAAAGTGACTTTTAAGGTTGAAAAACATTATTCTGAAAAGTGCTTTTTAGATTCTACTGAGAAAAGCACTTTGAAATTGTTGTTGAGCTGTTTTAGGATTTTACAACTAATGCATCTCAAATTTGCCTTAATGCCTTGAATTTGTATATTTAATATGGTGATTTTCTCATCAGCTACTCGCCAAGATTTCAACATCCTTCAATAATTTAGATGTGATGTTGAATTCACAAGTGCACTTTTTTCTTTCTTTCTAGGGACCAAGACCAGGTTTCTTTCCAGATGATAAATCTCTGAAAAAGAGTGCAGGTTTGTCATTTCAGTATGCTGTGGATGATTAGTAACATTGGCACTTTTGCGTGGTCTAAATTCAATTTTTTCTTCTTATCGTGCAAATGTAGATGCAACGCGCGATAATGACTGGACATGCCCAAAATGTGGGAATATCAACTTTTCTTTCAGAACTGTTTGTAACATGAGGAAGTGCAATACACCGAAGCCAGGATCTCAGGTTTGTTTTTCTTTTTACTCTTAAGATACTGGAATCAGTTTGTTCAAATCTCGTTTGTTCTAGTTATCATTGTCCTATAATTGGGCTTTCTTGCTGTCATTAATTTTTTGGAGCCAAAGCTTTGAAATTTATTGTGCTCATTGGGTACCATAACCATTGTTTGTTTAGATTGTTGTTTAGATTAATATGGTAAATTTGCCTGCTCCTGACAACTTTCTCTTGTTATTGCAGGCTGCAAAGTCAGAGAAAAGTTCCAGTAAGTTCTCTACCTTTGTAAATATGTTGGGCTTCATAATTTGAATTTGGTTCTTATGTACTTGTTGATTTTCAGAACAAAAAATGCCTGATGGAAGCTGGAAGTGTGAGAAATGTAACAATATAAACTATCCATTCAGGACCAAGTGCAATAGACAGAATTGTGGAGCTGAGAAACCTAATGAGTCAAAGAAGTCCCCTTCACCGGTGGCAGAGGAGAATGATCAGGTTTGTTATGTGATTCATCTTCGTTGTATTTTGGCATGTTGCTTGATACCTCTGTCTTCATTAATTACTTTTGTACACTTCACAAACTCAATAAGCATTATTAAGAAGGATGTTTCTAATATGGCAAACCCTTTTCCCCTTCTTTTTCTTTCTTACCCCTTGCTCTGTATTTCATCTTTGTTATTCTGTAGATCTATGTGTGTTGTTAATTGTCAATTATATTTACACTTTGCAACAATTGATTTGCAATTGTCTACTGTTCCAGTGAGTACTAGGACATTTTTGAGGTTTGAGAAGGTCCAGAGTTGTCGTCCAGCATTGCTCAATATGGGTGTCTGAAAGTCAGTCGTGTCATCCTCATGTTGCAGCGGTTGTCAAGTTACCTTCTCATGATGTCTGTCAAATTGTTGTATTACTTGCAATGATGTTAACGGTCTTTATGAATCCTTGATGCATTATGTCTCTGCCAGCTTGATCTGGCAAAGATTTACAGGTTGGTTCTGGTTTCTCTTAGTTAGGCTTTTGTAATTTTTGGTATCAACTCATCTAATATAGTGGGTATGCTACCGTGAACTTAGAATACCGAAGGCAGTGTTTTATCTTGTTCATTTGAATTGTTTTGCCTGTGCCATTCAGTATCATCATTTAGATAGATGCTTCTGCTAGAAGCGAATGGGCTACCAAATTCAAAACTTGATTAGGTCAGCACTGACAAATGAGTCAGGTAGTTATATGTTTGAATCAGTGCATCCATTTCCCTCTCCATTTTAGTTGCTTGTGATAATGGTCTTGTGACATGAAATTACAGGCAGTCTAGACTGTCAAAATCAAAAGTAAGAATCGACTCAGTTGTATAGTTTGTGGTACAGACTGCATGTCTTTCATTTGCTTGTTTTAGTTTACTGGCTGTAATTGTTGGCTCTGCGTTGTTGGATGCAATATTTTTTCCCCCCCTTGAGCTTCAGCATCTGTTGATTAGTCCCTAGTCACAAATTTGTTCTCTTCTATTCTTCCCTTCAGTCCAAGATGGTTTGGGCTTTAGAATTTTTTGTCACTTGAGGAACTATGTAATTAGGATTCTGTACTATTAATGTACATTTAAGTAAGAAACTATATTTGTCCGAAGTGTAGGAAAGGGACCTGTAGGATTCTGGATACTCATACTTCTAGGAAGTTATGTTTGTAACTATGGGTCAATTCAGTTCTTTTACTATAATCTGAATACAATGATACTTCAGATAATATTCGAACTAAAGTGGGGTTGGGTGAACCCAATAGGCAATAATCATTCTGCCGGTGACTTGCACCTGGGCTTTGTATAGCCTTTTAGCCAAGTCACAAGTTGAAGTTCAATTATCGCAAAATCCATCTTTTCTGTCAATGCATAGCATGGCCGTTTAGGTGGTAATATTCAGTCTCATCTGATTTCTCGTGGGGTGCCTATATTTGGCCGTGTTAGTTTGAGGGAGATTCGAGTTTATAATTAAGATGTCGAGGAAAAGAAGAAAAGGGGAGGAGACCTATTATTGGGGTAAATCTGGAAGCTGTATTTTAGATCAGAATCATGCATTTGATTTAAGGTTATACTTCCGGGTTCTAAGAGTGGTTTTTTTTCTTACTGATATCTTTTTTTTGGACCTGATACGTGATATGGAATGGGATAAGTATACCATCACTCTGATATTGATAACTCAATATAGTAATAGATGTGATTAACTAAAATTTGGACTGCAACAACAAATAACAACTAAGCGTTGCCTTAGTCTCAAACTGGTTGGGGTCGGCTATAAGCATTCTTTTTTTTTTTTTTTTTTTTTCCCAAAAAAAGAGTGCCTTCATATACTCCACTCTGATATTTGAATAACTCATGGTATTATAGTAATAGATGTTGATTAACTAAAATTTGGACTGCGCAGACAACAAATAACAAACCTAAGCTGTTGCAACTTAGTCTCAAATGTTGGGAGTCGGCTTTAAGCATTTTTTTTTATTTTTACTCTTTATCTCTCCGCAAAACAAATAGGTGTGGGTATGCCTATGAGAATTGTAAAATCAGTTTTATAATTTTTTTTGGGAACTATACGATCACTGATCTATTTTTATCATATTCTCATGTTAAAAAATGACCAGATTTCAAATGAGGCCTTACTTTTTTTTTTTTTTTTTTTTTTTTTTCCCAAAAATTTGGGTTGCATAAATGTAAAATCAGTTTTTATAATTTTTTTTGGAATAACCGATCACTGATCTATTTATTTCTCATGTTAAAAATGACCAGATTTTTCAAATGAGGCTTACTTTCTTATTTAATTATTTTTATATTTCTAATATTTATATTTTAAAGCGTGTTTTGTCGGAAAAGGCTTTATGATAGAGCTTTGATGAGGATATAGGCATGTTCAGAATTTTAGTAAACAATTGATACTTTGTAGCACTAATATGATTTTTTAAACAAATGTAATTTGTTTTTTATTCTATAATATAAATTCTAAAATACTGTTCATTATTACATGACGTATAAAAGTTCGATGTACGTAAAAAAAAAAATTGAGGAAACTTATGAAGGCAAGGAAAGTTTTTTATGCAACAGTTCCCACCTCTTCAGATCGAAATCCTATGCGAATTTTATTTTTAAGCAGAAGCGGTGTTGTGGAGATTCCGTTTAATAGGTTAATTTAAGCTAAAACCTGGAAAAGAAAATTTCATAAAGGTATTAAGCGATTGAGTGCTTTATAATATTTTTGGGTTGCCACTTGAGGATATATCCCGAAAAAATATAATTAAAAGAAAATATGGCATATTGATCTAATTTGTATCATTATTAATGAATATATAAATATAACTTATTTCCATTTCTTCCTGGTTTTATTTTTATTAATTATTAATATATTTCTCTTTCCAAAAAAAAAAAAAAAATTTTCCATTTCTCAAGCATCCTCAACAATCTCAGGCCTCTAAAAATAAAAAAATAAAAAAAAAATGTATAGTCTCAGTAGTAAATTTTGAAACAAAGTCTTAAAAACCGGATCTTGCTGAAATTGCCAATTGAGCAAAAATTTTACTGGAGCAAAGCTACATTTTGATGCATTCTTGACCTGAACTCGTGTATGGATTCAGTCATACAATAAATCAATTTAATAAAATAGTAATAATTTATAACAGTTTTTTTTTTAAATGGCAAAAAGTAATTGGCGATGGCGAGCCCTTCTGTGTAATAGCTGTAGGCAAGTCATGCCCGTACCATCCATTAATTAGGAAAAGAAATTAGAAGTGCCACGTGCACACCCAGCACACGTGTGATTGGAAAATGAATACGCGATTATGAGAAATTAGCTCAATTGATACAAAGTTGGAAACTAAATAAAAACAATATTATGCAAATCATGGGGTATTTATTACGCATACTGAATTCTCGGAAATGTTTTGGAACAAAATACTATTTGTTTCTATATATATGGAATCTCTCTCTTGAGAATAGATTCCTAGAATCTGTATTTGGTCTGTCGGGAATATTTTAAAAATGGTAAGAAATTTTCTGTAGAGCTCATCAACTAATATATATCGAAAATTTGAATATGAAAATGTCACTCAATATATTCAACTCATGCGGTCCCATATATTTTTCTTTTCTTTGCTAACATAATATAATGAAAAGAGATGGAAGAGTATATGTTATATTATATATGAAATAAAAAAAGGTGAAAGGGTTGTGCCTGGTTCCCTGTATGCCACAGGCTGAGTCCAATCTTGACCGTTGATTGCCTCTTGCCGGTGGCATCCATGGATCCAAGCACACCATACTCTCCCCATATGTTTATTTCCAACGTTAAGATTCTTGAGTTTGCATATGTTTTTACTCAACGTTAACGTTACAGTTCTTGCAGAATTCACTTTCGTCGAATCAGACAGAGAAGGCTATATATGGAGCTTGCATGATCAGTATACTAAAATTTTCTTTTCCTAATCTTTTTTTTTTTTTTTTGGGTCCAGAAAACAGAGAAGGCTAATACTAGAGCTTGGCATGATCATAAGCTAAAATTTTCTTTTCCTAATCTTTTTTTTTTTTTTTTTCTGGTTAAAAGCTGAGTTTATATATAATTCATCATATAACTGATTTTTGTTTAATTTGTGATGGTAAAGTTGGTTATATGCCTTGTTTATTGAATTGCTTGACCTAGTTATCAGCGGTCTATCCACTCGTCCTGCTTTGCATTGTTTACCTAAATTTTTTTCCTATTACTACTTTGCCTCTGTATTGATTTACTATAACTTGATCTGAACTGAATCTTACAAATAATCCAAACAATAATACTTTATCATCAGTTCGAAATAATTTTTTTTTTTTTTTTTTGGGTTAAAAGCTGAGTTTATATATAATATAATATAATATAACTGATTTTGTTTAATTTGTGATGGTAAGTTGGTTACTATGCCTTGTTTAATTGAATTGTTGAATATTATAGGGTCTATCACTCGTCTGCTTTGCATTGTTTACTAATTTTTTTCCTACTTATACTTTGCTCTGTATTATTTTTAACTTGATCTGAGTGAATATTTAAAATAAATCAAAATAAATAATTTATATACTAGTTTGAAACTAAGGTTTGTTGTTGCACTCGCAAAAATGAAAGATGTTGTATTAATTTTTGAGTACTTCAGGATTTACTGTATTTAATAATTTCCTATTTACTAGAGAAATAGTAATTTTGGCAGCTTTATTATTAAATTATTAATACTATTATTGTTATTGTTGTGTGTGAGATTCACCTTCCTTCATAGCGTAAGGGTGATACTAGAGGGGAGAAAGTCTTGGTTCCTAAGTGAGAACAGAATCAAACCGATTCAATTAGGTCGAATTCGGATAGCTTTTAAATTTTGGTTACCATATATAACGAACCGAATGAATTTTACGCTCAAAATAGCTAATTTGATTTCAAATCAAACCATACTTATTTAATTTGGTTTGGTTCGGTGTTGTACCATTTGGTTTCAAATTTGAATATCATAAAAACGTACTCGGAAAAACTAAAACCGACCTAATTCTATTTGATTTGATTTGGTTAATCAAATGGACCCAAAATCTCAGGCTCGATTTTGGGCTGCCCTTAATGGAATTTGTGGTATTGTTAAAACTGTTGGCAATAGTGCAAATTGTACAATATTCTTAGTACATAGTATCTGATGGCCCAAAAAGAAAAGACTGCGAACTAATTTAAAAGTCACTTCTACTATTAACTATCGATTAGTAAGCCAACTAGCAGCGAACAATTGGAAAACAACGGGAGATACTGCAGCAGCAAATACATGCCTGCACTAATGTTTGTTCTGCTAGTTACAATAACCCACATTTAATGATAAAATTGAAATTGTGTTACCTCAATCAAACTTTAGCAAATACATCTTCCAATCCTTTGATCACCATTATCTAAAATCTGACGGCACAAGCAACGAACGCCAAGCTGCTGGAGGAAATAACTATTACCTTCTTCTGCTACTCGAATTTCAAAGATGTTTCAACAATAGAAATTGAATTAGATTTGCGAAACATGCAGGGAAGATGATGTAATACGATCGAGCTAGATTTAGACCAATAGACCTCCTTTGGTGCACAAACTTGTCAAGTCAAGTCGAAAATTATGATTGAATTTCAAGCAGTCAGTTCAATTGACTAGAGTAGAAGTCACTGTCATATGAGGTTCTTAACAGCTGGAACTCTTGAAAGTAACTGCTACTGTCATTATTCTCTGAAGTCAAGGTATGCACTCGAGAGTCAGAATGTTGTTCAGTCCTCCAGTAATCCGATGGCTCGATTATTGAGCCTCGGGGCATAGCCTGAGTCAATAACTGAGGCAGCCCAGTATGACTTGTATGCGTGGGCTGCTCATGTGAAATGGATTTTGGCTCACATGAGCCCCAAGAATTAGTTGACAGAAGAGAGAGAGCACGATGAAGATCCTGAGTTGCATCCACATTGGATGAGATAATTGGTTCTTCCAAACCTGCAAAGTTTGGTGCTTTGATTTAGAAAGACAAGCATCACTAAAAGAACAACAACAAAGGCCAGCTCAAAATTGCCCGTTATATGCACTGCACTAGGATGCACAACATCGATTCATCTTCAACAACATTTTATTCATCATAATCTCACACCAACCAACTCAGCATGAGTAAAAGAAACAGATCCTTTTTCATTCACTTGAATATTTTGGGGGAAGTAAACAATCATCAATGAGCTTCACTATAAAGCGGGCATAGACCAGGAAAAATACACATACACATGTATACAGCAAATCACATAATAACAATCTCCTTAACATTTTAGAATTGAATTGGTAATACTTCAGGATTATGAGAATTAGATCGCAGGAATTAAATTTGATTACAGTTATTTTTATTATTTCCTAATACAAAATTTTGACTTTTACATTGAACTCCACCATTTCTTTCAATTTTCAGTTACTTCCATAAATTTATCCATCAGTTTTGGCCATAGACTTAGCCTTACTTGGCCTTGATTTTAAGAGAGGCTAGGTCATCAAAGGACATTCTTATCTCTGCACCCAAATTCACTTTCAAACTAATACATATACATATATATGTATGTATACGCATGTACATCAGAATTTTTGATTGAATCTTCTCATTCAAATACAGGAACCTTAGCTTTTGCTTCGCCTTATCTTTTGCTGTATGAGACACTTAAGGATCTTCCAGTAATTTATTCGGACAACAGGAGTTAGCTAAAGTGTATGGCAGAGGTAGCATCAATATACATGGACTTAACTGGTGAATCTAATGAGTTAGCTGCCGTAATTTATTTGGTTCTTTTAACAAAGGACAAGATCTTGTCGGTTCTTAAACAGCCACATCTTTAAATAGTGGTTTTTAAGATATAATAGTATGATACCGAATCACCTCATCAACAATTAAAAATTAAATGGAGCATAAAGAATATTTCCTAATACATAGTAGAACGAACCTTGGTTGAGAACCTCAGCAGTGGTGACCTTGGCCTTGGATGACAACAAGCTCTTGGAATCATGAGTGTGCATAGGAATGGAAGTTGCCAGCTCATTAACAGGCAAACGCAGCTGTCCATTGATAACCCCTACCTTTGCAGGCTTCATTACACACTCTTTAGTTATAGTGAATTTGGAGCTGGATGGGCATTCCCATGATATATTTGCAATTTGCCTGGAATGAACCAGCGGGGGCCTGTTCCAAACGAGACTCATCTGTTGCCTCTCACCTACGCAAGTAAATACAGATCAAGTTGCAGGAATGCTATGGTGCTATACCAGTGTTATATTGAGTGCATCTTTACTGTACTTTTATTAGAACAATTTTCCTCCACACACACAATGGAAAGTCTGCTAGCATGAGCACAATATTGGTGATTTATATTTCATAAACAGTTTCCAAATATAGTAAACCTAACATTTATCATATTCAGATAAATTGTTCCAAACCAATGACATCAACTTGCAAGCATCAATCAATAACGGTGATCTCTATTTTAAACAAAATGAGTAAAATAGAGATCACAATTATATTAATGTTTATATATTAGAAAAGAGGTTCCTCTTAGTGTGCCTCTGCATACATCTTTGTTAAGGCAAACGTGCAAGTCTATCATACAATTCTTGGAGCTTCATTTCAGGATTATGAAAACCACAATAGTTACCGAAAATACAGTTCAATGTCAATAATGTGCTCACATACAATGCAAAAGAGATGTCAAAGTCAAGAGTTCAAAACCTACTATATGACAGTCTTCCGGGATTCAATTGGACTGATTCAGGCTGTGGCTTGCGACGTCTTGCATTATGATCAGAAAGACGCCTGCGGCAGCTTCGCTTCTTTTCATCAAACTCTGATAGACCATGGAACCTTTTCATCACCCACAACCAACAAAGCATCAAATGAATTGCCGATACAAGCAAGGAAAAAACAAGATAGAAAAGTACTATGATTTGCAGTTCTCATACAAGATAAGCATGATAATTGACAAAAAAAGCAGTAAAATGGACATTCCCAGACCTCATTGTTTTCTAACATATACAATCATCACATATTCATTAGAAACATTACCTACTACACTGCTGGCAAAACCTGCGTTCCAAACCAGCTACAATGACTCTTGGGCACTTTGAATGACTTTCACAAACTCTATGTTTACGATGATAATCTTTAGCTGATGACAGGTCAAGGTTACAGCCTTCTACTTGACAGCGTGGGGTAGGTGAAGCCTGGCTACTGGACTTGGATCTCTTTGCAGGAGAAACAGAAGAACCAGGAGTCACAGAAAAAGATGAAGTCTTAATATTGCTTCCTGCACAAACATCTTCAAAGTATGTCCGTTTACCAAGCTTTAAAGCTAGCAGAGGCTCACCAGAGCCAACTGAAACATCAAGAGTAGAAGAAGCACCAGTTGGGTTCACCTTTCCAAATGATTTGTCATTGTTGGAATCTTCTGGAATAGCTTCAGAAGCCTCCCCAGTAAATGTGGATGTTTTCACTTCTCCAATTGATGAAGAATTTATGGAAGCTGCCTTTGAGCTCTTTGATAGAGAAGCAAGTCCCAAATCAGAGCCAGAAGCACCACTACCACTACCACTTCTAGATGAGTAAAAAGACCCAGCAGAATCAATTCCTCTCTCTCCATCAATTTCCCACACTGCTGCCCTTAACTTCTTCGGATGTTCATTAGTTGTATTAAACATTATTAGGTTTTCCCAGTCCCACTGTATAGGGGGTTTTGTGTTCCACTCCATCAGTGAGAGAGAACTCATAGAACAACTTTACAGATTACAGTTACTTTATATAACTTGCAAGCAACCAGATGCCAGATCCTGCACAAAATAGGACATATTTGCTCGTAACTCAACCCCAAACAATTAAAAAAGAATAAAACCTTAAAACTAATCATGAAAATATCGCACAAGCAAACATTGGGAGGAACAATATTGGTAAAAGAAGCTAGAGTCTATACAAATACATAAGTATTGCATACAGTATGCAGCCTGAAAATTTAAATAAAAAACCCTAAGAAGGAGCTTACCTTTAAATTTCACTCGATCGAAGGGTCAGCCATACCTGTTCAACTGAATCAGCAGAACCAATCTTAAAAGGAGTAATATCAGATCTGCCTCATCTTGATATTGCAACAAATTCCACTTATGCTGCTCAAATTCAACAAACCCAAAAACTCGAAACTTCTTAACTAGACAAAAGTAGCATCCTCAAAAAGGAACTCTCTTTCCAACCCAGAAACTCTTTTGCAGACATAGTCCTCCATTTCAATCTCTATCTCCATAATACTTACTAAAACCAATCAATTAAAGCCACAGATTTCAATCCAAGAAAATGAACATCTGATCTTGCGGATTCTCACAAGCTCAGTATGTTGATATAAAAGCTTCTTCTTCTTCTTCTCATCCTCTCAGAGCTTCCTACCTAACAAGCTATCCACCATTCAGAGAAAGGTTCCTCTCTCTTTAATCCAAGTAAAAATTGTTCTCCACTTCCCCGCAACACTTATTTGTCGATTGTAGTAGTTGCAGTCAAATTCCTACAAGAATTCTTACCGTTATTTTATTTATGAATTGTGAACTCTCTAACAAAAATATCTCTTTCTTTCTATGTCTCCCTCTCCAATCATATACTATCAAGCATAGAACTAACTGTAATAAGGAGAAATGCTTCACCTTTTACCATCAAAGTGTGATCCGTACAAAGTAACCTCCAACTACAATAATTCACATTGAATGTGTTTGGGCTAAATCAGAGAAGTAGGGCCCTGAATAAGACCCACATCTATTCATCAACAAATCTACATCCATTCCTCCCAGAAAATAAAATAGATAAAAATGACCAATAATTAATCGCTTTCCCCAACAACCACCTTGTAAAACCCTGTTACAAATTTAAAAAGAAAAATAAATCAATAGCCTATCAAGAAGCTCTCAACAAATCTACCAATAAAAGACAACAAACCCAGTTTTTATCTTTATAGTTTTTACCCATATATGTACGGGAGAGAAAAGAAGAACCAGAACAAACAAAATACTACAGTCGTAGCTTTCTATAGAGAAAAAGCTAAAAGTCTTCGGTCCCCTACTATTTATGGTTTTTCTGCAGGTGGGGAAATCCATCTGATGCAAAAACGACACAGTTTCTTACTTCTTCCGATTCCACTTTCCCGAGGAAAATTAAATAGCAGAAACAACAAGGTTAAAAAAAGAAAAAAGAAAGCATCTTTTCCAAAAGTCCAGAGAGAGAGAACAGAAGCATTTTAATGGAACTATCCAGAAAATGATGTTTCAACCTCAGCCGCAAAATCCCAGAAGTTTCACCATATTTAGTAACGAAAATATTAATTAAAAAAATATAAATTTCCATATTTCTATCCTTAATCGTTATTGCTTAGTAAACAGAGAAGTGCCAAAAAAATGCAAAAGAAAAAAAAGGCTTACGGATCAGCCAAACGAGCAGAGAAGACGATTGGTTAGGATGGAAGAAGAAGAAGAAGAAGGAATCTGATAAAGAGATTGAATAGATGGATTGTATTTTTATTTTTATTTATTTTTGAGTAAGCTAAATGAGAGAAGGCAAAGTGGAGTTGAAGTACTAACAGTTGGCTTTTTTTGGACGGTTTAAAAGGGAAGGCTCACAGTCATCATTGTCAGTGGCGCAGAAAGAGTGGTATGCGAGAAGAGACCGAGTCGATTCGAGTCATAGTCTACTCGAGTCGACTCGGCTTCAACGTTGACTGCACGGCTTGGTCAATATGAGGGAAAAAGAAAAGGAAAGGAATTCTCTTGTTTATTGGAAAATTAAAAATATTTAATTTAATCAAATAAAAAAAGAAAATTAATTATTTTTATATAACAGCATGTGTGATTGGGTGTTATAAAAATATAAAACAATTTATGGTTTGAATATTCGTTGTAAAATTCGAGAAAAGATCACGAGTATTTATAAAATATTTTAATATAAACTAGTAATATTAATTTTATATTTCAAAAGAAAATAAATGTAATTGTTCGATATTTTTTATTGTCTCCGTGCTCGAAATGAAGATTTTAAAATTTTTTAATTTTTCAAGTAAAATTCATTTGGAAATATAATTTATGTTCATTTTTAGCGCATATTGATATTATAATTGAATTTACGCATGCATTTTTATATCTAAAAAAAACTATTTGGAGAATATTTGAAATAATTGTGAAGTTGTTATTAAGCTCACGTCATAGATTAAAGAGCTTGTAATTTATAATGATATATGTTAAGCCTATATTTTTTTATTTTAATTAATTGCAATTAAATGTAATCAATAACTAAAAATTTAAAAAAAATATTTAGTGAAATAGTAATTTTACGTTAAAATTTTATTCAAATTTTAAATTTTTTGTACAAAGAAAACAATAAATTCTATGGTCCATTACTCCATTTACAACAATGGCAATTTTATAATTGTTTTATATAGAAAACATACATGAATGCAAATGAATTTTTTTTTATTTTATAATAAGGTAATACAAGGAATTAATTTTTAAATTCAAAATTTTTTGTATCCAAAGTAAAATAATTTATATTTTAAAAATATTCATTTATAATTAAGTGGAAATTAATTAAGCCTTTTTCTTGAAAATTGCTCATTAATTTAAATAAAGAAAGGATAAATTTGCCATCAACTTGGACAAGTTGAAATTATATACCAACAACAAGTAGGTGCAGTGGTTGTTGGAAATTTATTATACCATATATTATCAAATCAACCTAAGATGTGATCGAACTCAAATTAAAATAATAATAAAAAATCATATATTAGTGGACAAGCAAAAGTGGGTTGTGTTTAAATAAATTAATTTTAATTCAAGTTGATCATAATAAACTATAAAGCCTATGTGGTTTGAAGTTGGCATTCAAGGTAAATAATAAAATAATAAAATTCAAGTAAAAGATCTTATGCTTATGACTGACTCGTGGGAGATCTGCAAGAACTAAAAGACTGTCAAAAACAAATAGAAAAAAAGTAAGGGCGAGCAAACCATCCTTTCCGTTAAAACTGAACTCAATTAAGGTTAAAAAATATAATATTAAATCGAATTAAAATTGACATTTCAATCGAATTAAATCAGGCAATTCAATTGGTTTTATTCGGTTTGTATTATTTTAGGTTGAGTTTAAGCCTCACTGATTAATTTATGTGAAATCGAACTGAATCACAAGTAAATTTAATTTAAACAGATTAAAGTGATAAAATTATATTCTCTTTTAAGTGGATTGATCGAAACAAAATGGATCGGGTCGGATTTTCAGGAGAGATATCTAGCGCACCAAAGAAGGGCACGTAAAACCAACATTGTAGCATTAATTATTGGCAGAATGATGTTAAAACCAACATTGTACTTCGGTTCCTTGTAGAGTCAATTTTTTAGAGTTATATGTGATGATAGAAGCCTATTAAAATTATCAAAGGACTTAGACTTAATCACTAGTAGGGTAGGTCATAGGACCACATTGGCTCAGCCAGCCACTACCAATTGTCTATTTCTAATGCTGGCACATTATGGACCTTATTTTGTGGGCCTTTTCAATAGTTACTAGTTAGAACACTTTGTGGTAGAAAAAGGTTGCCATTATGGACCCATATCCTCCTCCTACACTAAGGTTTGGAAGCCTTCATCTGGTGGTACTTGGTAAGAAAGGACTCAGTACTTAAGTACAAGGTAAAGGATGAAGTGAAAATTATAAATATATTGTTCTAAGAATAAGGGGGAAAAAAAGAGTTGATTGTATCTGTTCGGTAATATTAGCTATTTTAGTAGCTGTTCGTCGTTGTTTATTATTTAATAGTTATTTATATAACGGTTTAAATTAAAAGTATTCGGTAAAAAAATAACTGTTTAGTTAGTTGTTTAATTTAAAATGTAGCTGGTAGTTGTTTATATAACGATTAAATTAGAAATATTCAGTAAAAAAAAAGTTGTTTAACTTAAAATGACAAAAAAGAATATTAGTTATTTAGTTAGCTGAATCGGAGGAAAAAAACAATGAATATGTTTGGAAAAAAAAAATTAAAAGCTAAAACTTTAGAGTGTTGGATACAATTAATAAAGATGGAGTGTGCTACGTGCAATTAATAAAGACGGAATTTTGATTTGGTCAAAATATTTAAAGATAATTTAAAAGCTCTGATAGTGTTTTAATCTTAGTTAATTAAGATGTTTTGTTATTTAATACGGTCTTAAAGTATATAGATAGAAAGAGTTATCAAATCAAACTTATAAGTATTAGACTAATTTATTTTTTCGATGAGTTGTTAAAGTACATCTTTTTCATATTGATTTGGTACATCCATTAAATCTTGATTAATGAGAAAGAAAAATTTCCATCATAAGTTAAAATAATTCCATTAGGTATTAAATATACAAACACAAATTTAATAGCATTACATTCTTATGAAATAAACTTTTATTGCTTGATTATAAAGTCCAACATCTTGTTAAATGGTTCTCTCAATGACAGGGTCCAGCCAAAGGACAAAAGATATGATTATCTTGTCCAAAACAAAAAAAAAAAAAAAAAAAAAAAAAAAAAAAAAAAAAAAACATTGATTACCAAGTTCCACATCTCTGTTAAATGGTCTCTCAATGCCACAGGGTCCAGCCAAAGGACAAAGATATGATTATCTTGTCCAAAAAAAAAAAAAAAAAAAAAAAAAAAAAAAAAAAAAAACAAAAGAGGGATTATCATTACTAAACAAGTCAAGGAACATCATTATTAATTAACATTAATCCCTCAAAAAGTAATTAAAGTTTTAGGTGTAATTTTTGGCCATTAGCTAGCTTTGTCTTTGCATCTTCTCAATCATCTTTTCTCTAACAAGCCTTCTCATTATTTTTCCAGAAGGTGATTTAGGAATAGTGTCCACAAATTGCACCATTCTTATTTTCTTGTAATGGGCAACATTAGAGGCCACATAGTTTATTATATCTTCTTCATTTTCTTTGCCTTCTTTGTTTAGCACAACACAAGCAACAGGAATCTCCCCAGCCTCTTCATCTTGAAGCCTACAATTCCATAAATGCCATTTTTTTTATGAACTTTGATAAATAATGTTTACATTTAATTTTAATTTGTATTAAAAAACTTAAATGAAATCAATTAAACCGGCCAAATGCTTGCTTCTATCATAAGCAATTACCTTAATCCTTATCTATATAAAAAAAAAAAATATGAGGAAAAACTAAATAATCATATTTATAACTAATCCAGATTCGCGATAAGCGTGCAAAAGAGTCTAGCGCTTTCTTTCCCAAGCATTCATAGAGACTCCACACAGAATGCTCTAACTGAGGATCCATACTATCTCATTTTTAAGCCATTTAAATGTATGATTCTGCATGCAAATGTACTATGTTGGTTCAGATACTCACGGCACAACTGCTGCGTCTTCAACCGAGGGATGTGCGAGGAGTATAGCTTCCAACTCTGCAGGAGCTACCTAATACCCAAATCCCAAAACAATAGTGTCGGATAATTTAGCAATAAAAACAAATTATATGTCAGAAACTATTTTGTACTTCATTGTTATATATATATAGCTACCTATACCATTAATATAATTAAGTTGTTTATTTTTTAGGTAGTAGTCAGAAAAGATTTTGCTACATATATCATTGAGTTGAGGATGGGACATGAATTTCTGATCGGTGAAAATTTGTTAAATATATTAGTTTTTTTTATTTTTTGCTTTTTGTTTACCTAGAGGTAAAAGAAATCTGTAGTTTCAGTCCCTGGCTCCTGCCCACCAAACTATTAATTAGTAGTGTAGGGTGGAGTTGAAAAAAATGGGATGCCCAACAACCATTATGTATCCAAAAACAAGTTTACATGTAAATACAAAAAATGCAACAATTGCCCTCAAAGAAAATAAATAAATAAATAACGAAGCCTTTGTATAAGAGCACGTATAAGTGATTAGAATGGCTAGTCTTACTTGAAAGCCTTTGTACTTGATTAGTTCTTTGATTCGATCAACAATGAAAATATCTCCATCGTCATCAATATAACCAATATCACCTGTGTGTAGCCATCCATCCTCGTCAATAGCGTTGTTTGTGTCCTCCTTATTGTTGTAGTAACCTGTTAAAAAAAAAAAACAATGGAAAAAGACTTCATGGAAATGAATCCCGAAATGATATAGTCTAACGCTCAAAAAAGATATTGGATACTCGTGATAATACAAAAAAAAAAAAAAAATGATAATCAACAGAAAAAAAAAAAAAAAAAGCATTGATTATCATGCTTAATATCATTATTTACGTCTTTGTACCTTGCATAACCATACATTGGTTTTAACACAAATTTCCTCACATCGGTGTTTTCCTCCTTGGAGTAGAAGATACCTGTTTCCAGTTACTCACGCTGGTGCATCAATTTAGAATATATCTTAAATCTGAAACACAATTTGGGCAAGGATGACACCCTCTACCGAGAATTCTTCTTTCCATTCCATACTAACTTTTCATGCGACTCCATTGAGTGAGAGGTAAGACCCTTGGCAAGCTGTAGTTTCAAGGTGCGAGTCACTAGTAGAAAAAAAAAAAAAAAAAAGATTGATTATATGCTTAATATAATTATTATACGTCTTTGTACCTTGCATAACACATTGGCTTCTTACACAAATTTCGCCATGGGTGTTCTCGGGTAGAGATAGACCAGTATCAGGGTCTATAAATTTTAATTCCAAATTTGGAAGGATGAACCCTACTGAGTTTTTCTTTGCAATTCCATGACCCTTTTCAGGATCTCCATGAGTTAGTGTGATGCAGCTGTGTTCAGTCAGTCCATATGCCTAATAAAACAAGCAAGTTTCTGTTATAATTGGTCTAATTATGGCAAGATAATCTCATGAACCAGCCTGTTAAGTTAGTAGCAAATAGTTAAGTACTTGTCCTACAATACAAGGGATTAGGGTTTTAAAAACCCTGATTTCAAAATTCAGAACCCTTCCAGCTTGCCAATTAGGTTAACTGTACTCACCTCTTGGACTTGGACACCAGGGAACTTGTTTTCAAAGGCAGCTAGTAGATCAGGAGCAAGTGGAGCAGCAGCAGTCATAATGGCCCTAAGTTTGAGCTTTGTAAGATCAAATTTCTCTACTATGGGGTTCTTAACCAAGGCCAAAATAATTGGTGGAACAATTGGTGCAAAAGTGACCTCATGTGTAATAAGTGCATCCAAAAATGTAGTTAGTTCAAATTTTCTCATCACGACCACTTTCCCTTTATTCCTAAGTGTTGCAAAACATATGCCAGCAATTCCATATATGTGAAAAAATGGAATTAGCCCTAATGTAGTAACCTGACCAACCAGTTCAGGTCCTACACTGAAAAGACTAGAGCACAGGTTAGCTACTAAATTTCGATGAGTTAACATTACTCCTTTAGAAATCCCTGTCGTGCCTGACGAAAATGGAAGTGCACATAGATCATAATCATGAACTTGCTCATATGCAAATTTATCCGTTGCGCGATCTGCTGCATTTAGTAGCTCGTTCCAATTCATAGCATTTCCTACCCGCACTTCGCTTACTACAATGACAGGAATGTCTAGATGCTTCACCTGCTAAGAAAAAATCCTCAGATCATCGGAAAATATAGAATTAGTTATCATAATTATAGTTATTACCTGTCCATAACTAACATCATCTGTGACGATTAATTTAGCATTGGCAGTCTCCACTTGCTTTTTAATTTCAGATTCAGTTGCAGCAGGATTAATACCAGAATAAACCCCACCGGCAGCCATTATTCCTAGAACTATAATGCCATATTCAGCAGTATTTGGCAGCACAACAATTACAACTTGCCCCTTTCTAAGCCCAATAGACCTCAAGGCCTTGGAAAACCTTTTAGTTTCTCTAACTAACTCTCCATAAGTATAGCACTTTCCTGTCACAGCTTCCACAAATGCTACCTTATCTGCATACAATTCAGCATCTTGAAGTACAAATTCCGGTATTGTCATATTCTCCGGCACCGGGACTGCCGGGTATCGGCTTCGGAAAATATGTTCCTCAGTTTTTGACATGGTGGTTCTCGATAGGGAAAAAAAGGGTAGGCAATGAGCTGTGTTTTAAAGGAAGATAGAGCTTAAGGTCATGTAGTTTGCATGGAAGTTATTAAGTTACAATTAGCGGAGGAGTAAGCTTTGCTATGGAGTTTGGTTGGTAGGGATTTGTTGAGTCATGTTAGAGTCACCAACTAATCAGAGATCAGAATTCACAGGCTCAAAAATCTGCTACTATAATCATCTTCTTTGTGATGGGATTTATATTTATTTTAAATTTTTCTTGAAATTAATATTCATTTTATGCATACCTTTTAAAATAATTATTAAGTTTAATTTTTTTAACAATAACTTTGGAACAATAGATATTTTTTCATTTAAATTTTATCAGAACCAGCCCAAAACTGGAAGGGTTTGTTCCAAATTTCTGTCTAAGTCTCACTGGCCTGAACCGGCCAGGTCTACCTGTATTGAGCATGTAAATGGGCTCTAGAGATTGAAAGCCCAACCTCATTTTAGCAACTTTAAGTGGGCTTGCTATACATGTTAATGGGTTTGAATCTCCACTACCTATCCTTGGTCCGTTAAACAATCACAATGCTTTCACTATACAAATTTGAAAAATTATTAGACACTACCACACAAGTATATTTACGAATGAGAGATTCATTTGGATAGAAAGGATTCGTATCTCTTAAGTAAGAGGTCGAATGTCCGATTTTTATGAATGAAGAAAATTTATTTGGAAACGGAAGAGAAAGAGATTTACATTTTTTACAATTTAAAACCCATAACTTATAATAGTACTATAAATTTATAGTAGTATTCAAAATTTAAATGTTAATACTTGATATAGTAGAAGAAATGGCAAACAGAAACCCATCACAAGTCAAGATTGAAAAAGGGCACAACAAGCAAAGAAAAAGAAGGATGTGCACACGTAAAAGAAGGGAATCCGTGATGATGATGATCATTATGAGACGTGATCAAACAAAGAAAAAAAAAGTAAAAAAAAAAAAAAAAATTGAAGAAGGAAAGAAAAATTGAATCAAAGCTTCTCTTCCCTAGACAAGCCGAAATGATTACCCACCGCAACCCATACTCTTGGTTTTGACAAACCTAATCATTAAAAAAAACCCAATAAAAACTTCCCTATTACCTTAACTTTAGCCTCCGTCTATCATCATTACTTTCTCCTTTACCAAATTCTCCACTTTCTCTTCCTTCAATTACATTCCACACCTCTCGTTTACCATTTCTTTTTCCTTCTAAAAATATTTAATTTTCTTTTACATTTTTTGCAATTATATGTCAATATATTACATAAATTACTCTCTGCCCATTCGCACTAAACATAAAATTAATCAATAATTATTTTATAATATAGTTTTATACCGATTTTAAATTTTGAACTCTTAATTCTAATTATTGGTAAAATACATAAATTGAACTATTCTTTAAATACGTAAATGATATATTTATCAAAATGTAAAAATGTAATTAATTTTGCTTTTTTTAACCCTTTGAATTATGGTTTGGAAATGATGGTATTGGTAGCATATATAATTAGATGTAAAGAGACTTAACCTAACAAATAGGAAAAACAATGGTCAAGTGCCACATTGAAGCAAGAGCAAAATCTTTTGAGGTTAGGTCGTTGATCCCCGTGACAGTTTAACCGTAACAGCTTTCTTACTCGTTAGACGTTAGGTAAAAGAAAATCTGACAGGCTAGTTCATTAAATAATTAAAATAAAAAGAAAAAGAAAGAAATCTTCCAAGGGGCATCTAATTATAAGACAAGTGTCCACTAATTATACATGTTCATTGGTAGATTTTTATTTTTCTAAAATCAATCAACATTAAAAAACTGAAATATTTATTACTGTTTTTTAATTTTAAATTACAATTTGGTGTTTGGGTGGCATTTGAGCATTTGTATTTGATTTTTTTCTTTTTTTTTATTTTAAATTTTAAATTCACTTTGAGCATTTCCATATTTATACAATAAATTCGATTACGCATGCAAGCTTAAATATAACATATAAATACACATATAAATACATATTTATAATATTAAAGTTTAGCATAATAGAATTTAATTAATGATTGCAAAAACTTGGTGGGATTTAATTTTCATATTACAATATAAGTTCACCCTACTCATGAATTGGAGATATGTATTACCCCACTAGGGGACAAAGGTGGGTGACTAGCCTGCTGTCTTCATTGATCATAGTTTTTACGTGGCAAGCTACCATTAGAACTTACACATTTTATATTTTGCAAATGAAATAACGCAAAAAATTATAAAAAAGGAAAAGGAAAAAAAAAATTCTAGCTGGGGGTGAATCAAGCCTCGAATTGGGTCTAACGCAAACTTATTATTTTCTAACCAATATAATTTAATAAGGTTGATACGATACATTTCGATGACACTCAATGAATTTTTGAATTAGATATTACTAATTTTGAATTTAATTCATTTGCCAAACAAGTAAGATTGAGCCTGAGTTTAACTCCAATTGAAGATTTTTAAATTTTTGTACGCTAAACTTAAATATGTTGCAAATCAACTCAACTCATTATGAATAATATATTTATCCGGAATTAAAAAAAGAACTTTGATGATTTTTTTTATTAGAAAATTAAAAACATATTATATTTATTATTATGATTTTTCTCATTTTGGGAATCATCATCGTTATTTTTAAATTTTCTTTAAAAAAAAAAAGATCATAATAATTATCCTGCTGAAATTAATGGTAGTCCTCTACATAATTATCAAACTCCACGGGATAAAAAAGGAAAAAAGTGTGAGGGACGAATGATAGTTTTCACTCATTGAAGGGCAGAAAAGGCATTTCACATAAAGTGACATCGAGTAGATACTTCCGTAATTCTAACAAAATCATCATACATTTGTAAAAAGTGGAAGACAATCATGCCGTGTGCGTGGAACGAAGAAAGGAATGGATAGATGAAACCTGAGCCGTTGATTTAAGCGAGAACAAAACATAACCTGGTTCAAAAAAAGGTCGGTATTTGAGTTTTGGTCTTCTTGACCATAATAAGCCTCTATTCACACACACGTGGAAGGCTGGTCAAATAAATATTCTCCTTTATGGAGGGAATCATATGCACTCAAAACGTGGTCATTTTTCATTTTCACTTTATTACCCTTCCAAATCATCCCATTTAATCTTTTTCTACTGTGTTATAATTGTATTAATTATGAGAAAGAAACATCAAACAAAATGTTTGGTTGGATTTTATCTTGAGGAAAGCAAAAAGAAATTGGAAATTTTTAAGCCTATAAAATTAATAATTTTTGTGAAAGGATTTTAATTCATTTCCTAAAAAAGATACACTGTGATGTGACTTTTTTCATATATATTTTCATGCTTTTGATTGAAATGATATTCAGATAAAATCATTTTAAAAGTCATAGTTTTAGATTTCAAATTTATAACGTTAGAGACAAAATTCATATTATTTTTCTTTTTAATGTTCATAATTATGCTTTCCAACCACTTCGCTAACAATTAAAAATGAATTTTTCACTTGAAAAGAAATATTTAATTTTTATGAACACTAGGTATCATAACACCGATATAGAATAAATGCTGAAACATTTTGGTATGTAATACATAATTATATTAAGAAAAATATCCATTTCATCCATTGTTTTGTACAAAATTAATAACATAATTGTCAATTATTTTCTAATATTATCTTAATAAATAAAATTATTTAAATATGAATTTTAAATTTTGGCATTTATATATATGATTGAAAATTATTTCTAAAAGAGCAACAATTTTTACATTAAGAAAAGGAAAAAAAAATGAAAAGAAAGCCAAAGGCATTTAAAAAGCCGGAAATGACAAGTGGCCACTAGTAGCAAACGCGCAAAAGAAGAAACGAAAGGGGCTAAAAAGGAAAGCAAGTAAGATAAAAATATATAGAGTAGTAGAGTAGAGTTTACTTACTGAGACAAAGTTGCATTCATTCGGGTGAGAATAATTACAAAATTTTAACGAGTGGGCCTAAAAGATGACGTGGTAAAAAACTATTGGCTTACACATATAGAGAGCGGGCGAGCCATAAGAGACAGAGAGAGAGAAAGAAAAGAGAGAAAGGGACTTGGGCTCTCCTCTCTGGGTCTAGCCTGAGGGGCGTTGCGGGGGGTTTTTGATTGGATTGGTGGTGGTGCTTCCTTTTAGTGTGTATTTTCAGAGGCGGAGAAAGTGGCCTCTCTCTCTGTCTCTGTCTTCTCTCCCTCTCTCTCTTTGCCTGTTTCAGGGCATGGAAGAAGAGCTGGCCATGCTTAGGCAACTAATCGGTCAGCTTCAAGACCTCTTGAATCTCTACGGCTCTCCTCCTCCTCCTTTTCATCTCCATCACCAGCCGTTTCTCGAGCTCCACCACAACCATAACGACAATCACAACAGGTTTCTTTCTCTAGATCTCTTTCGTTTCTCGATTATCTTCTATTTCGCATGTGATGACTTGAACTGGAATTTACTTGTTATAGGTGTTTTTTTAACTCATTATTTTTGTGTTTGTTCTGTTTTGTAGTTAATAATTAAGGTGGTTTCTATTTAATTTTGATTGTGAGTTTGGTAAGTTAGGTGACTTTTGTGACTAACTTGCCGTGTTCTGTCACGCAATGCGGTTTTAATGCTTATACTACTATTTTTCCTTTGTTTTTCTTTTCCTTTTTTTTAATACTTTTTATTTCATTTGATCTTTTTAATTAAAGTTTTGACTCTGATTAATTTCACGGATGATCTTAAGATTATGGCATTACCAGTAATTGCAATTTCTTTAATTTTTCTTTTTAATCTGCAAGGAAGTTCGAGTTTTCAGCGTGTGTTGGATGTTGTACTAGAGCAGGCCAGCTTAATTAGTTTTCTTGGCTATCAAATTGGTTAGTTTTGTAATGTTTATTCCTTGGGAACTTTGATTAACTTTCACATTTTAATTTGCCCTTGCCTTTAAATTTTCCCCTCTTATGGGATTTTTTTTTTTTTTTTTTGAATCTCATTGCTTGCTGCTGATTTTTTAAAGATTGTGATCACTGATAAACTTAAATCCTGATAATTATGTGCATTCTATAGATAACAGACATTGTATTCTCAGTACTATGGTACTGTAAATTATGGAATAGGATCTTAGCATCACGTATTGCCAGTCTTTAATGCTTTAGGAAGTCATGCAAAAATGGGCGTCATTGCCCTCCGAAAGAGGAAAGATAAAGAAGAGACCTATATATTTGGCTGTAGGGGTGGGAAAATCCTGGCGTATGTTATGAAGCATGATTTAATGGGCCCGGTTCCTTTTTGATTTATTCCTTTAGGTCTTTGATTTGTGCGACAACATTTCTTTCTCATGGATCACAATTTTTTTCATTGTCTCTCATGTTTGTTTATCAGCAATGCAGGTGCATGTATGCTGGCAAACTAGTTACTTAGAGCTAATTGTAACGAACTATAAAGTGTCAACATTTCCTGCTTCCAAGATTTTGTTCCTTGTTTGTTGTTTTTGTGTATGCACACACACATCTGCTTTCACTGAGGACCAGTTAGTGGTATAATTATATTTCCTTTGCAGTAGTAAGTCTTTGTGATAACATGCTCGGCTTGGCTTTGTTCTTTGTATAACAATTTCAACTGGACGTGATGTCTTGGTATTTGTAAGTGTGGGTGTTGATGCTGCCCTACAGAAAGATAGCATCTTTTGGCCTCAATTATAATGTACATGAGGGCCATGGTCATATAGATTGGCAAGTGATTATTGGGGGTTTCTTACTTGTAAGTTCAACGACTTCTCTTATATGTAAGTTAGTGGTGTGATTCCTAGTTTCCCATCTTTTGTTTGAAGTCACAAACTATTGCATGGACGATGATGTCTTAAAGGGTTCTAATAGTTCGTTGTATTTATTTCTGAAATTTTTTTTTGAAAGAGTTATCGCTTTACACAGCAGGACTTCTAGTCCAGGAATGAGTTCTTGGCATTGATGGTTATGCTTCGGCTAATACTTTGTCAGAGAACAGAACTCTGAAATGATACAGTTTCAGTCAACTCTGATAGGGAAGAGCTATAATTGAAGTCAGGTACAAACTCGTATTTAAAACAGGAGGGGAACTCTAATAATTTTAGGCTTCGCCCACCCTCCTCGTCCCCCAACCCAAAAGAGAAAGTAGAAATCTTCTTCAATTGAATCCTATCTTGTATGCTTGAACTTGTTTTACTCCAAGAACTCAATATTTTGGTAGTTCGGAAGACCTCTGTAAAATTGTTGTTGAGGTGAAAAGGAAAACTGTAAGAAACTAGTTAACTTATCAAAAATTTACACAATGAATTTTAAACTCTTTATAATAACGATCATGTAGATATGGTAGATTACATTTGGAATAAGAAGAAATCTCCTAATTTTAGACGTTTTATTTTGTTTTGATGGATTGAAATCCACGGAATTTTGGACGTTTTTGGTTAAAAATATTATGAAAAATCTCATTCATTAAATGAGGGATTTCAAACAATCTCACCTCCAAGGCATGAATTTAAATTGCTTATCTTGGGGGATTTAAGAGAATGACAAATTAGTCAAAGCTAAGGATTTTTGTCCCATTTCTTATTCCAAATGTTAAATTTTCTTAAAGCATTGCGTGATTTTTTTTGTCCAGTTCTCTGATTGACCGTTTCAAAATCCATCATATCAATTTTTCTTAAAGTATTGGAAATGACCTCTTTTTTAAATCAAAGGCGTCGCAAAAGATTTCTGTTCATTTTCATGTTTTCTCCCTTGCAGTTATTTTGCATTTTTTTTCCCATTTTGTTGAATGCAATTCCACACTGCCCTCTTCCAAATTATATTACCCTGGGCATTCTATGCGTGAGCTCTGCTCATTGTCCAACTGCCCTTACCAAGTTCTTTCCATTTTAGCTCTGTGATTCTAAATATTTTTGTTACTGTCTGCTGTCTTCTTGTAGTGATATTGTTGCCGGCATAATGGTGATACTTCTGTTTTTCCTATTACAGTACTGATGCATACACATACACACACAATGCTCTATTTGTCTATGGATTGTGTTTGTAGAAATGTGATAACTTGGCATTGTCTTATCTGTGTATGTGATGGGGATTGCTATGTGGTTCTTTGTATAGAATACATTCTTTTCTTCCCCTGTATAACCTGCCAAAACAATAACTTAGTGTGGTATCAATCCAAAGTATTTGAGTTATGCTACATGGTTCTATTTCCTCCTATTTGTCACCTGCTAAAACAATAAAGCAAAAGAAATGCTCAATCTATATACTGAGAAGTAATAAATAAACAAAAAAATGATTGTTTGACAAAATAAGAGGGGTCGTGCCTAGGTCTCAAACAGATTCCAAAGTATAAGAGGAAGTGCCTATTTTGATTTGAACAGCTTCTGAATGTCTGGTGTGATGGTAGGGCCAGAACCAATGCTTATAGACTTTTACTCTGTTTGGCATTGAGATTGAAACTGCTTTTCCAAAGAAACATTATTTTAGATGATCTTGGAAAAAATAGTTCGTGTTGTTTTTGTTTTTGAAGCTTTTATCACTAAAATAGTTAAATTCACTTTTCTTTTTGGATTTTCCAACGAATATTTTGTGAAATTCACTTTACAAATTTAAGTGACGTTTAACCATTGTTTTCAACAAAAGGCTTCTCTCAATAGCAATTCAAATAGCAATGTCAAACATACTGTTTAAATTGCATACATGTGTTTGTCTGTGCATAAATGTTTTCTATTCTTTTAATATTATCTGTACAATAGTTTCTAGGCAGTTATACTTAAGAGTGCTGCACTGCGGCCCCTTTTCGCTATTCCTGTATTATGTTGTTTGCATCAGTCTCTGGAAGAGAGGAAATCTTGCTTGGTAGTTTACACCTTTTATTTTAGAATTTCTCATGGTTGGAGGATCAATAGTTGGAAGTGTTACTAAATCTATGACTTTGCTACTAGTTTTCTTTTACTTCGCAGTTGGCACATGTTGAATTAGATATCTTCAATTTTTACTGATGTCACAGGCTTTAGTTTTGCCATGCATGTCATTTATATTATATGTCTTGCAAGCTTTGCAGGTATACATACTCTAGCTATTAGCATCTTTAAGCCTTCACCTTATGAGCCTTCATCTGCTCATCTTTTGCAATTGTTTTTACCAAAATAATTTCTTGCATATGCATTCGGTAAATCTACTGTAATTTAAGGAGTATAAATTCTTGTTCTTTTTAACAGATGGTGCATCCTTGATATCCATGATGGTTCTGCAGATGGTTACTGTGATCTTGTGATGGCAGCTGGAAAATCTGGAAGTTTCAAGATGTTGGAACCTTCCAAGCCTCCTCCCATGAAGAAATCTAGAAAGGAGAGGAATCGAGGGAAGTTACTAGGAACTACTGATACGACTGAGATCATGGAACAAGAAGTGTGGAAAGAATTTCCAGAGGACCTTTTCGAAGCTGTCATTGCTAGGCTTCCCATTGCAACATTTTTCCGCTTTCGCACAGTTTGTCGAAAATGGAATTCCTTGCTGGACTCTGAGAGCTTCTCTCAGCATTGTGCTCAAGTTCCACATTCCAATCCCTGGTTTTACACTATTACTCATGAAAATGTGAATTCTGGAGCAATGTATGATCCTTCCTTGAAGAAATGGCATCACCCTACTATTTCTTCTCTACCCACTAAGATGATTGTCTTGCCAGTTGCTTCTGCAGGGGGTCTGGTGTGCTTTATTGATATTGGTCACAGAAACTTCTATGTTTGCAACCCTCTGACCCAGTCTTTCAAAGAGTTGCCAGCCAGGTCAGTTAAGGTCTGGTCGCGAATTGCTGTGGGGATGACATTGAATGGAAATGCAATCGGTGGGGGCTACAAGATCCTATGGGTTTGCTGTGATGGAGAGTATGAGGTTTATGATTCAATGAAGAATTCTTGGACTCGACCAGGAAGCATGCCTTCTAATATTAAGCTACCACTATCTCTGAATTTCCGATCACAAGCAGTTTCTATTAATGACACAGTCTATTTCATGCGTTCAGACCCTGAAGGGATAGTGTCCTACAACATGATTACTGGGGTCTGGAAACAGTATATAATACCAGCCCCACCCCATCTGAATGACCACACACTTGCAGTGTGTGGTGGCCGAATCATGCTTGTGGGATTGCTAACAAAGAATGCGGCCACATGCGTGTGCATATGGGAGCTGCAGAAGATGACTCTCTTGTGGAAGGAGGTTGACAGAATGCCAAACATATGGTGCTTGGAATTTTATGGGAAGCACGTTAGGATGACTTGCTTGGGCAACAAAGGTTTGCTCATGTTGTCTTTGAGATCCAGACAAATGAACCGACTAGTTACATACAATGTGAAAAGCAGGGAATGGCTAAAGGTTCCTGGTTGTTTGGTGCCACGTGGGAGGAAGCGGCAGTGGATTGCCTGCGGCACTGCCTTCCACCCAAGCCTTGCTGCTATAGCTTGATGTATACATTGCCTTTGGGTATTGTAGCAGCGTTTTCACGTTAGTGGAGGGGGTTCTAGACTTCAGTGTTGGTCTTTTGGTCAGTCACTTGGCTGCACAAGCTGTTGCGGCTATTTTATACCCAGCACAACTTTATTATTTTAATGAAGCAGATAATCCTTGGAATGATTGTACAAACACGTTGAAAAATAACTTTTGATGGGAAAGACTACGTTTTATATGCTGCTCAAAAATAGCTGGTTTATAGTTATGTATGTTTCAGAGCAAAGGGAGCTATAAAATGTGCCTCCCATTTATGATATGATGGCTTGCATTTTTGTTGAGGATCTCCATCAGATAAAGTTGTTGAAAGAAAAGCTTATAAGTCTGCTTTGTTAGGGTGCTGAAAGAACTCGGAAGAAATTATTCTCTTTCAAAAAATGAAATAATATATAATGTTTTTTACCCCTAATTTAAAATTATTCACATTGTGAAGCTTAGTTGTCATTCTTTACGTTAATTTTTTCTGCCGCTTAAAAGTTTATGGCGTTGAATCCTCTTGATTTCCCCCGCCCACCCAGCCTACGGCCTGCAATGTGTGTATTATTATTTAACTTGTCAACTACAGGACGTTTAATTTTGGAATATCAACTAACATGTTAAAAAATGTAACAAAAAAAACACTAATATGTTAAAATCCATTAATCAAAGGTTGCCGTTAAGATTTAAGATTCATTTTTACGACAAAATCGAATACAGAAACAAATTCAGAGAAGGCTACTTGCTGCTCATCAATGACGGGAAAACAGGCAGGAATTAAAAAAATGTAAAAATAATAAAAGCCCAAATCTGTACTTCACATCTGATGATCTGAACCACTGAATTTACAACAAGATGCCCACGTTTTACAAAGTCCCCGACCGCAGTATGCTAGCTACGCTTAATAGCCATGATGTGCATAGCTAAACCCCGAATTCTGATCGTTACATGTGAAAGAACAAGAACAAAAACAAAAACAAAGATGAACACCCAGGATATAAATTCTGTTATATTTTGCAGTTCCTCTTCTCTATGGAAATTTTCCACTAAAGAGAGATCCCTTATCCTACATTTTCTTAAAAGGGCAAAAGGATATATAGCTGTAGCCTAAGAACCACAAAAGCAATCTCATTTCAAGAGCCTGAAATTCAGATGCATCACTTTGTTCCAAACTCATATATGATCAAAAAATAGATAAACTGTCGACACGACACTCAGGTAAAAATAACACCATCATCGTTAGCAGCTGTCAAGACATCTTCTAGACACATATTATAGGAATGGGCAAATTTATTAAAATAGCTTAGTTCAGAACAAGAATAACAAAGTCAAGTATTTCCATCTCAACTACAGGCTAACATCTTCCACCTTTCAATTATGTTTGTTCTACATTTATGCCATGCCTCCGCTTGTAGCAGTCCTGATTATCTGGAATAGAGCTGTTATAAGCAACAAAAAGAATTCAAATCAGTAAGCATGGAAAACAATTCTGTTAACAAGAAACACTAAGATGCTAGTTCCCTGTTGCATATTAAACCAAGAAAAATTTTCAACTTCTATAAGATTAACAATCATATGACCCTGGTTATCAAACTTCTATTAAACCAGACACAATTGCCAGGCTCCTGTAAGGTTTGTGCTATCCTTCATTTTATCTTTCTCGGTTAAATTGTAAAATATGATTATTTGGTGATAGAAAGCAATAGGTAATTTTCAATGACAATCTTTAGTTCTAAGTTCAATTCTTGTACATTCAGCTGCATTAAAGATGACTGCAATCAACATGGCACAAGCAGAGAAACTTGAGTAAGGTTCAATCACTATTGTCAAGTCAAATTTTATCAATCAATCTTACTTCTTATATGAACTTGATGGAAACCATCAGAACTATTGGAAGGAAGCCATAGAAACTCAAATGACAAATAAATGTAATGAGGCTTACATGATCCAATGACCACAAATATGAAAAATCCAAGCAGAACAGGGCCAACAGGATAGTCCTTTGCCTTTTTAGTAGTGGTTTCAGGTACAGCTCCTCTCTTGGTAATGTTTTTCTCAAACTTCTCAACTTTCCTATCTGCAAGGCGCCTTGATGTAGTCTAAACAAACAAGAAAAAGGAATACCACAAAATTTAATACAATTTACCATTACAAATCATTTTAATAAAAAAACCATTAAAAATAATTGAGAAGCTTATTAAAATGCAAGTGTAAACAAACACTTAAATCAATTAAATCAAACCATTAAAATACAACCATTTGATATAAATAAGAAAAATGCATGGTAATCAGGTAATCCATGAAATTTCCCAAAAGAATTCTAAGACAAACCAAAACAAGGTCAACAGCAATAAAACAACAAGAAAAATCAAGAGATCAGATCGATTTAATCATTTATCATCCTATTTTTCTGGTCTAAGGCAGATCAACAAGACAATTCTTCTACTATAGAACTAAATGAAGAGAACAGATAAAACCGACATAAGGAACGGATCAAGGTCAAAACCAAAAGAAGTTGAATATAAAAGGAAAAAGCTATAATCTTTAACATTTTACCATGGTTACGGGGAGATCTGATAGCCGGGAACGATTGGAGCGATGAAGCTTAAAGAGAAACTACAGGTGATTTCGTCTCCTCCCTTCTCCGGCGAGCTCTTTCTCTCTCCCCTTTCCCTCTCTTCCGATCTGTGTCTGATTTTCTGAAGAAAAAATCACTCTCCTTTTGTTTTTATATTAGCTATACAAAAAGGAGATATTGATAGCATAACTGGCGTATCGTCACAGCCTTCGATGTGATTGGCAGCGCCACGAATATGGAACACGCGTCGGATTTTAATTGGATCAATATGCATACCTGGACTGCAAATTAGAGTTAACCGGGGTTGATTGAGAAGTGGCGAGACGTGGTCTCCTAGAGACACGTGTCATCGTCAAGCAAACATTTGAAACGTGTTGGATCGCTAAATTAGTAATTTTACCGGTTTTTAACCTTTTCCTAATAATAGAGTTTATTGTTTCTGCTGGATTTCTCGTTAGTTCTTTGTCTGGATAGGACAACGGTCATTTTCAACCCTTCATTCTGAAAATTGCAATTTTAACCGTTGATCGGTCTGGATAAGCTCAAAGAAAGTTCAAAATGTATTAAAATTTTGTATTAAAAAGCACCATAGATCGGCCATTTGCATGTATATAAGGTATGAAATTAAAATTCTTTGAAACTTAATGGGCTGCTTACAGCCCAGCCCACGGAAACTTCAAGCAATATAATTTTTCCTACTCGAATTATGATTTTAAGTCTCACATTTTGAGACATTCCAATTGGGGTTTAAACCTGTTCAAGACTAAGCCTTACGCTGGCTGCTTGTGGATATGGGCTTGACAACTAACTTGTTCCTTCTCCGTTCATGGCCACTTTAACCCAAAAGGGTCAGCTTTTAAATTTCCTCTCCTCGCCAAAAGAACTTCTTTTCCATTGACACACTGCACAGACATGGAATTCTTGCAAAATCTTACATAACTAGCGAAAGTATTACCCTTCCATTTCCATTCTTCAACTTGAATTGGAAATTTTTGAATCAAAAAGTTGAGTTGAGATCATTCTTTGCCTTTAAGAAAAGCATCAAGAAAGGTACTACTGTAGGACCTGTGTACTTGGCTTACTGCTTTACTAATTACTTGATGACCCAATTGTCCAGATTGTTGTACTACCGATGCCTCTCTTTCAAGTTCATTAAATGTTGACATCAAAAAATTAATAGTTTCCCATGAGTTTGGTAGAACTTCCAGTGCTGGGTATTTAATGAATTTGGCATTCTTGCTTGTTGAATTCAACCTTTCGATCCCAAACAATCACATGGAAAATGGGACTTCATGTTTTTAAGAGTTCATGTCAAATTTGAGGAAGGCATTAGGCTTCTCTCTCTATCTTTCTCTCTTAAATTTAAGGTTTCATGGCTTTTTTCATATTTATTCAGCTTCTTTCTTTTTTTCTTTGGTTAATTAGTCATAGTCTTGCTTATTAGAACTTCACTTTTTGGATAATCCTTTGGCTCTATAGCTGGAGGGCAATAGCTATCAGATGAGTGCTTGATTTGAAATGGTTAATCTAATTGGACCGACTGTTAAGTTAGTCAATTTTACGAAAAAGTTGAATGAAAAGAAGAGGATCCCTTGGTCAATTATTGGTACAGGTGTTACTATTATGTTATGTAGAACTTTAAGCTTTAATGTGCTATCCTTTTCCTTTAAAAATTTTCATTCTACCAATTTACAAAATCAAGGCTTGATATAAAGTTTGATTTTTTGTTCTGCTAAAAAAATTACCTATGGCTTAGAGTTTCAAGATTTGGGTTTAGTTGAATCTTTCTCTATATGTTGATTCAGAGATGAGAAGCCTTAAAACTACTTGACGTTTTGGGTTTGCAGGGTTCAAAATAAAGCTGTAAAAGCATTATCAATGGTGTACAGAGCATTTGATTTGCTAAAACTAAAATGAGAGAAGGAACTGAATTGCTGTGACTTGACAAAGTTTCACATGTAAAGAAAAAAATTCCTTTTTTATAATTTTCATGGTTGCTAGCTTGTCATAATTGTTAGGACCCTGTAATTCGTTTTGCTTTTATGCAATACAAAGTTTAACCAGAAAAATTGTTAGGCAGGAAAGTTCATGACCAATAGGTTCTTCAACACTTTAACACCTGGAACCAATTTATGCCATTTCTGGCCCCCTCAACAATTTTCAATCGTCAAATTTTGTTTTGTCCTATTTATAATACTACAGAAGTTCTATACTTTTCAAAGAAAAACTGACCCTTTTATTTCTTTAGGATTCTTACTGGAGGCCTGCGATAATGTCTGTGGTCAAATCAAATGATATAACTTGCTCGAGAAATTGGAATTTGTCTTTAGCATTTCACTCCAAGGCACATATACAAACCTATTGTCGACCAATACTCTTAGTCATAGCGTTTCCGCATATCCATTTTCAAGTAAAAAATACTAGTTTTTCGTGTAAAATTATATTTTAGGTGTCGGTTTCCGCATTTCTACGTTTTCTGGTTTATGCTTTTCTGCAAAATAGATACTAACTCAGGACACAACAGTAATACAAAATGAGCTAAACCTATACGACTGAAAACTAAAATGATCTTAAGTGCATGATGTTTTTCTTTCTTCTACTTGGCTATTATTCACTTTTTCTACTTTTATTCCATTACTGAACCAACAATGATTGAAACAACCATTTGCCTAGCTTGCAGATTGTGACGAGCTCAGGCGGACCCATTTACGTTTGTAAAAAAAAGTCTGTTGATGTATTGCTTTTTATCGTCCATCGCGATTACGAGGGACTCACAAATTGCTGGACTGGAAGTGCTTTGTTTGTGTGCTAGCCACGAACCAAGTCAATTGTCAACTGGTGACACATGTTCAATAAGAAATTGAAATAAAAAAAAGGTTCTTTATTTCAAATTTGATTTGTCTATTGCTTAAAAATGCCACGTTGTTGTCTTTTTCTTTCATCTAATTATTTAAAAATCCAATCTCTTTTTACAAATTTTAGTGGTTTTCTTGCTTTATTGGATTTTCTATCGCGTCTTCTATCAAGCATTTAGGAGAGAAATCAATGAAAATAAACCTATGAAATTTGAGAATTAAATTAGTTAATGAGGTAGACTATTTCTAGAATTAGAACATGCACGTATATATGTATATCCCATGCTCTAAATTACCATTAAGAGATGGTGACAAGTAATTTAAGTTTAGATCGTTTGGTTAGAATAGTTCACATCTCAAATTTTTATTGACTTTCACTTTTTTTATAAGATACTTTTGCGTTCCTCTTTTCATACAGTATCGATGATTGATCTATGCCCGCTGAATGAAAGTTGAAAGACCATTCAATTCATTAATGGGTATATCGCTATTCTCACCCGTGCCATTCCTAAATATAATTGCAGATATCGCTTTATGAGAATGATTTCTTACTTGTTCAATGTGTACTTTCGTGTGCCGTGTACCATATGCTACGTATTGCTTAATAATTAGATATATGGTTTGCCTTGCTATTATGCATCAATACATTATATTATGATTGATATTGGCTTATAGAGAGTCATTGACCGAGTCTTTTAGTTGTTTTCTTTAAAGGTATTCTAAGCAAGCGTCCGATAGTTACTCTTCTTGTCCGATTTCGAGTCCATGACATTATTTTTATATATTGAATGGAATATTCTTTTGGATAAATCAAATACACAATTTGTTTGAATTTAATGTAGAGTGGACAGTTGCAATTCTGACTTGGGTGTGTGGAAATAGTATGGTTAGTTCTAGCAGTTCAAGTAAGTGTCGAGTCCTTGTCTGTCTGTGGTTGAAAACATTAGTAGTACAGAGTTGGCTTGGCCATTTAAAACTACGCATCTTTATATAGTCATTGTTCCGTGTACTCTAGGACATTTCCAAGACCAAATATTGCACGATTCAATGTATCATTTCTCTGGATTTAAATCCCATTTATCAACTTTTATTTCACCCCTATTGCTATTTTTAACCCTTTTTGTTTTCTTACTCCCTCTTTGTCTCCAACTTGAATCCGAAAATAAAAAGGGAAACTGTGCCTTTGGAATGCCTCAACTCAACTTTTCCAATTAGAATACTTACCCTTAACTTATTGAATTAAACTTTATCTATATTGGGTTTATGAGTCTACTTTAAGAGTATTCTTTTGATGTTAGGAGTCACGGAGTAAGAATTGGAGATTAAAAGTGTATTCGGTAAAATTAATTATTTCTAATAGTATTTAGTTGTTTGAATAATTAAATAATTATTTGAATAACTTTTCATAAAAGTTAAAAGTTAAACTTTATAAGTTGTTGAACACAATCTAAGAAGGGCAAAAAAAAAAATTCAAAGTTGGGAGCAAAATTAAGAAAATATGCTATTTTAAGACATAAAATTAAAAAATTTTTACTAAGAAGATGGGAACCACGCCCGGCACTCCTCCTTTCGTCGATAGATATTACAAGGTTTAGAAAAAAAAAAAAAAAAGTTTAGAAAAATTTTATTTCTTAGTTTTATAAATATAATTTACTAAAAATAGTAATAAAAAATTAAATAGAACTTGTTTCTTTGACTCGTTGCTTCAATAGTTTGGCCATTTTTCTTTTTTACATTCTCAAGTTAGAAATACGCAACATCAAATGAAATCTTATGATTGGTGTTGCAATTGCGCTGTGAGTCACCAATAAAAGTAGGATTATCAACTCAACGACGGTGATTTGATGGTGCATGCTTAATAATAATAATTAATTAATTAAACATATTCATTTGTTTAATTGTGTGGTTTAATTAAAGTTACATGTCCTTTCCTTTTTGCTTTTTTCTTCTTCTTCTAATATATTTCTTTATCCTAATTAGCTGAAATTATTCTAAAGGTAGTCGGTGGTTGGCTGCTGCTGGATTAAAAAAGAATATAAAATAAGGTTGGCAAATTCCCACCATTGATCACGTGGACACATCGTTGTCCTATACAATTAAAGGATTAATGGACATGTTGGTCCCACCATGGAAAATGTTCTGTGACCAAATATCTCCATTAAACACTATAGAATATATACTAGCTACATTAATTAATCTTTGTTTAACACTTCTTAATCTATAATTAATTAATTACTCTTCTCTCCATTGGATTAGATCTCCAATTTTTTATTAGCTATCCTACGGTTCTTGCCCTGCCACGTGCTGGTTGATATACTTCCCTAGCATGGCTGTAGCCGGCATCTTGACATTTCTTGCAAGAGCTAAACACATTATCATTATTATTATACAATAATCAGTAAAAATAATTTAAAAAAAAGAAAAAACTGGCCAATAAAACAAATGCACTAAAAAATATTTAAATGCAAGAAAAACTTTAAATAATAATAAGATGATTGCATTTGTTAAAGCTTCAATGAAAAATAATATTATTTTATTTGTTATTTCACTTCTTCGGGGCAAGATTATAAATAATTAAAAAAAAATAGACAATCGTTGTCATTGTTATAAACGTGGTTTATACATTGCACATCATGCATTATTTATGTTATTTCACATTTATGAATTTAAAAAACTAAATAAATTAATATATCAAAACCAGTTTTAATAAATTTAAATCTAATTAAAATTAAACTTGCCCTTTCATTTTAACTTGTGAAGATTTAAATATTTCTTATAATATTTAAATATTATGTAGTAATAAAAAATTTCAAACATTTAATATATATTAGAATGTTTTAATCAGTACAGCTATACTATTATGTTTAAACTTTTTTTTTTTACCTTGATTAAGTGGCGTCAAATATATATTATATCCTTTTCAAAGAAATATATAAATATACCTTTGATTCTAGTTTGTTGATGGAAGCATCCCATCAGCGATGCACGACGTGGTGGGTGCAAAGCCGTAATCTCTGACGCTTGGCTTGTTTTCAGAGAGAGAGAGAGAGAGATGGTGACTTAAGCAAGTTTTTTATTTTATTTTATTTTATTTTAAATTTCTATTATTATTTTTATTATGAAAATACTACCTAATTATTTTGTCAAGTCCTTTCTTCAGTTTTGGACCGACCTTGAACCTTCTCAACCTATCATTTATGTTTAACACATAATTAATCTTTCTACTCAATTTCTGCCTGTGGTGTGTATTGCCAAATTTTAATCGAACCTTCTTCCTGGATTAATTTGAAAGTTTCAAGTTTATAAGGGGCTAGAGCTAGTTTAATAGGGTAGAGAATTTACAGTAAAAAATTATTTTTGTCTATTTTTTTTTTCATAAGTCATATTTTCTTTTCTTTATTGTTCTAAACTCATCAGATGATTTTAAATTCATGGTCCTTATTTCTAATTATATTAAACATAAAGTTTAACTAACCTTAACACTATGTTTTGAAGATCTAAAGTAAGAAATAATCTCATATTCTCATTGCTGTATATGGTCCAAATATGGATTAATTTTATCCATATAATTTGGTAGGAATAAAATATGGTGCAAATGAAAAAATAATGATAATAGTCAAACTATTATATTATCGTTAATTTATTTTTTTTTTTCATTGTTTTGTGATGTACGACAAATTGTTATTAATTTTGGTTTTGTTTTAAACAGTACTTGATGTGTTTCTAGTTTTGTTATATTTTAAGTTTTGATCAGGTTGGTGTAAGTGAGCGACCTAATGACTTTAGATAGTTTTTGGATAAATTAAATTTTCCGTGGATGATAGTAATTTAATAAATAATTATATTTTTTTTTCTGATAAAAAAATATATTAATCTTTAATTTTTCAATAAAACTTTATTTAATCAAAATTTTAATTAATTTTAAAATAATTTAATATGGATCATTAAATTTTTATGGATAATGACACAAGGGTATATCAGAAAAAATAAAGCAAAAATTATAGTTTAACTATATTAACAAAATTTTTAATTTATATACAAGTCAAACCTGGACATAAATTAAAAAATTTTGTTAATATAGTTAGTCAAACCTGGACATAAATTATGGAACGGAAGACATAATAAAAAATGAAAATCTTCTATTTTATTTTTACATCTTATTTCTTACCTTTCAATTTCTATTCTCAAATACTCTCTATGTTTTTTTTTTCCTCCTTAATTAAGTATTACTATTAGGCTAGAATGAATTAGTTGGGATTGTCTTATTCTTATCCGTTTGATCCGAGTTTTAAAATTCATTTCTAGACATAATTGATTTTGTTTTCAAACATAATTTATTTCTAATAGTAATAAAACAATAATTTGAAATTGGATTTAATTATTGAAATATATACATATATAATAATATTCATTAGAGGCCAAATTAGACGAAAATAACTCAATTTTTGTACTCAGTAGTACTTTTTAGACTATTGCTATTTACCTGTTAATATTCCAACATCATTGTATTTTTAGTATTATCGTTTAGTTAATATATTAGCAAGGAATTATATACCAATAAATTGAGTTAGATTTGACTAAAAAAATAAGCAAATAAATAAGTTTGTGAGAAATAATTAAGCTATTTCTTTCACAGTATTTATTTTATTAATTATTTATTTTCTTTATATAATTTACTGATATCGTCTTTCTCTCATTAAATATTACTGACTATAAATGTATTATCGTGATAAAGATTGATTAAAAATTATTCTATTAAAGTTGATTTTAGCTAAAAAGAAAAAAGAAATTCAAAGGTATAAAGGTTTAATAAAGTGTTGAAATTTATCATTAAATATAATTATATTTTAAATTATTATTATACCCATGCGTTGTAAGAGAGTTAGCCTCCATTATTATGTATATTAATCATCAAAGAATAATAATAACAAATGCAACCATTGATTTCATATTATGGGATTAAAAAGAATTGAAGGCTAATTAATTTTATTTCAGCCAAGACCTAAGCTATAAGACCATATGTTAATATTAATTATTCTACCAAGCTAAGTTTATTAATTAATTTATGCAATTTTTTATAAAAATAATTTAAAAATATGAACATTTTTTATTTAATATAGCTATAGAAATTGCGAGGAAAAACTTTCATATATGATCTTACACGAGGAGATTGAAAAATTTATTCGAGTCAACAATTTTTGAATTAATAATTTCAATTAAATAATTTTATTAATTAAATTTTAATTGATTGAATATATAATTAAATATAATTGCAAGTCATGTGGATATAACAGGAATTACAAGTGTTGTTGACAAGGTGACAATCCATGAAGCAACACTATGTCATTAAGGGGAAAAAAAAAGAGTGATCCCATGTGTACACGTGGCAAGGAGATGCTATAATTTTATCCCAAACCCACGGCTGACACGTAGCACAAGGCTATTATGGGCAGTACACGTTAGATAAAATGATTGGCTATTGCCAGAGAACCGGTGCTGCTGACGTGGACGTCGCTGTCAGAAAGAGCTCCCCAGAGGACACCAAAACGAAGTGGGTAGTGATGGCCTAATCACTTCGTGACAAGCCTTGATTAAAGCGCCTTCATACTTTTGCCATCACTTCTCCATCAATTCACAACTTCGCCACTCATGTTCTTCCAACCAAGTCGTCTTCAACTTCATAGCGTTAATGACAATATTACCCCTCAATTCTATTGGCTTTTTACATGCAAAGCCATTTGTAGTTTGTCAAAAAGAGATTGCTTCTTGTTGCTTCCTATATTGTAAACAAATTACAAAAAGCTAAAGAAAAGATGCTTACCCTATCATCCATAGGTTAGGCAGAGTTGGTTAAGACCACATTTTGCATTATAAAGGTGATTTTATCATTAGTGGGATTTCTCTCTTTTATCATTTTTTCATTATTTTAACGTACATAGAAATAAAAGAGATATCACGTGAAAATTTTTATATTATATAATAGTAAAGATGATGTAATTCAAGCTACAATAAATTCATTTACTATAAATTTATTTTTATTTATAACTTATTATGAAATAATTAATGGGGTTGATAGGTTAGTGCTATAAGTGAAGTCTATAATCATATACATAATGGGAATTAGATTCCAGAACAAAATAGATAGATAACACAATAACACCTTGAGAGGTTCCCATCATGGGACCTATTCATTGGTTTGATTTTACCTAATCTTTTTTGACTATTGGTCCTGAAATGGTAATTTTGGGAAAAGCGTAGGGCATCTAATGCCAAATTGAGGGTAGAAAAGATAAATGTTCAATGTTTGAATTTTTATTTTGATTGAAGGGTACTTTTGTCAAAGAAGAAAAGTACAGCCACATAAGTTAACGACTTAGCGTGTAGAAGTTTTCTACTTTGGTTAATGGATGGATGGGGATGTGAACGCAAAGGAAAGTTGTGAAAAAGCAGTGATTTTGCTTAGTGGAACTATACCTTTTCTGCCCTTTATAATTTATATTTAGATAGCTTTAAATAATACAAATATAAAAAAATAAAGTTAATAAAAATAAATACTATTCTCTTATCAGTGACATTGTTATTCTTATTTAAAATTATAAATAATACTGAATGATAATTGTAAAAAATGATTTTTATTTTTTTATTTTGGGTTGGATGGTATGGATAGAGATAATGGCCTACACTAGCAGACATTTTTACAACCATATTCTTCTCATCTCTCTTTCTCAGATTCTTTCTTTGTTAGTGTGTCCATGAATCCACTCTTCTTAGCTTCTTTTTCTAGTACTGCTACTACTTCTCCTGCTGCGGTTACTTAGACTGCTAAACCTTCCACTATTGATTCTTAATAATTCTTCATGTTTTACTACCTGGGTTATAATCTAGATTTGGGAGAAATGGGATATACACTGGAAAGTCAAAATCTTTAAATGCATTTACATGTTTCTTGATTTTTTCTTCTTGTTTGATTTTTAGGTGGAACTTGAAGAGACTTGTAAACTAGATTTTTCTTGGCAGATTCTTTGTTGGAGGGATTTTGGATTTCTGATTTAATAACTGAATTTCGAATCTTTGTTCGTTGGTCCATTCTGTGTTCTGAGTTTTGGTTGGTGGTGGTTGCTAACAGGATAAAGAGAGGGGAAAAAAAAAACAGACTTCTGTTTGGAATTAGAAACTAAGAATCTGAGGATTCTTTGATTCTTTCTTGTGGGTTGTGTGAATTTCTTATCTTGTTCTATGTTGGGGCTTGTTTCTTGCACTTAAATCTGAAATTATTTTGTAGCTCCTGTTGTTGGATAAGATAGCATCTTCTATCATACCCACTTCCTCTTTTTGATTCCACTTGTTTATAGTGAATTCGGAGTTTGGTGGACTTTGCTCCTTTTCATTTCCTTGTGCCTCTTTTGTTCTTCTAATAACTTTGAATTCTCTTCACGTTGGGTTTTGCTAGACAGTTTCTGTAGATTTGATAGTGGGTCTCTTTCTCTCTTTGCCCTTTTATATTTTCTGCCTGGAATTAGCAGTAAGACCCACTTCACCTCGGTACTGTTTCTTGGTAGCTTGCGTTGGCTACTGTTTTGGATGAATTTGCTCCATGTATTTGGGTTTGGTTTAAAGGTGGGGCATCTACTTTGGATGCTATGTTGCTGGATTGTATCGGTAATTTCCATGCACTGGTTCGTTAATGGTGAAATTGTGGAGACCAAAACTGGTTTGCTCAGTGATGGTGGCAAGATGTGGCTCAGGCTCTGGGAAAAGATCTCAGGGCTTAGTTGCAAGATGCACCATCACTACTACCAGTATATTGGGTCTAAAAGAGTAAGAAAAACATGGTGGAGAAAGCTCTTGCTTGCATGGGTTATTGGCTGGATCATGGTCTCTTTATGGATCTTATGGTATATGAGCTCTCAAGCCACTGAGAAAAGGAAAGAAACCCTTGCAAGCATGTGTGATGAGAGAGCCAGGATGTTACAGGATCAGTTTAATGTTAGCATGAACCATGTACAGGCCATGTCCATTTTGATCTCAACCTTTCACCATGGCAAGGACCCTTCTGCTATTGATCAGGTTTCTAGATCTTTACTCAGTCTTCTAGGCAATGATAAATCTCCTTGTTTTGTCCTTAATTGCCTTAATGTTTCTTGTTTGTGTTGAAGAATGTGAATTTGATTTCTATACTGTAATTTGCAAGCCAGACTTGATCCATTAGCTCTCTAGTTTAGATTAAGGTACTCATCATGCACCTACCTGTGATTCTATCCTTCAGTGGATAACTCTATTTCTTCAAGCTTTTCTCAAACAGTAAATTGCTTTATAATGTTTAGATTTGGTGAATTTGCTTCTGTTTTTCATTTTGGAATATTAAAGCTTAATCTAGAAGCAGATCCGGGTGCTTTTTACTATATCCAGTCAAAAATACAAACTAACTTTAAGAATTTGTAGAGGACTTTTGCAAGGTACACAGAAAGAACTGCTTTTGAGAGGCCCCTCACAAGTGGCGTGGCGTATGCTGTGAGGGTGCTCCATTCCGAAAGGGAACAATTTGAGAAACAACAAGGCTGGACTATTAAGAGGATGGATACCCTTGAACAAAATCCAGTTCATAAAGATGACTATGTCCCAGAATTATTGGAGCCATCCCCAATTCAAGAAGAATATGCCCCTGTCATCTTTGCTCAGGATACCATTTCACATGTGGTTTCTCTTGATATGCTGTCTGGAAAAGTGAGTTCCTTACTTTGACTTAAAGCACTACACAGATTTTGCAATGGTCATTACATAAAAACTTGGATGTTCTTTTCCTTCTTGGAATTTTCGGTACTAATTTATGGAGCGTGTGAACTCATTGGCATTGATTCTTATGTTTGGATTTTGGTTTATATCTATCTGTGCTTACAGGAAGACAGGGAAAACGTGTTGCGTGCTAGAGAATCGGGAACTGGGGTTCTAACTGCTCCTTTTAGGTTACTCAAAACCAACCGCCTTGGAGTTATTTTGACATTTGCTGTCTACAAGAGAGATCTTCCCTCCAATGCAACTCCTAATGAGAGGATTCAAGCGACTGATGGGTATTATCTTTGTCTTCAGTCATACATTTTATAGGAACATTTCATAATGATTCCTTCTGTCGAATTAGTGTGTGGAAATAGGCGCTCCTTCCGGCTTTACTAAATACAGACTCTGAATCTTGGAGAAATGACAATGCTTGAAAATCATAAAGCTAATTCCAATTAGAAGAAAATTAATACCAGTAGGGCCGTGAGAAAAAATAAAATTATTCTATATTGTGTGATGCCAGGATCTCTTTGAGCTGATGTTCTGATGAAAAACTAGAAATACTGAATTATTGCAATAATGATAACTATTAAGGAGGAGTGCTCACAATTTTGCTGGCACTTCTAAGCAGGTATCTTGGAGGAGTCTTTGATATTGAATCACTAGTGGAAAAGCTACTTCACCAGCTTGCAAGCAAACAAACTATCCTAGTGGATGTGTATGACACTACCAACCAGTCTTACCCCATTAGCATGTATGGTTCAAATATATCAGAAGATGAGTTGAAACTTGTTAGCACCCTTAATTTTGGAGATCCCCATAGAAAGCATGAGATGCATTGCAGGTAGAAAACAGTCCTCTCCCTTTCTTCCCAAGTTGAAATTGTATGCTTCTGACCTATTGGTTTTGCTGCTAATGAAAGTCCTGTTATTCACATAGCTAGTCCAAATCTTCTTGTGTCTGTATGGTGTTGCTTTTATCACATCAAAGATATAGAAAATTTATTATGTTGGATGAGCTAAATATGAAGCTTTGATGTTTTAGATATATATATTGTTTCAGATGTGTATAATTTAGATTTTTTCCTTGATGCAGGTTCAAGCAAAAGCCACCTTGGCCATGGTTAGCTACAACAACTTCAGTTGGTGTCCTTGTGATTGCGCTGCTAATCGGACATATTTTCCATGCAACTGTCAATCGAATTGCCAAAGTTGAAGATGATTACCATGAGATGATGGAGCTTAAGAGACGAGCTGAGGTAGCTGATGTTGCAAAATCTCAGGTAATTGATGATTTTAATCTACTTGCTGGTCACATTTTGTTTCTGTAGCATAAAATCAATCTAGTTTCAATTTTCTGCAGTTTCTTGCCACGGTTTCGCATGAGATCAGAACCCCAATGAATGGTGTTCTAGGTGAGTTGTGAGATTTTTCTTTAGTCATCAAAGTCATAGGCATGCACTACTTAGCCTGTGCTAAGAATATCATTGAGCCATGATAATGTAAATATGTGCTTTTTCCAGGAATGTTGCACATGCTTATGGACACAGATCTAGATGTGACTCAACAAGATTACGTCAGAACTGCGCAAGCCAGTGGAAAAGCTTTAGTTTCACTAATTAATGAGGTTTTAGATCAAGCAAAAATTGAATCTGGCAAGCTAGAGCTTGAGGATGTGCAATTTAATCTGCGGGCAATTTTGGATGATGTACTGTCACTCTTTTCTGACAAGTCTCAAGGGAAAGGAGTAGAGGTAATGTTATTTTGATGGTGAAATTAGTAGATACTAGAGTGGTGTGTGCTCTATTTGTTCTTCATTTGGATTGAATTATAGGAGGGATGGATGAGATGGGGGGAAAACAACCAAAAATGTATTAGAGGACTTCGTTATCCCTTACTTCTTTTTCTTCTCCAATTCAGTAGATCAAAGACTATCTTTTCCTTTCTAATTCAACTAATCCTTCAAACATAGTGTTAGTTTTACATAAATACTAAATCTCCAGCATAAATAACTAGATTGTAATAACTTTAGGAGAGGATAATACATGTGCATTATCTAATAATTTCTCCTTTAGCACAGTCTTCCTTTCTTTTTTTTTCTTGTCTTTTTTAATACTAGTTTCTTGAACTTTACTTCTCTGATGCTCAATTCCACCATCTAATATCTAACATTTTGATTTTGGCATGATAAAATTGGCGGGAGGAGCAGTTGGCAGTTTACATCTCTGATAATGTCCCTGAAACGCTAATCGGTGATCCAGGGAGGTTTCGGCAAATCATCATCAATCTCATGGGAAATTCAATAAAAGTAAGCATCTATCTATTTCTGGATTGAGCCTCTATGATGAACTCATTTCAGAATCATGGCCACTGCAAAAGTTTTTCGTTGTCTTCCACTGCCATAGAAATTTAGAATAAAACATGATCTATCATTCTAGCGCATTCCATCTTACGTTCATGTTAAACAAAGATTTTGTGAGTACCTCACGTGGGTTAAAATTGTAACTTTTAACTTGGAACTTGTTCTTACAAATTTTGTACGGTCCTCCAACTGATTTGTTTTCCTAACTAAATTAATTAATCTTTTGGCTAGTAATTCTATAGGACATCCTGCTGTGCCTGGCATACATAAAGGCCATTTTGTGAAATTTTTTTCTTCAAAGACAGGAAAATCTTTGTTGTCTTGTCTGTCTGATGGATTGAGGAAGTACAGGATCCATGTTAACAAGCTTATAGAATGTCTAATATCTTCACTCAACATAATTCAATCTACATAGTTTAATTTTTGTAGAAGTAGAATCATTTAGACTTCATTTGTTTGCTAGTTCGCACATCTACATTGTTCTAAAGACTTTTTGTAAGAGTAGTACATTTAAGCTTCATTTTTTTGCCAGTTCACACATCAAGGGCATATCTTTGTCACTGTCCATCTTGTGGAAGAGGTGATTGATTCCATAGACGTGGAGACAGAATCATCATCAAGAAACACATTGAGTGGTTTCCCTGTTGCAGACAGACGCCGTAGTTGGACAGGATTTAGGACTTTCAGTCAAGAGGGATCTATTCATACTCTTTTGCCTTCCTCTCCTGACCTTATCAATCTAATTGTTTCAGTTGAGGATACAGGAGAAGGGATCCCTCTTGAAGCCCAATCTCGAATTTTTACTCCTTTTATGCAGGTTGGTCCATCCACTTCCCGAAAATATGGAGGCACAGGAATTGGCTTAAGTATAAGCAAGTGTTTGGTTGGCCTTATGAATGGGGAAATTGGGTTTGAAAGCATTCCCAAGATTGGAACCACTTTTACATTTACTGCTGTTTTTGCCAATGGTTCCTCAAATTCAAGTCAGTACAAGAGCCACACAATCAGCAACCAGTCTAACACAGTCCCTTCCGAATTTCGGGGCATGACAGCATTAGTTGTGGATCCCAGGCCTGTTAGGGCCAAGGTTTCAAGATATCATGTCCAGCGGCTTGGAATTCATATTGAAGTGGTTTCTGATTTGAGTCAAGCTTCATCAAGCATAAGCAGTGGGAATTCAGTATTTAACATGGTCCTTATCGAACAAGAAGTATGGGATAGGGATTCAAGCATTTCAACTCTCTTTGTCAATAATATAAGGAAAATTAATTATGGTACTTCTCCAAAACTGTTCCTTCTGGCTAATTCTGTTAGCTCTTCCAGAACAAACACTGCAACTTCAGGTGTTGATACTCCAGTTGTCATCATGAAGCCCCTAAGAGCAAGTATGCTGGCTGCATCTTTACAACGGGCAATGGGTGTTGGAAACAAAGGGATTCCACGCAATGGGGAGCTCTGCAACCTTCTTCTTGGAAGAAAAATTCTTATTGTGGACGACAATAGTGTGAACCTCAAAGTGGCTGCTGGGGCTTTGAAAAAGTATGGAGCTGAAGTGGTCTGTGCAGAGAGTGGGGAAAAGGCAATTAAATTGCTTACCCCTCCTCACGATTTTGATGCTTGTTTCATGGATATCCAGATGCCTGAAATGGATGGGTATGTCAAACAACATTTCATTCCTTCTTAAGTTTTTCCTGGTCATTTATTCTGTTTGGGTTTTGCTTTTTGGAAAACACAAATTATAATTTTGCTTTCCCTCCTGCTATATTGTTTTCCATAGCTACCTATTTGTATATTGTAATCATTATGAAATGCTTTCTCCTCAGATTTGAAGCTACCAGGAAAATTCGGGATAAAGAAAACAATTTCAACAATTCTATTCAAAATGGAGATGCTTCAGTTGGAGCCTATGAAAATCTTCCAAATTGGCATGTTCCCATTTTAGCAATGACTGCAGATGTAATCCAAGCTACACATGAGGAATGCCTAAAGTGCGGAATGGATGGGTATGTTTCCAAACCATTTGAAGCCGAACTACTATATCGGGAGGTTTCACGCTTTTCCAATCTAGTCCCAATGTGATATTATAGAAGACAGGCAGGCTAATATTGAAAGTGTGCTCATGACTTGAGCTCAAGCAGCTGTTCTCTGGGATGCTTTTGAGATAGCTGAATGGGTGAAAAGCTTCTCCCAAGAGTAAGTGTTCTATTGACCTTAACTGAAATTTGCATTTGATAGTCTTTTGGAGATTTTGTTGTTTTCGCTTATCAAACTCCCGTTCACATTTTTGGTAAAACTGTTCTTTTAATTGCTTTATTTAGACTAGAATTTGACATTGTTAATTTACTGGCCTGCTGACTGCTTGATTTACTCGACATTTCTCCAGGAAAACATATGTTTTGTTGCAGAGAGTGTATATAGAAGCCATGATTGATTGGGCTTGAGTTTCATTTATTGTTTTGCGAGCCACAGTGAAGCTGGTTCATTTTTCCTTGTAAAGTTGTTCTCAGTTGGTTAGTGTTATTATGTGAGACTTGTGCAGAGAAAAAGCTGTTAGGGTAGGACTCCGAAATTCGATACTTCTGAATTGATGGGAAAGAAAATCAAGTTATCTGATTGTATCATAGAAGCTACAAAAATGGCAGCCTCTTATCCTTGTGGTAATAAAATTCTTGCTGATGATCCAACGATCTCTCTTTCTGGAGGATTATCTATTTGTATCATAGAGATAGATTCAGATGAAAGAATGAAAGATTCTCCAAGTCAAGAAAGGATAGGTTAGTGTATATTATCTCATCAATAAAATGCTGATGTGCAGTTGTACTGTCTCCTTTCTTCTTGTTTTTGCTTCTAACATACAGAAAAATTTGTTGTTCCAGGAATCCATGTAACTTATATAGTGACAGACTGTGTATCAAATTTGATTTATCTCATGATTCTTGTCTGATTGTAACATTTTGACTCCATATGTTTTTTTGTACTTTTTCTTTTGGAATAATTGCTATTTAGCCCTCATAGCTTAGTGAGTTTTAGAAGTTTAAATTTATATTTTCATGAATAGTTGAAATAAATTTTTTTATTTTTTATTCTTTAATTAAATAGTCTTGTTACTGTTAAGTTGATGAAATATCAATTTTACCCTAAATAAAACTTCTAAACCCTTCATTCTAAGGAGATAGTTGATTTTTTATTTTTCACACAGATTAAGAAATTAACAATTATTGCAGTTAAAGTATAATTTCAATATAATTTTTCTATTATGCTCATTTTAAATAATATATGAGTAATTATTTTAGAATAACAAGTAAGAATTAATGAGGTTATTGAAAATAAAATAAAATTTAATAATGGTACAATAGACAATTTAAGGATTAATTTTTATGTAAAAAAAATAGTCTATATTTTAGGATAAATCAAAATAAAGATGACTATCTTTATAATTTTTTTTTAACATTCTACATTTCTACTTGCTAAATTAAATATTTAGTTTTTTATATTCTAAATATTACTAATTTCAATTTTATAACTAAAGCATTAGATAAAATTGGGCAACGAAATTTGTTTTTTTTTTCTTTTAAGTATAAAATTAAACCAAAAATCATTTCATTTAATTTTTTAAATGAAAAAACAATGATTATCTAGACTAGATTTGTCGTCTTATTTATTGATATTTTTTTTTCGCAAGTATATATGACTCCATTCACTAATAAGTAAAAATAATAAAATAAAAATAATTTTTTAAAAAATATCTATTATTGTTGGTTTGATTTACGAATGAATCCATAAATAAATACTGGAAACTAAAAATACGCACTCGTAGCAGTGGTTTTTGTTCTGTGGAGGCGTAGACAAACGAAATCTAGAAAACCCATCGTAACAATAAATTTCCAACTTTCAATCCCCACCATTAGATCATACTATAAAACAGAAACCTTCTCTCTCTCAGTTTCTCTTTGCTCTTTGCACGAAGTAGCGTCACTTGCAAGCGGCGAAACAAAGAAAAACAAAGCCGAGAGCCAAACAAGTGTAAAGAAATCCAGAATCCGATTTCTAGATGGATCCAGACGCGGTAGCGAAGGCGTTTGTCGAGCACTACTACTCCACGTTCGATGCGAACCGTGCTGGCTTGGCTAACCTCTACCAAGACGGATCGATGCTCACCTTTGAAGGCGAGAAGATCCAAGGCTCTCCGAACATCGTCGCTAAGCTCACTAGCCTTCCTTTCAAACAGTGCCAGCATAGAATCACAACCGTCGATTGTCAGCCATCTGGTCCTGCCGGTGGCATGCTTGTCTTTGTCTCTGGTAACCTCCAGCTCGCCGGCGAACAACACGCTCTCAAGTTCAGTCAGGTATAGATTTAATTCAATGGATATATTTAGAGGATTTTATTTTATTTTATTTGATCTATTGTTAGTTGATGTTTGATTTACTTTGTTAGCAGTTTTAGGGATTCGAGGCGTGTGTGGATTGATCTATTGGTGATCGGTCTTAGATTTTTGAAATTTCTTGTTGTGGATGTGATTTTGAAGGTTGAAGTATCGATCTCCTTTATGCATTAGGGATTTGGTTACTTGTTTTAGGTCATTCTCTGGTTTTATATAATGTTGCGTTTGCTCTCTTGTTATGTGGTGGATCCAGGATTATAGATCTTTGGCAGTTCTTCAGACACTATTGAGTTGCCAATTGCTGAAGTTTTTTCTTAGAGTTTGAGCTAAATCTATATTTTCTGTTCCATATTCCTGTTGCAGTTTGTAGTTGAGCATTACTTGAATCGCTATCAATATTTGTATATGCTAGTGTAGTGTGCTTATTAAGTTGATTAATTTCTTAGAGGTACAAAGTTTTAGTATCTAGTGTGTGCATTACTGAAAAAGTATTCAGGTGCTCCAGGCATTTGTGCAGATACATGGACTAGGGAAAATTACAATCAGGTAGCTAGGCTTATTGACTTGAGTGTTTGGTATTTATTCTACTTGAGCATCTGGTTTCAATTTTACTTTAGGCTGAGCTTTTGCCACACCTTCGGGAACTATGTTACACTGGCGCAAAATTAAGCATCTTAATTGTGTGTGATGCATTATGTTCATGGCGGATGGATCATGAATTTTCTCAATGTCAAGTTCAGCCCTGCACATAGATGTTTTGTTGTTGTTCTATAGCTTCAAATTTGGTTATTCTGCACCTGGAAGGGATATTTTGCTTGCGATGTTTTGAAACGTAAAGAGTGTTGCATTATCTGTTGGTTTGAGTTGATGTTGTGAAGGGTTTAGTATGACACAGTAGCAATATGTGTTTCTGTGTTTGGGCTCATAGTGCACAATGTATTGATTCACCAAGGATTGCTTGATTTTATTGTAAGGATTTTTTTTCGATGCTGCCGATGGATGAAACAAGTACTTATTGTTTGCATTTCCATGCTGTTTGTAAAGTGCATCCGCAATGTAAATGTTGTGAAAGCAAAAAATGGACTGATTTGATTGCATAAAATGGGCCAAAATAATTGCATCACGTGTAAATGATGAAATTCTTGTGCAATGAGAGCTCAACATTGGAGCATCTAAAGCTCAACCGGTTAAAGCATTTATGTGCTTCTTTGAGTGTGAGCCTGTTAGTTGTGCTTCTTGCATTCACACTTTGTTGACGTATGCATTGCTTGCTTGGAAGCTCAATTTGTTGTGTGCATGAAATATTACCAAGACTGGTTGCTTTTGCCTATGATAGGTTTTGTGGTCAACTAATCTTGAGTCTTAATGGCATACATTGATAACTAGCCTATCTTGAACAGTAAATGTTGTTTAAGACATTTATTGTTTAGTTTTATCAGGAGCACTTGGTTATCAATGCATCTACTTTTTCTCCAGGAGTTAGCACAACTTGGGCTTTGTTTTAGTTGATATCCTTGCTTTTCTGGGACTGGGATCATAATTTTGGTATTGCAATTAGTTTTCACATGTATCCGTTTCTGTTGAAGTGGGTTGGAGGTTTTTGATTTATTACATTTTAGTATCTGTTATTCTGGATAAAAACATAAATTTTTCATTTTTCCCCTAACCTAATTTCCTTGTCATGCTTGATGCTCCCAGATGTTCCATTTGATGCCAACACCACAGGGGAGCTTTTACGTGTTGAATGATATTTTCCGGTTGAACTATGCCTGAAGACCATATCAAACTCAAATAGTCACTGTGGCCCAAAATGTTCAGGATTAAAATCACTTTTTCTTGCCTCTGCTTTTAGACGTTTGAAATGAAAACTGTGATTTTTGGTTGGTTATGATTATGTTTAGTGTTGCATTGTGCCCTGTTGTCTCAAAATTCTGGAGATGCTTTGTTGTGATTGGTTGGATTGGTAAAAGACGCCTAATTATTAAAAATCAGATGTTCAAGATTTGGTAATGTTTTTGTTGATGAAGGGGTTGTTTGTGTTCTATTGACAACTTTTAAGACATCCAGCATATTCTATTAGACAAATAAAACTGCTTAACTGAATTTGGAAACGAAAGTTTTTTTGAATGAAAAAGTTTCTCTCTCTTTTTTTTTTTTTTAATAAAAACTAGACTGATTACGTAAGCTATATGATTTATTGGATGGAAAGATAATGTTTCCTTGTCTAACTATATACTACTTTTTAATCCGCTCAATAAGATGTTTTAGATTGCCACTAATTTCGATGTTAGTTAAAATATACAATTATAAAAACTTATATGCTGTTTAAGTTTTGGCAGATTATAAATATATATGATAAAAAATTTATATGATTTATTTGTAAATATTATAGTTGCGAATTCATTGAATTAAAGAATTTCATGTTATATTTTTTTAGATTGTTTGGTTGATTTTGTGAATGAAGTGCAAAATTAATCAACTAAATTTTGGTCAAAGTTTATTAACAATATTTGTAGTAGAATATATATATATAATACAATTTTATTTATTTATAAACGGCCAAGTTATTAAAAAAAATTTTAAATTTTAATATTTTTTTGTAAGTAATTGTTTGTTTTTAGTTTTTTTATTTGTTAGAAACATAAAGCAATTTTTAATTTTTGATTACTTAATTCTTCAAAACTGTGAAAAATTTTCCCAGTTGTCAAAGCTCTCCTTTTATTAAGATATTAAATATTTTAATTAATAATAAAAATTCTAAATATTTAAAACTTGAGATACATTTCGCACTTTTTAAAATTTAAAATTATAAAAACTATAGTATTATAATAAATAAAAAAAGTAAAGCATTTTGATAGAGATTTATGCTTGTAAATTATGGAGATGATGATGATAATAATAATAATAATAATAATATAAAAAGGAAAAAAAAGCAAATGATATAAGATATAAGATCTGTTCATTTTTTTGTTACTTCACTAAAGAACCAACAAACCAAACCTTGCAGAAAGTTTCGGAATTAACAAATTAAGCAATGCGCCCATACTGAATTTGGCAGAGTCCACAGTAGAAGGAAAGTTATAGTAAACTTTATCGGCTAACAAATTCGGCCGAGTCTACACAAAGAAAGGAAATTATAGTAAACCTTGCGGAAACTCTTCCAAGTTTTTCTCTTTATGATGTTCCTGCTGAACTACCTGCCTCACTTTTCGGTTTCTTGTTCGCATTGAGATCATCATCATCCTCAACATCTCTTTTGTTTTTCTTGATTACATCGGGATCATCCGCAGGCACATCCTTTCCATCTTTGATAACTCCAACGACCACCTTTTCGTTCTTAGTCAACTCCTTTATCTGGTTCCTTCCATAGGGATCCTCCACCACCTTTCCATCGTACGTTTTGTACAATTCAGCAGCCTTCTCACAAATCTTGCTCAGCTTGGACCTTGCATCGTTGTCCTGCCCGCATCACCAATTAACAAAACAAAATTAAGCAATCGTAAAAACCAGAATATCTAGGTGTTAAAATTTCGTGAGTGCCAAAACAGAGGATGAAAAATAAAACATACCAGAGGCATATTAGGTCGGTTTTGCAAAAAGTTGATGAGCAAATCCTCTTCATCCTGTGACAGTTTAATTGGCTGTTCCCTTGTCAAATATCTTTGAGCAAGATCCTCCAACAAATGTCTTATTGGCTACAGAAAATGAATTAAGAGGCTTTAGTTAGATGCCATGTACGATCTTGGAGTTTGAAGATATCCAATTCATATGTCTCTTATTACTGTTGTTTTAAAAACTCTTTACTTTTACTAAGTAAAGGAATGCCTTTTCTTCTCCTTTTTTTTTTTTTTTTTTTTTTTTTTTTTTTTTTTTTTTTTTTTTTTTTTTTGTTATACTAAGTAAAAAAGGGTAATGCCTTTCTTCCTCCCTTTTTTTTTTTTTTTTTTTTATTTATTTTTTTTTTCTTTCTATTCTTTTCTTTTTTTTTTTTTTTTTATTTGTTTTTAGAAGAAAAGTGATTTGGTTTTTTTTTTTTTTTTTTTTTTTTTTTTTTTTTTTTTTTTTTTTTTTTTTTTTGGGTGATTTGGTTAATCCAATACCTACACAATGAATCCCATTCAATGACATACATATGAGCAAGTGAAAGTGACGTTCGTACATTTTGTTTCAAAAAGATGCATTTCTAATTACCATCCGTAGAAGAATACTTACTTGAAGATTCTCTGGTTTCTCTGGAACCTTGATAAACTCTTCAACTCTTTCTTGTTCTTTTCCTCTTGTCCACATTCTATATAGACAACGCATGTTCTTAGGCGGGATCAAGTCATGAAAGCTTTTAAGTATCCTGCGATACAGCAACTTGTAAGTACTTGAAGTCAAGAAATTAATTGCTTCTAAAATAAAGGGTTTTTCCGATATACACCGACCTCCGCACAAGCGATTGATCCAAGTAAGTCAATTCTCTAGACAGTTGTCTTACGAATGCAAAAAAGGATTCTGAGAAAATGTAAATAAATCAGTTTTTAATTGTTATGCACTAAGGAACCGAGATACTTTAACTTAAAGCAAAGTTTTTATATAGGAAAATTGACTAACGCTCAGCAAGGACATTGACGGCAAATCTCCCATCAGAAACCTCAGATTCATAGTCATGCAACTTTTTGAACATCCATATTTGCATTTCACCAAAAGTATCCTTGGGTCCAGGTTTCTAGTGCATCAGAAGAGAGTATTAAAAAAACTATAGCATGCAAGACATTCATCACAAGTATAGTAAAACCTATCTTAAGCAGAGTTTAACAAAAATCAATTATTCCAATACCATAAGGGTCCCAGCAAAGATTACAAAGAAATTGAGTCCTTCCAAGCGAGATACAGCATTAACAGTCAAGTCACTGCAGATGACTGCGTAATGCAACTTTGTCCATTTCTTCCGCGGATTGATCAGTGGACCCTAAAACAATACTTACAAATTTGAGTAACTATACCCCAAATCAGTAAACTAGAGATATCCAAAAAAATATTAAAGAATAACCTGTTCTGTGTTATTCATGGTTGCTTGTCCATCATAAAATCTGCAGAAAAATAAAAAAACAAACTCTATATATCAGAAAATCTACAAATGAATTTGGACACTCGATTTTTTCACAATGGAAATAACTTGCCATTTGTCCTCTTTGCTGATGATGAAAGTAATTGGATTAATATGCTCTCCATGCATAATATAAACTAAAAAGAACAGTTTATCGGGAGCATATATATCTCTTGATGTTCCTTTAACCGAGAAAATGTAGAGCTGTAGATGGTTGCAGAGGGACACAGGACGCTCAAATTAAATTTCAAAAATTATTAGTAAAATACGAAATATCACAGCAAAATATATTTCTAACATCGAAATGTATGTATCTCAATCCTATTAGCTAGCACATTACTATTTTCATGTCTTTGTTCACCAATAAAATGAAAATGATATTTCCCAGTTATGCGTCCAATTCTGATTAACAATATTGGACATTCTTGAAGAAACTGAATTATTTCTTATTGGCATTTATAAAGAAGAGAAATAAACAAATAAATATATCCATTACCTTGTCAAAGTATCCAATGCTGTCCAACCATATCCATCCTGAATGTTGGAGTGAAAAGAGTAACACATAACCCAAATTTCTTATGGCAAAGAAAATCTAAACTTGAAGTCAGGCACTTAGTGTTACCTCTGATGCATCAAGTATCTGAAACAAATGCAAAATATGGGCACCTACAAGGTTCTTCTGCTCAAATTGAGGGTAACGTGATAATATGTAGCTTATGAAATTCCCAACATTCTCATCTTCTTCAGGATAATCAGGTATTTCCCCCTCAAGATACACCTGGAATAAGGTGATGATACAGTTTCAATTAAAATGCCTACAATATAAAGACCATGGAAAGATCAAAACTAGCTGCTGTGAAATTTCAGTAATGAATACGTACAATTAAATTTACATAGCATTGTTCTAGGAGAAAGTCTCATCATGCCAGAATATGGGTTTTCTTTATATGTATATATATCAACAAGAAACTTTATGTAGCTTGAAGAAACATGTTATATTTCAACTACAAGGTTAATTCAATCCTCCCGAATTACAATTTCCAAGCAGAGCTATATGAAAAATTCTGAACCCACATGTGCAAATGACCAAAAGCAGAAAGCATTAAATGTAATAATTTAGTAAAGAGCTTATGCTTAAAGTTACAAAGTAGAAGTAATTTTATGTTAGTTTTAAGGAACCTAAGATGATCTCTGCAAGTCGCTCTGCTCTCCTCAGGGTGAGACAAGCATTAATACTAGGGAGGTCATAACAATTCAGCTTATTTATCTACATCAATCCACCCTAAGAGAAATTTCTAGATCCCCAAGTTGATAAATTCAGGAAAGAATAAGGTCAACACAGTGTTGCATACATTTTAGATCTCAATCCAAGGTTTTATTCAGTGCAATAACTTAAATCAACAAAATGAACAAAATTTGTAGTGCATATTTCTGAAATCATATATGATATCTAAATTCCTTATATGGCTCCAGTGAAGGATATATACACTTACAGAAGGCTAGCTCGCTCCTTTTCTTTATTTTTATTTTTTGAAATCAAAAGATTTTTGCTCAAGACTCAAAAGCGCACAATGCATCACAAGAGCAAGGAAGGATTTCCTAGATCATCGGAGATTGGACTATCATGTAAATAGGCTTCCTTAGCAAGCTAGTCGTTAACGAATTTTATTTACAAAATGTAACTAATATTTGCATGAAGGCATAATTCGCTTTTCTAATTGTCAACATAGAGAATTTCTTAAATAACTTTGCAAGTAATTTTGAATTAAACACCAAACTGATTTCCTCAAAATTCTATAGAGAGAGTCCCGAAAATAGAGAGAGGTAATGCATCATACAATTATATAAACTACTGATTGGCTCAAATAAAATACCTGAATTGCACAGTACACTGTGGGGCCACCGCGTGCCTTCCATGACTCAATCGGATCTAGCCAAGCAAAAATAAGCACAAAAAACTTTACCAAACTAATCACATCACCAGTGCAATCTATGTATAACGAACTACTACCAACAACAATAACTCACCAATTAGAACATAAAGGCAACGCCTAGGATCTTTAGAGACGGACTTCTTCAAGTAGCTTTCATTAAGCAGGTCGTTACTGATACTAGCAAGCGACTTTTATGAGTCCGGAAAAGAAATACGAGAGGGAGAGGGAAGAAGCTCAGTTACAACAGCGAAAGAAAATCAAACAGAGGTTTTCTGTTTTTCAAATCAAAACGCTAAAATATGGAAAAGCACAACAACAAAAAATCAGTCCAAGCAATTCTGGTAAGCTGGTACACATGTATATATGATAAGGACTTTTCAAGAAGAATCCAAACAGAGCAGAAAAAAGAAAAGAAAAAGAAAAAACTAGAGCATATAGAAATTTCAAACGCGGATATTTAAAACAAACGGACCAAGATATATATAGAATGTGAAATCCGCTCACCAGAGAGAGCTTTTGGTTGAGATCTTCGTCTAAAAACAGCCGAGAGAGATCAACTTCATACAGGCAAAGCCTGAAAGCGCCAAGGAATAAATTAAAAGGCATATTATAAGCACCACCAAAGGTAGTTAGGAGAAATCAAATCCACAAGATTAACGCAAACGTGAGTTGTTCAATACGGACCCATAGAAACGAAAGATTAAAGCCAAAACAAGCGTTTCGTGGACTCATATTGAACCTCAACTCCAACTCCACAAAAAACGCGATTTCTATAGACCTCTGTCACTGCTTTTACCAATGGTGACTTATAACTTTAAGACTAAAAACTCTAAGGCTAAAACGTGCATCATTTGGTCCAGTAAAATGAAAAAAGGAAACGCGAAAGACATAGCAGTCAATATATCAGAAAAAAAACAACTCACTGCTTATCAGGAAAAGGGAAAAATACAACATGGCAAAGTATATATGGAGGACCACACGACCATCGAGCCTAAAAGGAACGCCCATCAGGCATACCCACGGAAAGTCATATCTATATATCATAGGATATTCCTCAGCCTGACGTCTCCTCGTCTCCACGAAATCAGATTGTTTACAAAACTCAGTGTGTACAGCAACAACGAGCGTAGAGATCTAGTGTCTATTTCAATGAAGACTGAATAGATCCTCGGATTAAAGAAGAATGCACAATCTGTACAAGGAGACACCCTCAGAAAATAAAATTTCACCGCTGGGCACATCACCTACAAACCATGTGCCACGCAGCAAGGTCTGTATTCTGAGTCAGGGTATCGAATCTCTGGTCTAAAGTCCCGAAGAAAACAAATATGCGACTTACATCTGTACCATCAAGACCAACCGGCAGTGAATAAGTGGGGTACCTCTGAAAACGTCTGGCATCACTCCCCAAGTGCCAAAGGGCGGTAAGTAGACCAAAGCGGCCAAGAAAAGAAAATAAAAGGACAGTAATTATAAAGCGGCTAGATAACATCGCCGAGAAGTATTAAAGAGTTTTATGACGGAAGGTTACTGGTGGTAGACTGGTGCGAAGGTTGAATCGGTAGTACAGAGAGGAAACCCCAAAACCAGTACTCAACCTAAGATTCCCAAGTAATTATAGCAAGTACGCTTACCATCTTCAATGTGAGTGTGACTAAATCCGGAAATGGTGCAAATTTCGTACTAATATCTTAAGTAAAGCACGTGGATATGCTATTGACTCTAGTGATCCTTTCACCCATAATCTAGTGAGCTGAGAATTTTCCGTCATGTTGTTACTGAACATTGAACGACACTGTTGTAACGTACTTAATTAAGCGCTATAAGCCTTTAAAGAAACAAATTCACAATCAAAATTGTTCACAAACGTAGGTTCTTCTTGTTTTGGCCACTCACTATCCGTGCCAACATGTACAAATAAGGCGGCCACTTTAATGGCTGCAACATCCAAACTAACCGGGCATTCAATAAAAGAGAATCACGATTCGTTGCACGGAAATATGTGCATGTTATCAAAAAGAGCAATTAAAGCTACTTGGTCTATGCGTCGACCGTATTCATATTGCCACCAAATGCACTGGTGTTTGGAGCTTGAATTAACAAGCGACTTTTTACCAATTCTAAGAAACGAGACCTAATGCGGCAATAAAAGCCCCGTCTATATCCTTTAGTAAAATCGATTGCAAGCCTTCAATTTTTGAGTCCAGCCAGTGTTAGTGTAAACATTATGTGAAAAGCATGGCGGAAGTTATAATCAGGTCGGGCGAAAAGGACTTATGTCCGGAGGAGACAAAAGAACCCACCATGAAGCAGACAATATAATTCCAGACGAGAAGGAGCAAAAAATTGGGCCGAGAATTAAATCATTTGCACCTTCTCTATCGTGCTGTTTTATTGGATATCAGAAGAAAAAACATGAGGATTAAAGCGCGCTAATCGGTCCTCAATCCCACCACCAATTCTTCCTAAGTCATCAAAGAAAGAAAGGAGAAATGGCCCGCTATAAAACCAAACTAATAAATGGCAGCATTTCATTAAGTAAGGTCAATATTCAGGGATAAGCCGGAAACTGGGAATGAAGGTTATGGATATTTTGATGAATGATTCTGAAGAAGAATTAGCAAACCGCAGAACTCATCAGCATCCACGTGGGAAGAGGGAAGATGGAGTACTTATGCCGGCTCTCTCACTGAGCTAGGACCGTCATAATAAGAGTTGTAAGAGAAAGAGAGAAATCATTAGTATCAGCCGAGGGAAAAGGGCCTGACGTCAGTTTCTTGAGCCTGGAATTGGATGGTTTTCTGGATTTATATTCCACCCTTATACTACGATTGACTAAAGAATTTAGGAATATCTGAGAAGGTTAGAGAAAACGATAGTTGAGAGAGTTGTAAGAATAATTAAACTGATCGCATAATTGGTAAAGAGATGAGAGCAACTAACATTAGACCTGATTCCTCTTTGCGAAAAGAAATAACACAATTGTGCTAAGAGACAGAGAACGGCCACTCACAGCTTGTTGAGGTCATATAATACACCGCGGGTTGCATAAAACATTAAGTGAAAAAAAGAAATCTATCATATTCCACTAAAATATTCACTCTTTTCTTCCTCTCTTTACCTTCTTTCGTCCCGCCAAGTTAAAAAAAAATAAGATAAAATTTAATAAGAAGATAAAAAAAGTAAAATAAAACACCCGCACCATCAAGTCGAAGCATTACATCGCCGAAGAAGGCTCGGAGCTTAGACAAAAGAAAAATATTTGACTTAAATATCCTGTGTCATGCCTCGTCAAAGTTTACTAGAACAATATATAACCACGAACTGCCAAACGCAGGAACATTAGAGACAAATAAATTCATGAGCTATGTAGAATAAATAAGAGGTAGTGTGCAAGAAAATATATACTCTGCCTATTATGGAAAATCTATAATATGTATCTTGGTATTTCATCCATAATGTTTCAATATGTCTAACTTAAAAGCCCAAAAATGTACTATAATATCTCCAAATTCCTTTTTGAAATTTAGAGCGCTGCCGAACAAAAGTAACCAGGCGTGTGGGGGAAAGCAGGAGAAGCTACGTCCAAAGTTAACACTACGATCACTCGAATGGAGATACCGGTCTAAATTCCAAGTCTTAATAAGTCGATTCAAAACGAAAAATCTCTATACTTCACCACTCCAATAACGGACATAATCAAAAAGACGGGTCATTGAAAAAAAAACCAAAATAACACAAAGATGCTGAATAATAAAAGACACTAAAGAACTGGAACGCTATCGTCCGCCATTTCTGCAAGAAAGAACATATAAACAAACTATAAATGCAGTTTATCGTAAGCAATGAATAGAGAACGAGCATGAAGAAGATGGACTTAGCGCTCAAACCAGTAAAAATGAGACAAACGAAGCTGACGCTGCGAGTGATTTCCTTCAGAAACAAGAAAATGAAGGGAGAGTGAAAACTGACGAGAACAGTACCTGCAAACAAAGGCACTACAGCTGTATATATAATACGCGCGTGGATAACAAACTTCTCTCTCTCTCTCGGTTATTAATTTGTTATAACCGCCACAGCTTCATGGCTGAGAAGAAATTTACTTAAATATCCTTTCTTTTACTACTTTAAACGCAACGAAAAATTATGGGTATTGAAATTATACTAAATATTCTGGAACATTCTATTTACTAAGCCCAATTATATTATAATTTTGATTACGTGAAAAATTGGGCTACAGTTAACTCATCCCGGTCCGTTTGTTCACGTTCTCTCCCTACCTATCAAGCGGGTTGAACCAGTGTATATAAACAAAACCGAAACCTAAAAATGGAAACGGTATAATTTTTCTTTAAAATCAAATAAATTTAAAGGCTGAATTAAATTAATTTAATTTTATTAAAAAAATAAGTGTTTTATAATAATAGATTCAAAATCAAAAAGTTAAATAATCGAATTAAAACCGAAAATAATTCAATTTCAGTTAGGATTTTCAATTTTTTTCCAAACCTTGCTTAATGGTAGGTTGAATAGCCGACTTAAAGCGAAGGAAAACAATTTATTTAAGCATTCAAATTACGGTATCCAGACGTCCTTTTACTCTTTGGTGATTCAAGTAGATAAACTTCAGGTCTTCATTGTCAAAAGAAAAAGAGAAAGAGCGACAGCTTCAGGTTTTAGAGCCCAAGTTTTCCAGTTTAATTGGCTTATCTAGTGAGTGAGTCACATGCTTGTTAACATATTTCATGAGTGGCGCAAAATAATTATTTATATGTATGTGGTGTTGTTGTTAGGTGCAAAATGAGGAAGATAGTTGATGATCGCATTAGGACTTTGATTAAACTTGCAATCAACTCTTGGTCTTAAGAAATCCGATTTAGTTTCTAGAAGTCAGTTAATAATGCCGTTGCTTCGTTGATTTAGTGCGTTGATGATGAGTTGCACTAGCCATTGGCTGGGATATGGAAAGGAAAATGAAAGGTGTAAACAAAAATGAAAGCTCATATACTTCATTTGAGGAAATTTTTCTTTTTGCAGATAGGAGAACTGCTACCATTGTACCGAAACAGGCAATCCGACACAAAATGTAAAATTAATTCTTAGGAACAAAGATAACCCAGAAATTTAAAATCACCAAAACACAACGAAGTTCATGAATATGAATGCCATTGGATCATAAAGTTTGCTGCTAGTAGACTGTCTACTTAAAGCTTCAGCTTTTTCATGGGATCATCCACCACCTGCGCATAGTAGGAAATATTATAAATCTGAATTTTCTTAATAAAAGAAATAAAACATCACTAAGACGAAGAGGAAAGAGGTGGGGATATAATATACCTCTGGAGATAAAGTGTTGTAAAAGTCATTAATTTTCTCAACAATATTCCTGAGCCTGGACCTTGCATCATCATCCTGGTTAACAATTGATAAAGAATAACAGAGCAGATTAACCTTTGCACCTTTTTAATAATCAGGATTTTAGATTTTAGAACGCAAAATGGATGATGACAGTTAGATATACCTGAAATAGGTTAACCTGAGCTTGCAACACACAGAGCAAACAGGATTGTTCATCACCCGACAATTCAATTGGCAATTTCCCATTAAAATAACTCGAAGAAAGGTCACAGATTAAGTGAATGACTAGCTACAAAAGATGAATAGTAGACTTCAATCAGATATCACTTATGGGAAGATGGCCATATTTAGAGGTTTCTCTTATTTGAATTCATATATGTCAATGAACAGCATTAAAACCTTTTCCTAGAGGAGATCTTTCTTTTTTGGGGTAATTTGGTTATCCAATTCCCATATATGTCATCCATATGTAAGAATTGGAGAATTGAATGATGCATTTACCGTCTACTTACGTCAATTGTCTCTAGTTTCCCTGGATCCCTAATAAAATCATCAATTATTTCTTGGTTTCTTCCTTCCCACAGTTTGTTCACACGAGGCAGTTCCTTGGCCACGATCATTCTGGAAAAGCTTTCAAATAACCTGTACTTGTTGAAGGAAATGGCAAAGCAAGCTTAAGAAAGATGTTAAATCAAAACAGCTTAGAATAGAACTTCTTTCTTAATATCTTCATCGATATATCTGCTTACATGTTAGCCGGATAACACAAAGGTTGTAGGATTTTTAGTCAATACCTGCTATAAGTGCAAACAAAAACTATATCTAGACAATTTTTTCAAACAAATGATTAACATTCCTCTAAGCCTACCATCTATTTGAATAACCAAAAAAAATGTTTAGCTTAGGATAAATATAATAAACTGCCAAGTAGCATAAGGAATCTCACAGATTCAACAGTATCAGAACAGCAACTTTCTGAATGCTCAATCGACTTCGACAAATTACTTTAACATTAAAGAGAGTTTCCCACTACTGACCTCAGGGCAACCTCTTGATCCAAAGTTTTCAAATGTGAAGCCACTTGTCTTATGAATATGATTCGAGACTCTGAGACATTGTAACTAAATGATCAGTCAATTTTATTCAGCGAGGAAGGAAGATAACATAAAGAAATTTTGGTTAGAATAAGACTTACGCTCTGCAAGGTTAGGGACAGAGCAACTCTCGTCATATTTAGAAATCTCCAGTTCATAATCAGGCAATGGTTTAAACATCGCAGGTGAATATATTTTTCCCTGATATATTACAGGTGAAAATATAAAAATCTATAGATTGTGAGACGTTTGCTACAATAATAACAATAGATCAATTTCTCTCTCTCTCTGCTTCTCTATATTAAGAATCAAGTATTTCCATACCTCAAAGATCATTACTAACAACAAGAAGAAACTGTATCCTTCCCAGCGGTTAATAGCATTAACAGTCAAGTTGATGTAGGTCCCTAGATAATACAACTTTTTCCATTTCTTCCTTGGACTGACAAATGGATCCTAAAAAGATCAGTTAAAAATTTGATTAAGCAATTACATCTTAAATTGGAGAGATCAGATTATACTGCTATATCGGAAAGGAGCTAAAAGGAATAACCAATTCTATGTAATTTGTGGCTGCTGTTCCACAGTAAAATCTGCAACAAATAAAACCATATATCAGGAGGACGACAAATGAAATGAGACAGTCGATTTTCAGAATATTTGTGAAATATGAATAATATGAGATATATTTAAAACATACAATTAATATTATATATGGGTGCCACTATTACATTACTACTTTTATGTATTCATTGATATGTATATTGAGATCAACTTCATTTCTAACGGGAAATGAATGAATGATAATTTCTATTTGGATCGATAGGGAAGCGAAATAAAAAATAAATATATTTATTACCTTGTCAAAAGATCCAATGTTGTCGAGATGTGTCCATCCTGAATATATATTATTAGAATGAAAAAGGTCATGTTACATGCCAAACTTTTGTTGGATTTCAAACCTTTGAGCCAAGCACAGGGATTACCTCTTCCGCAAACACACGCATAATTCGAGCACCCGTAAGGCACTTAGACTTCAATTGAGGAAAATGTGCAAATGTTTGGGCCATGGACTCCCCAGCATTCCGGTTTTCTTGAATAAAATCAGGAATTGGACCCTCAAGGTACACCTAGACAAAATATGATAGTCAGTACCAAATAAAATAGCCACAGTAGCATATTTTAAGATAGGATCTAGATATAGAGAAATTTCACTAATATTAATACATAATTAACTAGCCAGTTAGGTGTGGTTAGATTGGATATGAACTCTTTTTCATAAAAATAAGGAAGAAGTTGATAAAGAAGGATCCCTTAGTCTACAATCATGAAGATAGATTTTAAGAAATGGTAACATGTGAAGATATCTAAGTAAGCCTTTTAGCTCCATTATGATAGGACGCGCGTACCATCCAACTCCGAATTAGTATGATCTTGTCCGCTTTGGGCCAAGCCCTCACGGATTTGTTTTTGGGCACCTCCCAAAAGGCCTCATACTAATGGGTTGGATTTGAACCATTATATTTTGTATTATATTGGATTACTTAACATAAAGATGTTATTACCAATTCTAAGCCTCAAACAATGAGGTCCTTCCTATTAACAGGCCCTCTTTATGTAAAAATTAAAAAGAAACCCACCAAACATTGGATGGGCCTAGAAATGGCGGCGTACCCATCCTCGACCTGATACCTACGTGTATTGTTAACAAAATATTACCAATTATAAATCCACACATTTTCTTTAAAAAAGTGATTTGTTAAGTTTTTCCTCCCTTCATTCATCTCGGCGTAACTAGTTCTCTCACTACGGAAATAAGCACCCATACCATAATTTTTTGGCCAACCTACTACATTTTCTTGATTCAACGTGACAAGATTTTCGTAAAGTGTGATTTATAATAGACAGGTTACACCCGGCATATCTTCAGATCTTTATATGGTAATGCGGCTATAATATGGCCCGTAATGATATTCGGGAAGACTAACCAGGAGACAATTTTGAGGAACACTAACTGTGGGTCGCTCTTAAAAATAAAGGCCTCCCTAGTCTATTATGCACAACTAAGTTAACAATAATTAGAGCTTGACAAAAAGTAACAAAAAATATTATAATGGTACAAGAAGCCAGCAATAAGAGAGTTATGCGTAATCAGGAGAGTAAATGTGTAACATGCATACAATAAAAGAATTCAATGCGTTTTTAGGGTTAAGAGGAATTCCAAAAGTTTTACCCGCTCTGCAAGTGGTGGTATGGAGAGGCGTACTCGCATTCCTGCCATACTCTCTGGATTTCAATTACACAAAGTTGCCTAATTTGAATTCCTACCAGTGGCCTCAGCCAGCTAGTAATTTTACATATAGCTTCAGGGATCCCAATGGGATATATAGCTCTCAAATCCACTTGGCCATGGTTGACCAAAGTGACTACGACAGTGAAATTTCTTACCACATATATAAAGGAAGCATATCACAGCAAAAATTGAAAAGTTTCTAAAATTAATTTTCATCTAAGAGTTTTGTAAGGGCACTATTATTTTAGATTGATGTGAGATATTGTCAGATAATATGGGCATATTTACTCTCTATCTTTAGATATGTGTTGGATATGGTACCTTGTGCGGTATTGCAGGATTAGGACCTTGAGTGCCGATTATCCATGCACTCACTCTACTACGAAGATGAAGAGAGTATCCTCCAATCGAATAAGCTCGTGTTCGTTCTCCTCAGTCGGGGTGGGGCTGTTTCCTCTAGAGTACAAATGTTAAAGGAAGAAAATTCAAGCTATATTTTTAACCTAAGTAAGCACATCGATAAATATGGACTTTTTTGTCGCACTAGTGTACTCGTGTGAATACGGAACAAAAGAAAGAAAACGTCGGCCTCTTATTCTTCCCATATCGGGTGATTATAGCCTCCCAAAATTAGCGTCCACCCCAGGTGCGGCGAGAGTTCTGTCATGTGGGGATAGGTACCGCGGGCCAGTAGACCTTTGGAAACATTAAGAACACCTGTGTGTTTGCCATAAAGGGACACCTTTGGGCGGTCCTTGGCCCCGGTATGGGGTGGGGCTACACTCTGAACAACCGGGAAGGTATGGTAAAGACAATAGGGAATCCCATAAGATAGAGAGAAGTAGCTGATGAGATGTGAAGTCTGAATACTTTGAAATTAGAAAGGGCCTTCCTCACAAGAGACGTTATTTGATTGAGTACCCTTAAATCCTCGGGTAAAAGGTTGGAACGCACGGAAAGGCGACGACTTATCAAGAGGATTATACTGCACGCGCTATATCTGAAGAACGGGAGCTAAGCAAGGCAAGGACAGTATA